AAGACTACTGCCATTTGACAAAAAGCCAACTTCACTACCTTTCTTTATTCTTTAGTAAATTTAATAATTACAGCTACTCCTGCCAATAGTTCTGAAATCAGACTTGTTCAATCCAATACTGAGCTTATTAGGGACACTTTATGTTTGGAAATCTTTGGCCAAAAAAGTACTTGAAGATGATGAAGCATGCCTTAGACAAGGGCACAATGATTAGTCATTTTCTCCACATTAAAACTCCCAAAATGCAGCATGTAGTCACCACAGATCACAGAATCACCTGCTGTTAGTTCACAGCTGTTCCTAAAAGCTTCTGCATTTATCTGGCCCTTAATACCTTTAAGAAAGTCCAAAGGGAATAACTGAATACATTTAGAATAGTATTCCACAGAGTATCTGGTACCAATATAAAGTTCATCTACTTAAACTTTTACCTTTGTGTCTTTTTTTTAAAATATATTTTTATTGATTTTTTTACAGAGAGGAAGGGAGAGGGACAGAGAGTTAGAAACATTGATGAGAGAGAAACATCGATCAGCTGCCTCCTGCACACCCCCTACTGGGGATGTGCCTGCAACCAAGGTACACGCCTTTGACCGGAATCGAACCTGGGACCTTTCAGTCCGCAGGCCGACGCTCTATCCACTGAGCCAAACCGGTTACGGCTACCTTTGTGTCTTTAAGGTGACTGTTAACAGTACAGTAAATTTGGTATGAAATACAATAAAACTTCCCTTTACATAGTAAACCATTTATTTCACTGTTTAAGAAATACACTACACTGCCCTTAATTAAACTTTTATCATTTTACACCTTTAAAAATGCAAAAACTGTGCCCACCAATAGATGAGTGGATAAAAACAGCTGAGATATCCTATATAATAAAAGGCTAATATGCAAATCAACCAAACAGCGGAACAACCAGTCGCTATGATGCACACTGACTACCAAGGGGCAGACGCTCAACACAGGAGCTGCCCCTTGGTGGTCAGTGCGCTCCCACAGCCAGAAGCTAGGCTCACAGCTGGTGAGCAAAGCGGCGGTGGCGGGAGCCTCTCCTGCCTCGAAGGCAGCACTAAGCCATCAGTCGGACATCCCCCTAGGGCTCCCGGACTGCAAGAGGGCGCAGGCCAGGCTGAGGGACCCCACCCCGAGTGCAAGAATTTCATGCACCGGGCCTCTAGTGTACACACACACACACACACACACACACACACACACACACGGTCATAAAAAGGAATGAAATCTTACAATTTCTGACAGAATAGATGGACCTAGAGAGTATTATGCTAAGTGAAATAAGTCAGAGAAACAAATACCATATATAGTCAGACAGAGAAACAAATACCATGTGATTTCACTTATATGAGGACTCTAAAGAACAAAATAAAGAAACAGAAACAGACTCACAGACAACAGAAAATAAATTTATAGTTACCAGAGTGGAGGGGGTTGGGAGCCTGGGTGAAAAAGGTGAAGCGATTAGGAAGTACAAACCGGATGTGAGGGCGATCTGGCTGCGACATCTGTCACCCCATTGATCGCCAGGGTTGATTTGGCTGATCTGGCTGGCTAGGCGGGTGTCCCCCTCCTCCCTCACTGATCCATGTGCATCCCTCCCGAAGCTGCGTGCTCGGTCGAAGAGGACGACCTTCCCCCCCCCGAGGAGAGGACCGGTCTTCGGTCAAGGGTATATGAGTAGCTGCGCTCCCCTGCTAGGACCTCCAAACAAGCTCTCAAAGAAGTACAAACCGGTAGTTATAAAATAGTTATGGGGATGTAAAGTACTGCATAGGGAATATAGTCAATAATATAATAACTAAAAATGGTGCTAGGTCAGTACTTGAAATACTGGGGGGGGGGGGGGGGAATCACTCTGTAAATTAAAATTTTCTAACCACCATGCTGTACACCTGAAACTAATCTATAATAATAAAAGGGTAATATGCTAATTAGACCGATGCCTTCTGGACATCATTCCAGACGTCCATCCTGACAAAGCTGGGGCCGGAGGGAAGCCAGCCGGGTCCCAGGCGCCTGCGGGCGGCCCTGGGAAAGCCAGCCCGGGTTCCAGGTACCTGCTGGCAACTGGAGGAGGGAAGCCCGCGTCCCGGGTGCCAGAGGGAAGCTGGTGCCGGCAGCCGGGGGAAAGAAGGCCTATTCTTGCACAAAGTTTCGTGCATCGGGCCTCTAGTATAAAATAATAGTGAATGTCAATTTTAATTGAAAAATACATTTTTAATGCAAAAGGCAACTAACTTTTTCATATAACTTTGTTTTTAGATAAAATAAACACTCTATTTTACTATGCCAAATCTAGAAAAATAATTATAAGTTGAGATATTAATTATTGTCTAAATATTTTGTACTGTCCAGTATATCTCTATTATATCTGAACTTTCTCATTTGTATATTGTGTGGTAGACAAACTATTATCAACTTGTGGTCTACTCAAAATACTATCATGATCACATCTTAGATGTTTTAATCATTTATAACTACTCTGCCTTTAAAACTCAAACTCTTCTTTTAATTTTGTTTTGTAGAGTCCTTGGAGATGGATAGGACAGAAGTTGGTAGGATCCCAGCCACTATACTGCTGCAGCTCTACTTTAAAAAGTTTTACAAACTGGGCTTCCTTGTGAAATTTATTTGAAGAAGTTTCACTGCTTAAAAACTCACTTTAGAAACCACTGTCCTAACATACTGATTCCCTTAAGTCAGTAGTGGTTCTCAACCTTGGCTGCACATTAGAATCACCTGGGAATCTTTTTAAAATTCTGATTTCTGGGCCTCACCCTCCAGAAATTCTGTTTCTTTGTTACTAATGTTGTGGCCCCACCCCATAACAAAGAAACAGAATTTCCGGATATGGCCCAGAAATCAGAATTTTAAAAAGATTCTCAGGTGATTCTAATGTGCAACCAAGGTTGAGAACCACTGCCTTAAGTGGTCTTCAACTTTGGCTGCATATTCATCACCTGCAAGGCTTTTAAAAATCCCAGTAATCCCAGATCAATATATCAAAATCTTTATTGACAGGATGAGAGCATCAGTATCCTAATGTGAAGCCAAGGCTGAGAATCATTGTTCTAACTTATTACCAACCACATCTACTTTCTGACTCACTGGATCACTCCATTTTCTTCCAATTTATTAGCCATTTCCTAGCATCAGGCCAATCCTTACCAAGCTTAGATTCCATGGTTACACCATATACCAATATTCTGAAAGTCATAGTTTGTGTTTCTGCCATATCCACCTTACTGAATGTTGATTGGTGCAAACAAAACTTTGTAGTTTTCGGTTTCTTTCAGGCCCTCAAAAAATTCTCTTAATTCCCTTAGTTTACGTCCATCTTCTTTTTTCTGGTCTCAGAAAAAGGGCTAATGATAGCACCTATACTCTCCAGCTCATATGTCAGGAACACTTCATTCCTACCTTCCTTCTCACCTTCTTCATCTTATAATTAATTTCAACTCCCTTAATCCTTAAAAAAATCCCTTAACTCCGAATCATCCTTTAGTTTACCGACTGTTTTATCACTTTTCTTTTTTAAAATAGTCAAGCTTCTTTAAAGAGTAGTTTTGACAGATGGCTCTACAGTACTTCCTTAACTCCTTTTGTTCCTCAACCCATAGACATCCGCTTCTGCCTCCTACTTCTCTGCTGAAACTAAAGCAGACATACTTGTCAGTGTCTTATACCTGACCTCTCTATCATTTAATACTGCTGGCCAATCTTTTAAAAATCTTTCTCTTTGTTTCTGAAAATTACTCTCTCCTGTTTTTCCTTCCTTTCCAACTTTTTCTCCTCAGAACACACACAAACGTAAATATATATTCCTCTCTGCTAAGATCTAGACCTGTATATACAAGAAACTGTCCACTAGATATCTTCATGCAAATATCCAATGGGCACCCCGAATTAAACCATTCCCAACACTGCCCTCATTTCCCCTCCCAAGCCTCTGAACTCTCTCGTGTTCTTGGTCTAGTTTGGGGAAAATCTATCTAATTTAAGCCTTTAACAACTCTTGGTTGGACTATTGCAACAGCCTGATTTGTCTCTTTATTTCTGAGTTAACTTCCCTCAAATCAGTCTAACATACTAGATCAGCAAACTTCTCTGTTAGAGGCCAAATTATTTTCTGCTTTAGGGCCACAAAATCTCTGTTGCAACTACTCAACATTACTGTTTTTGTACAAAAGCAGCCATAATGATACATAAATGAACAGCATGGAGATGTCCCAATAAAACCTTATCTATAGAAACAGGTGGCAGGTGTGGGCCATAATTTGCCAACTCCTGTAAAATATTGTCAAAGTGCTCTTCATACTAATTTTATCATGTATATCACCTCCTTAACCCCTTCAATAAACTAGATTCCTCTGAGCTACCTCTGTATCCTGAATACACATTTTTATACTCATAAGGTTATTTGTTTACATCTTTGCCTTACCCTTATATCAAATAGTAAACTCTGAATGTAGAAGCAATGTGGCTTTAAAATACCTTACTGAATTCACTATGGACCAAGAACCGTGCAAAAGGTTTTATACATATTATTTTATTTAGTACTTAAAACGACCCTATAAGGGAATAAATATTATCCACACTTTATAAATAAGAATACAGACATAGTGACTCAGCTATTTAATGAGAGTCAAAATTCAATACCATGCCTGTCAGACTCCAAAGCTAAATCTCTTATTCAATTATAGAAATCCTATGATGTAGAAAGTAAAATATCAAAAATAACTTATCAGAATAACTTAGCTAGAAGTATAAAGGGAATGTCATCACATGTAATCTTAGCAATTGTGTATATAAAGTTATTTCTTAAACTGAAAATAAAATTTGCAGTAATATACATGGTGAGGTAAACAACTACAAAGTAAAGTATATATTATCCATCCTCACCCATCATTTCTACCCAAGGCCTCAAATCATGCCTTGAGAGAACCCAAACAACAATACTGTCCTGAAGAAAATCCATTTACCTTCTGTTACTGGCTGGAGTTTAGAAGATCGTTCTGAATCAGGAGAGTGCAGAGGTTCAGGTTCTTTCAGACTTTCCAAATGCAAAAAGGGATCATAATCTACAGATGCCAAGTCTGATAGGCTTATTGGAAAATACTTTGGATTGCTAAAACACTGAGCTCCATAAACACATCCATGTAATACCTGAAAATACAGGGGAGAAACATACAAGTTTTCCTTTTCATTAAAAATAAAAAAATTAAATTAAAAAGAAAAAGAAGTCCACTGGTAATACAAGAGCTTGACAAAAGTTTAAATAGTTTAAAACTTAGCTCTTTGATCACAGTAAAATTTAATAGCTCGTAAGAAGAAGTAAAATTTAACTAATGATGCTTATATTCAACAAAGATTTGACTTTTCAAAATCTGGCAATAATATAACAGTGTACTGTAGAAACTACTTTTTAATTATCAAGGTACTGTAAGATAAATTTATGTTCTTATAAAATACCTAGTCTAAATGAAAACACTAAGAAATGTTATTTCTTTAGATTTTATAAACCCTTGGTTACCAAATAAATAATAAAGCAAAGAAGTTTACCTTATAAATACAATTGAGAACAGATTTTTCTATTTTATCATTTTCTGCTCCCGTAGCATGGACTGGTTGGAGCAGTGTCTTTAGGGGTAAGGCCATGATCCAGTCCAAAAGGCACAGAAGTAAAGATACCACCAACTGTAACAACAAAAAAGATCATTATTATTGTCAACTTATAAAGTAAGAGTTTAATACTTAACAGAAATTCACCAATTAATTTTTTTGTTGTTGTTAATCCTCACCAGGATATTTTCCCCCATTGATTTTTAGAGAGAATGGAAGGGAGGGATGGGCGGGGGGTGGGGGAGTGCAGCACTGGGGAAGAGAGAGAGAGGGAGGGAGTAGCATCGATGTGAAAGAGACACATTGATTAGTTGCCTCCCGCATGTGCCCTGACCAGGACTGAGGACTGAATCTGCAACCCAGGTACATGCCCTTGACTGGAGTCAAACCTGAGACCCTTCAGTGTGCAAACAGATGATCTAACCATTGAGCACCACAGGCCAGGGCTCACCAACTTATTTTTTGTTTTCCAAATTTATTTCAGAAACTATCGATCCTAAATTGCAACATTAATATTTATCTAAACTTAACTTTTAAGATGTTTTTATTGTGGGCTTCAGTGCAAGCACAATGAAAGATAATAAAATAATGAAAATAGGAATGTTAAATTTCTTTAATTAAAGCACACACTGAGCTTAAAAAATAATAGGCTTCAATTAGCTATACTTATTTAACTTCTCAAGGAATGACATACAATGAAAAGTTTTAGTCCATAAATATTACAATCACTTCCACATTCCTCTTCTAATTTAACATATCACTGAGTACCCTGCCAGAAAGACTAGACTATCTTAACCATATTCTGAAACTGTTATTAATTTTTAAAATAAATGTTTCCACTGGATTCTTTTAAACTAATGGATGTTATAACCAAAACACCTTTATCAAAATGTGGAGTAAAATAGCAGTACCTCTGTGGCCCATTTTGTTGTACAAGGAATCACAATTAGAGCCTTAAAAGCATTAATCAAGTAGCAGTAAGAGATCTGCTGATTTTTAGACTGAAAGACTAATTTTCCAACTCAAGGAGTAACACTGGTCTAAATCTCCCAACATATCCTCCAAAAGAACAATAAAGAACAAAAAGAACCAATAAGACATCACAAAACCTCAGTTTAACCAGAAAATAGAACATCCAAATTTCAAATTATGTGTAAGTAGAAAGTATACAGAAATCCCAGTAAGCTTTTTCCGATCCTCCTAGTGGGAAAACTGTAAGGAAGAAGGGAACTAGGTACAAACCTAAAAACCACTCAGAAAGAAAAAGACCACCCTAAGTGTGAGTACTGTGGTACTGACCACCACCTGTTAATAACAAACATTATCGTAAAGCTAATGAAGAGCACTAAAAGAATTGCAATGCCAAAATATAATTCCTGGTGGATTTAAAGGCCACAGAGAAAACAGAATTGCACTGTTAAACTTAATTAAGTGAGAACTAGAACTGTGGACTGAAACTAGGAATACTATTAGGGAAGAATGTTGAAAGATAATGCCAGAAGTAAAAAGGAAAGAAAAATTGAGATGCATGACAGAGAAACATGAAAAAGAGGTAGGTGAGATAAAAGGTGACAAAAGCAGGGTTAGAATCCTGAATGCAATTTTTTCATTGACTATCACGTAATGATAAAAGAACTATTACAATAGTCAGTGTAAGGAGACAGAAGAGAATCAACCAACCAAACAAAAGACAATAAACAACAAAAAATAAATAAAGAGAAAGAAAAAATAAGAGATCTCTACCAGAAGATTCAAGAAATAAAAGGGAAATTCAAACCCAGATTAGGAATATCGAACAACCAACAAGGAAGTATATTATCTGACTATAAGAAAGAAGATTCCTATGAGGAAGAACCTGGAATTCCAAAAGTGAAGTGAAAGCCACCCTAAAAGTATTGGGAATAAATAAATTACCAGTGGTAGGTGGAATACGTGTAGAATTATTTTAATCCACAGAGGCCCAATCTGTCAAAATTCTAACAAGAATATGTCAACAAATATGGAAAACAAAACAATGGCTTACAGACTGGAAACATTCAATATATATTCCTTTCAAGAAAGGAGATAGTAAGGAGGGTAGTAAGGTTAGTTATGTTTTATTGACTACTGTGAAGCCTCTGATTGCATTGATCAAGCTATGGGCTGCTCTGAAAGAAATGGGCGTGCCTCAGCATTTGATTGTTCTGATACATAACCTACATTGTGCATAGGCAGCCATGGAGAGACACTGGTTTCCTATAGGCAAAGGTCCTACAAGAGTGCATTTTATCTGTTTAATTTGCATGTCGAACATATATGAAAAACTGGGGTAGGTTCAGAGAAAGGACTGGAAATTGGTGAAAAATATCAATAACTTAAGATATGCAGGATAATACCATCTTACTGGCAGAAACTGGCAATGATTTGAAACAACTTCTGATTAAAGTAAAAGAAGAAAGCGCTAAAACATTTAAACATTAAGAAGACAAAAATCATGACTACAGATGAAATACACAACTTTAACATTGATAATGAAAACACTGAAATTGTTAAAGTTTCTGCTTACCTTGGTTCAGGAATCAATTCAAATGGAGACTGTAACCGAGAAATAAAGAAAAGTCTGGGACTTGGAAGGGAAGCAATGGAAGAATTAGAGAAGATCACTAAGAGCAAAGATGTGTCATTAGAGACCAAAGCTAAAATTATTTACACCCTCCTACACCCGATTACTATGTACAGATGTGAGAGTTCGACAGTGAAAAGGGCTGTCCAAAAAATTGATTCATTTGGAATATGGTGTTGGAGGAGAGCTGCACAGATATGCTGGACTGCCAGAAAGACAAACCAGTGGGTTCTAGAGCAAATTAACCTGAAACATCACTGGAAGCAAAAATGACAAAACTGAAGCTGTCCTATTTTGGGCACATCATGACAAGTCAGGGTTCTTTGGAAAATACAGTAATGCTGGGAAAAACGGGAGGTGGCAGAAAAATAGAAAGGCCAAATATGAGATGGCTTGACTTCATAAAAGAAGCCATAGGAATGAGCCTACAGGAGCTGCACAGGGCTGCTGAGGACAGGACATTGAAGACACTCATTCATTCATAGGGTTGCCAGGAGTCAGAGCCAAACTCAACAAACACGTATACACACTAGTGTGAGAATACCAAAAAAGTGTACTGGTAGAATACCGAGTAGAAAGAAAGAAGTTAAAAGTACACACAGGAAAGGTAATGTTCTTTTGGGAAAAGAATGTTAAGAGGGAGAGAAATGCTGTGGAAAATATGTAGTAAAAAGAAAATGCAAAAGAGAAATTTAGGATCCTGCATGTCTTAGTATTTTTCTTTTTAAATTTTGGACCTATACTTCTTCTCCTACTTAAAAGGCATCATCCAATTAAGACACTGTACTTTGTTAAACTTCCAGGAAAGAAAGCTCTTGAGGTAGGAATCTTGTAAACCATCCCAAGCGACCAAACTTGTCCACAGATATGCAGAGGTAGTATTCATCTATACAAAACTACTACAAAATGAAAACATACAAATCTAAGCAAGTCAGCTGATGCACTCCACCCAATAATCCAATTATGTATGAAACAAAAGAAAACTGTAACGCAACATCCTAATTTAAATATTTCCAAACAGGCATTTAGATATAGGGGACAAAGAAAACCCCATCTTCAATAAGAAACTGAAAAACTAAAAAGAAATAGATCAAGGGAAGAATTAACTCAAGTCAGGAAAAGAAAAGAAAAAAATAAAATCATATTAGAAATGATGCCTCAATTATAAAATGCCTAAGGGAGAATAAATTTGAAAAATAAAAAGATTTAATAAGGATATTGAAGAACAGTGGGAAAACAAGAGAATAAAAATGAGATAAAACAGGAAAAGTGTCAGAAAATGACTAAAATGGAAGAAAGAAAAAGAATATCCAATTTATATATAAGAAGTCCATAAAATCTACGTATTGAAAAGGCCCACTAGATGCCAGGACAAACCAACCTCCAATAATGAACTCTTAAAATACATATCATGCTAAAATTTCAAAAGTTAAGACTTCAAAAAAAAATATCCGTAAGGCCTCCAGGAAAAAAGATAAAATAATTTACAAAGGCTAGAGAATGAAACTGGCATCAGACAGACTTCTCAAAAACAACACACAGCCCAGGTGGATTCGGTCCCTGGTTGGGATGCGTATGGGAGGCAACTGATCGATGTTGCTCTCTCACATTGATGTCTTCTCTGTCTCTTTCTCTCCCCCCTTTGCTGTCTCTAAACAATCAATAAACATATCCTCGGGTGAGAATAAATACACACACATACATACACACTCACACACTCACACACCAAAACATTAAAAAATAAAATAAAATAAAACAACCTCAAGAAAAATAAGGACTTCATAGCTAACCAAGCTGTTTTTCAAGTATCAGAATTACAGGAAAAGTTTTAAATATGCAAGAGCTTGGGGACTTCTGTATTCATGAGTCCATCTTGAAGAATAAAGATGAACTTCATCCAACCAAGAAGTTGATTGAGGAAGTTCAGCAAAAAGATTAATGGCGAGTATTTGCTATATTTAATTATACTGGGGTGGGCAAAGGCAGGCTTACAGTTGCATTGTGACATTCTTTTGACTTAATAAAGCTATAGTAATAATCATAAATCTGCATGCCTTTTCATACCAACAACTGTAAACCTACTTTTGCCAACTCCTGGAGAGCTAAGATTAATATATAAAAGTGAAGATAAGCCCTAACCAGTTTGGCTCAGTGGATAGAGCCTTGGCCTGTGGACTGAAGGGTTCCAGGTTTGATTCCAGTCAAGGGCATGTACCTTGGTTGTGGGCACATTCCCAGTAGGAGGCGTGCAGGAGGCAGCTGATCGATGTTTCTGTCTCATCGATGTTTCTAACTCTATCCCTCTCCCTTCCTTTCTATAAAAAATTAATAAGAAATATATTATAAAAAAGTAAAAGTGAAAACGAATATGGAAGAGTCATTTGTTAAATTACATATGCTGTATATTATGTGTAGAAATAAAGTAACTAAAAAAGTAGGTGATGAAAGAGCTAGAGAAAAGTAAAATAAGATCATTTATCTTTATTGTTGAAAGTATTATATATGTCCCACTTTCCCCCCCATTAATCCTGTTCAGTCCGCCCCCACCCCCTGCCCCAGGCTTTCACCACCTAATTGTCTGTGTCCATGGGCTATGCATACATACATACAAGGTCTTTGGTTGATTACCTCATACCCACCCATCCTCCCCCATCTTCCCTCTGAGATTCCACACTCTGTTCCATGACAGTCGATTTTAAATACAAGATGAATTAATATTTACCATGTAAATATATATAACTTTGGAATTTTAAAATATAAATATTTTACTATGTAAGAATATTAAATAGCAAAGAAAGTTTTTAATTACTCTCTTGTCCATTTCATAAGATGAAGCTTCTGTACTTGGCAAAAGATGGGTAATAGTGGCTATCAGGATCTATAGTCAAAAAAAAAAAGAAAAGAAAAACAAGCACAAAATATATTTAAGTAATGTTCATTCTAAAACATTAATGTTAATGTAAAAACAATATAAAATCTATTGCTGCAAGGTTATTCTGAAACATTAACACTGTTATTTCAAGGTAATTTTTAATATGTAATCTTTTCAAGTACATTAACTATCAATTATTTACAATCTTCATTTATAGAATCAACATTACATATGCTGTTAACTATGAATGGATTTCTCATAAACTCAACTCATGAATCAATATGTATAAACACACAGTAATATATGTTCTAATAGAAAATTAAAATATATATAGAAAAGCAAAAAGATTTATAAAAATCATCTGCAATTCTGTCACTGAAGATATCTACCCTACTCAACATATTAGGTATAGAAGGAATATATGTCAACATAAATAAAGGCCATAAATGACAAGCCCATAGTTAATATCATATTCAATGGTGAAAAGCTAAAAGCCTTTCATCTAAGGTCAGGAATACAAGGATGTCCACAATTGCCATTTCCATTCAACATGGTACTAGAAGTCCTACCACGGCAAGTGGGCAAATAAATAGCACCTAAATCTGAAAGAGAGAAGTACAATTATTTGTTTGCAGATGACATGATATTATATATAGGAAACCCTAAACACTGCACCAAAAAACTGTTACGACTATAAATGAATTCTGTAAACTTGCAGGATACAAAATCAAAATACAAAAAACTGTTGCATTTCTATACACAAGCAACAAACTATCATAAAGAGAAATTAAGAAAGATATCCCTATTTACAGTAGCATCAAAATCAATAAAATAGAAATACAGTTAATTAATGAGGTAAAAGACCTGCATACTGAAAACTATAAAACACTAATGAATGAAGAAAGACAGTACCATGTGAATCCACTTATATGTGGAATCTAATGAACAAAATAAACTAACAAACAAAGTGGACAGACTAATGGATATAGAGAACAGACTGACAGCTGTCAGAGGAGTGGGGGTTGGGGCCTGAGTGAGAAGGGTGGAGGGATTAAGAAAAAAAGAAAAGAAAGAAAGACTCATGGACACAGCAATTTTCACCATTTCATTTAAAGGAAGCACTCTACAGCTTCTCTTTGGCATATCTGAATTGTCAGCATCACTATTCTTACACTTTGCAGCCTTCATTAGTAAAATAAGGTTTACTGAAAACAGGCATTGGGATACCATGACAGATGATCCAATAACTGAGATGGCAACTAAATGACTAATGGTTGAGTAGCATGTACGGTGTGACTACGCTGGACAAATTGATGATTCATATCCCACTGGAGAAGGACAATGTGAGATTTTATCACACTACTCAGAACAGTGTACTATTTAAAACTTAGTATAAATTGTTCATTTCTCAAATTTTCCATTTAATATTTTCAGATTACAATTGGCCATGAGTAATTAAAACTGCAAAAAGCAAAACTGTGGATAAGGGAGGACTAATGTAAATGGAAAGATATTCCATGTTATAGATTGGGAAAATTAATATTGTTCAATTGTTCATACCACCCACAGCGATTTACTCATTCAATGAAATAAAAAATTCCAATGGCATTTTTCTCAGAAACAGAAAAATCAATTTTAAAATTTGTATGGAACCACAATAAAGAGCCAAAGCCATCTTGAGAAAGAAGAACAAAACTGGAGGCATCACACTTCCTGATTTCAGGTTAATTATAAAGCTACTAGAGGCCTGATGCACGAAATTTGTGCACAGGAGGGGGGGGGGGGGGGGTGTCCCTCAGCCTGGCCTGAACCCTCTCCAATCTGGGATGTCCCTCTCACAACCCAGGAACGCTGGCTCCCAACCGCTCGCCCGCCTGCCTGCCTGATTGCCCCTGCTTCTGCCTGCCAGCCTGATCAACCCCTAACCACTCCCCTGCCAGCCTGATCGACACCTAACTGCTCCCCTGCCAGCCTGGTCACCCCTAATTGCCCTCCCCTGCCAGCCTGGTCACCCCCAACTGCCCTCCCCTGCTGGCCTGGGTCCCCCCCAAATGTCTTCCCCTGCAGGCCTGGTCACCCCCAACTGCCCTCCCCTGCTGGCCTGATTGCCCACAACTGCTCTCCCCTGCTGGCCATCTTGTGTGTTGGAGTGATGGTCAATTTGCATATTACTCTTCTATTAAATAGAATAAACTGATAAAGAAAATAAGGAAAAGGATTTGAAAACTTCAAATGAAAAAAATCTGCTTAAAGAACAAACTTAATTTTCAAATAGAATAAACAATCTTAAACGGTAAAATTTTCAAATGTTTTCTTACTAGCATACAGATGCAGAGTCACATTTACATCCAGTTATCATAACACCACTGATAATAACAGCTGCAGCCAACGTTTATTAAAATTTATGTATTCCCCCATCTTTATGGCAAAAAGTGTGAAGTGCTTCATATATATTTTTTCATTAATCTTCAGAACAATTCTGTGAGGTATATACTTTTATCCCAAATGTAAAGATAAGAAAACAGAGTTCTGAGGGCAATGTAACTTGTTCATAGTTACAAAGTTAGTAAATGGCAGACTCATGGCAGGTGTGTCTAACCCTCAAATCCAACCTCTCAACCTACATTAAACTCAACCAATATTTATTGAACAGATTCTACATGAAAGTGATGCCCTTGTCTTTAAAAAATTTAGAATTTGTACACAAATATATTTACTGTTATAATAGAGGTTGGCAACATGGTTGCATGGGAAAAGCCTGGACTTGAAATCTTACAGACATGAGTTTGAAAACTGCCCGGTCAGCTGTGACTTTACATAGTTACTAAATGCTCAGTCCTCTCATCTTAAATTAAGTAGGACAAAACAGGGGGCAGGAAGATAATTGCTCATTTTAAAAGATTTTTAAAAATTAAATGAGATAACATATGGAGATGACTGGTGTATTAGCTGGTACATAGTAGGTGCTTAATAAATATTAATTACCATCTTTCCTAAAAATGTTACAAGAATATGAAGAACAATAAATTCTGGTTAGAGAGAACAGATAAGAGTTTTAATTTTTTTTTTTAAATATATTTTATTGATTTTTTACAGAGAGGAAGGGAGAGAGATAGAGAGTTAGAAACATCGATGAGAGAGAAACATCGATCAGCTGCCTCCTGCACATCTCCTACTGGGGATGTGCCTGCAACCCAGGTACATGCCCTTGACCGGAATCGAACCTGGGACCTTTCAGTTCGCAAGCCGACGCTCTATCCACTGAGCCAAACCGGTTTCGGCAGAGTTTTAATTTTTTGATGAGATAGATTTAAACCCAAAACTGAAAATGGGATGTAAAAAGGAAAATCAGAGCAGTTCAGGTAAGAAAAGAGTGAGGGGTATGTTTAGTCGATAGTAAGCCAACTCAGGTGCCTGGACTACAGTGTATTTCAAAGGAATATGTATGTGATTCTTTAAAGATGGACTGGGTCCTCATCAGAAGGCCTGGAAAAGCCTAGAAAAATAAATTGGATCTTATTTTATAGGCAAAGGAAAACCACTCAAGAGATTTTGTTTTTTTCAGGTAACTGACATAATAGTCATGTAAATGTGAATGATGATTTGATAGGGAAGACCTCAGAAGTCAGGAAATCAATTAGAAGTCTATTATAGTATACTAGAGGCCCGGTGCACAAAAATTTGTGCACTGGGGGGGGGGGGGAGGTCGCTCAGTCCAGCCTATGCCCTCTTGCAGTATGGGACCCCTCAGAGGATGTCCACCTGCTGGCTTAGGCCCACTCCTTGGGGGATCGGGCCCAAGTTGGCAGTCAGACATCCCTCTGGAAGCCCAGCAGCCATCGGGGGATGTCCACTTGCCAGTGGGGAGCAGGCCTAAGCTGCAGTCAGACATCCTTAGTGCTGCTGAGGAGGTGGGAGAGGCTCCCACCACCACCGCTGTACTGGCAGCCGCCAGCCTGGCTTGTGGCTGAGCAGAGCTCCCCTGTGGGAGCGCACTGACCACCAGGGGGCAGCTCCTGCATTGAGCGTCTGCCCCCTGGTGGTCAGTGTGTGTCATAGTGACCAGTCATTCCCAGTCGTTCTGCTGTTAGGGTCAGTTTGCATATTACCCTTTTATTATATAGGATAGAGGCCTGGTGCATGGGTGGAGGCTGGCTGGTTTGCCCTGAATGGTATCCCAGATCAGGGTGGTGGTCCCACTGGGGTGCCTGGCCAGCCTGGGTGAGGGGCTGATGGCTGTTTGCAGGCTGGTCAAGCCCCCCCCCCCCGCCCCCATGGGGACCCTCACCCCATGGAGGTTTGGCCAGCCTGGGTGAGGGGCTGATGGCTGTTTTCAGGCTGGCCACACCCCCTTTAGGGTAGGGGGTCCCCACTAGGGTGCCTGGCCAGTCTGGGTGAGGGGCTGAGGGCCGTTTTCAGGCTGGCCAAGCCCCCTGGTGACAAAAACTCCCAGTCTCTCCTTTTTTTCTTTTATCTTTTTTTATTCTGGGATTTATTTACCTTCTATAATTGAAACTTTGTAGCCTTGAGAGGAGCTCAGAGCTGGCCAGGGCGTGTGGGAGGGAAGCCTCCTGCTCGCTCCAGCTCCGTGGCCATGGCCAGCTCAAAGCAGGTATCTGGGTTATTTACCTTCTGTATTAAAACTTTGTTGCTTTGAGTGGAGCTCAGAGCCTGCCGCGGCAAGCGGGAAGCTTGGCTTCCTCCATCACTGGGGCAACCAAGCCTCCTGCTTGCTCCAGCTCCATGGCTGCTGGCTGCCATCTTGGTTGGGTTAATTTGCATATAGTCGCTCTGACTGGCTGATGGGCGTGGCTTAAGGCGTAACGAAGGCATGATCAATTTGCATGTTTCTCTTTATTAGTGTAGACTAGAGGCTCGGTGCACAAAATTCGTGCATGGGTAGGGTCCCTAGGCTTGGCCGGTGATCAGGGGTGATGGAGGCTTTCCTTCCAGCTGCTGGCTGGGGCCTTCCTTCCCTGACTGCCGGTTGGGGCCTTTCTTTGTTCTGTGCCGCCCCCTGGTGGTTAGCGCATGTAATAGCGAGTGATCGAACTCCCAGTCTCCCTGTCGAACTCATGAGGGGACACTTTGCATATCAGCCATATATATATATATATATATATATATATATATATATATATAGACAGAAATAATGAATGGCTGAAATAGTTCAGATATAGTAGAAAGTATAAAAGACATGGAATTAAAACAAAATAAAAACTATAAATAATTGGCTGAAGAGGAAAGAAAAGTAATGAATCAAAATAATGTCCTGATGTGGTAACTGGACGGATGGCATGTTTTCTTAACCTAAGAGATGAAATGAAGCCAAATCCACATTCATACAGACAATGGCAATTATAAATTTGCAGAAAACATTTAAAAACAAGAACACAATCTCCTAACATAAAACACAAAGGAACTGTCATGAACATTTGATACTCAAAAATGCACCTTAGGTTGCCATTATTTACTTGTGCAAAATTTGAAAACTATTAAATAATTTTGTATTTCAAGGTATCCAAATTTTAAAATCCTTAACAAAGGTCATTATGAAAAATAAATAAGAAATTACTTACTTGAATAATTTTCAAGGGAGAATCAGGCTGGTAAATCTGAAGTCTAGGTACATAGTGAACCAGCATGTGAAGCATGTTACAAGCTACATGGGCTACTGTTTTATTAGTAAACTGTAAAAATAACAAAAGAAAGAAAAACACATAAAAATTTCTTCCTGAACTATTATGCATCAATGCATTAGCTGCTGAAAAATTTTAAACTTCATATTTTTTGTCATTCTATATTTATGTGTTTATTAAAATATTATTAGGAAGATAAATATACAGCTGCAAAAGATTAAAAACACACAACTCATTCTAAAGACACAATATTATTTTTTCCTTTGTAATGCTTGACTGTCCTCATTTAAGTCTTATTCCATTTTCTCTTACCTAGATTTTTTACAACAGCCTCTAATCTTATTACCAATCTTTCCCCATTCAAATCTACTAGACACAATACTTCCAAAATAATCTTCTGAAGAACTCCTCTGATGTTAATGTTCTCTATGCTTAAAACTCTTAAATGACTCCCCAGTGGCATAAAGTTATGCTTTTTATGCTTATCTCTCTATGACCAAATCCTACCCACTCTTCAAGCCATGACCAAAAGTCTCCTCTTTCCAAAGTCTTCTCTGGTACCTAAGTCAAAGTGATCTCTGCTTCCTCTGAACTCAATCAGCAGTTTACATACACCACTCATTTGGTTATCTCAGCTTTTTATACTTTATTCCTCTTATTTTAATCTTTTTCAGCATCAGATCATTAATCTCTTGAATCTAGCATTTACAATTCTTTTCATTGTGGTATCCCTTGCTCTGCCTAACAAAGCACCTCAAACTATTATATGCTCAGAATTATCTGTCAAATCAGTAATATTTGTACATTGTATCTTTGGAGTCCTATACAGATAGTGTATTATAAGTCTTAAGACAGAAAAAATATTATGCTTCTGTTCAGAAACAAAAGAAAATATCCATTTATTCATTTATACTCCCGAAATAATTAGGTTATTTCTGAACAAATCTTATTTTGGCCACAAGGAGGCCATTTAACTTGAATGATAAAGTAAAAAAAGTTGAGCAGCTCAAGAATTCAGAAGTAGTAAAGATCAAATAGTAGGTTAAAAAAAATACTGATAAAGCAAAAACAAACAACCCATGTTGTTAAATGACTGGTTTCCTTTTTAAGAGCCACCCATATGTTTTCTATGGACAAAGCCAAATATATAAAAAGATGACTTAGGACCACTCTTAAAGAAAAAGTCAGGAACAAGGAAATAATGTAATAATAAATTAATGAAAACAATTATTAAAGAGCACAACATTTAATTAACATTTGGAGAAAAATAATCATGATTCTATACTATTTTAATATATTCCACTAAGTAGTTTTTTGTTTGTTTGTTTGTTTTTTTACCTTCAAGGAAACACAAATTACATTCAGAGCTTCCTTAATTTGAGGATGATGAGACTCATGGACTAGTTCTTCACAAATCCAAATACCTAAACTGCAAAGTGCTACACATCTGCAAAAAAAGGCAACCAATAATGATACAAATAAAAATGTATGAGCTTTTAAAGAAATGAAACCACCATCACAACCAAACATCCACAACTAGCTAACATAGAATGAATATGCACTGTTTAAGTAAATTGATCAATTTATTACTTTGTATGTTAGCTCTTCTTAGGAAGAGAAAGGAGGAGGAAAGCACATCCCTAAAACTTTAAATCTAATTTTTAATTATAATTTATTACCAAAATCATAGGCAGAGATAATATAAAGGATTTTTCTAACAAACCTATATTAAGAAACTGATATTTTCATAAAGATTCCCAAATATATATGTAACCTGCTTTCAAAAAGGAAAGAATGTCATTTGATTAACTGATAGCAGCAAAGTGAACTTAAGCAAACTCAAACTCTTTAAAAAAACAGATTAGGTACACAAATAAAATGTATATACTTCAAAAAGGGATTCCAATAGAAATAGAACTTGTAGGATTTTTGCTTTGTTGCTTAATGTCTTCATTTCCCTACTTGAACTGTTTCAGCTTGAAGGGAGTAATTTGCGATCACAATCAGTGGAATTCCATTAGTGTGTTCAAATATAAGCTTCTGATGACGAATATAATGGTTCTATGAAATTGACTCCTTCTAGGATCCTAGTTATATACGTGGCATGTCCTGGTACTGATATTCTTAAATTCAGCAGAATGCTAAATTCAGAACAATTCAATGCAGTAACATTTTACTGAACACATTGGAACAGAAGTTCTTAAGCTTCTCTTTTAGTCTAGCATAGTGTCAATGCTATAAATTGTTTACTATCAAAACTACCAGAAAGTCTTCTACGCACGTCTACTGCTTTATTTCTTCTCAACCATTGTCTATCTACCCATGAATCTTAGATAATATTTACAGATCTAAATAACCAAATTTCATGGTTAGCAGTAGAAAGAGCTGTAATCATCAAGTAACATTAAACTCTAAAGTGAGGCAAAGCTCTCCACGGAAGCAGCTAACTAAAGGCACAGACTGAAAGTACAAGTGGTTAACAGGCATTTTCCTTTTTCTTTTGTGATCACACACCTGCATGCACAGTTTCCTACATTCCTAAAGGTGTCCAAATAATCTAAATTATTCCCAGTATTGCTCAACTCTCTGCTCCATATCAATTTTGGGGGTATAAGCATCTGAGGCAGTGGTTCTCAACCTTCTGGCCCTTTAAATACAGTTCCTCATGTTGTGACCCAACCATAAAATTATTTTCGTTGCTACTTCATAACTGTAATGTTGCTACTGTTATGAATCGTAATGTAAATATCTGATATGCAGGATGGTCTTAGGCAACCCCTGTGAAAGGGTCATTCAACTGCGAAAGGGTCGTGACCCATAGGTTGAGAACCACTGATAAGGCCTATTCTTAATAAAAGCTATTGTGTTAATGATTCCCAAGTCTTTCTGGGCATCTATGTTTTAGGTTTCAATATTCTTTACTTGAGAGGCAACATAGTTAAAAAGAAACACGCAGAAAATCTAGAATTTGAAACTCTGGGTTCAAATCTGGTTCAGCCATTATTATTTATGCATCTAATAAGGCTCTGAAGACAAACTATAATAGTTTTAATCATGGCTCTGCCATTGCTGGGTGATAGGGATAATTATTTAAATACTCTGGGCTCCTATAATACGGAAGATACAAATTGTACCTGTCTTCTAGAGTTGTTACAAATGAGGTAATAAAGTATTTAGAACAGTGTCTGGCACTTAGAAAGGATTTAATAAATGTTAGCTTTCTAAGACATCGGATTCATGCTAGCAAACCTGGAAGAATAATGATGGTTCCATTAATTTCTTAGAATTGTGATGAGGAATAAATAAAACAATATTATAGGAAAATTCTTGGAAACTTAAAAGATTGTCATTATTAACATAGAAAATACTAGAGAATTAATATTTAACATGATCACATTTGAGGGTAAAGCTACCAGAAATGAAAATATGGTATAATGGAAAAGACAATGTCATTTTCTAGGGATGTCCAGCATTAAAATGAAATTAAAATAAAAAATTTACTCAAAAAGATTTGTGGTTTTTAAAAAATATTTTTTTATTGATTTCAGTGAGGAAGGGAGAGGGAGAGAGAGATGAAAACATCATTGATAAGAGATGATCATTGATTGGCTCCTGCCCTCATGCCCCCTACTGGGGATCAAGTCTGCAATTCGGGCATGTGTCCAGACTGAAATCGAACCCTGACCTCCTGGTTCATAGGTTGATGTTCAACCACTGTACCACACCAGCCAGGCTCAAAGAGATTTGCTTTTAGTTAACTTGACTAACAAATGAGAAAAATATGGAACTGAATTAAAAAGCTGGAGCTATGTCTCATTTAAGCAAACTATTCACTTTACATTATTTTTACTGGTGGAAAAAATAAGAGACTTAAATTAGAATTAATATTCAAATAGTCAAAGCCATGATCTGCACTTTCATTAACCTTGGTCAAAAAAATATGTAGGTAATTGGAAAAGAGAAAGATTTGCAGAGATATAGGTCAGAGGAGGAGTAACACAGGCTACTTTTGAAGCTAATGACATTCTCTTAGAATTAGATTCAAGAAATATAATACTGTATGAATTAAGGATATTTGGGGATGAGAAGAAACATGATGCGATACTGGCAACCAGCTGATTTAAGTCTCAACCTTTTTAAAAAAAGTTTAGTAAAATAGAAAATGACAAGTTTTTGCCCCTAAATAAGGCATTTAAAAAGGAAAACATTCTAAAATCTTATATTTATAATGTAATACACAATTATATAATACTAGAGGCCCGGTGCACAAAAATTTGTGCACTCAGGGGGGAAGGGGGGGTCCTTCAGCCTGGCGTGTGCGCTCTCGCAGTCTGGGACCCCTCGGGAGTTAACGACCTGCTGGCTTAGGCCTGCTCCCGGGTGGCAGAGGGCAGGCCCAATCCCTAGGTGCAGCCCCTGGTCGGGCTCAGAGCAGGGCCGATTGGGGAGTTGGGGTGCTGCCCCCTGTTATGCACAGAGCAGGGCGGATTGGGAGGTTGCCATGCCACCCTCAGTCAAGCTCGGGGTAGGGCCAATTGGAGGGTTGGGGCACTGCCCCCTGTCACACTCAAGGCAGGGTTGATGGGGAGGTTGCGGCGTCAACCCATCACGCACAGAGCAGGGCCAATCAGGGGGTTGCGGCGCTGCCCCGTCACACACAGAGCAGGGCCCATCAGGGGGGTTGGGGCTCCTTACCCTGTCACACACAGAGCAAGGTCGATCACGGGGTTGGGGAGCTCCCCCCGTCACGCACAGAGAAGGGCCCATCAGGGAGTTGGGGAGCTCCCCCCTGTTACGCACAGAGCAGGGCCCATCAGGGGGTTGAGGAGCTCCCCCCTGTCACTCAGAGTAGGGCCAATAGGGGAGTTGGGGCACCGCCCCCTGTCACACACAGAGCAGGGCAGATCAGGGGGTTGGGGCTCCGCCCTCTATCACCCACAGAGCAGGGCCGATCAGGGGGTTGGGGCGCCGCCACTGTCACACTCAGGGCAGGGCCGATGGGGAGGTTATGGCTCTACTCCGTCACACACAGAGCAGGGCCCGTGGTGGGGGGAGGGGTTGAGGCGCCGCACCCTGTCACACACAGAGCCGCAGAGCGATCAGGGGGTTGGGGCGCCGCACCCTGTCACACACAGAGCCGCAGGGCGATCAGAGGGGTTCGGGAGCTGGGGTTCAGAAGGCTGGGGCGCCTTCCCCTGTCAGGAACAGAGCAGGGCAGATAGGGAGATTGTGGCCCCGGCCCCTGTGACACACAGAGCTGCAGGGCGATCAGGGGGTTTGGGCGCTGCCCCGTCACACTGATCCCGGTGCCGGGAGGCCTCGCAGCTCCGCTGATCCTGGTCCTGGGAGGCATATTACCCTTTTACTATATAGGATAGAGGCCTGGTGCATGGGTGGGGCTGGCTGGTTTGCCCTGAAGGGTGTCCTGCATCAGGGTGGGGGTCCCCACTGGGGTTCCTGGCCAGCCTGGGTGAGGGGATGATGGCTGTTTGCAGCTGGTCACACACCCTTCAGGGTGGGGGTCCCCACTGGGGTGCCTGGCCAGTCTGGGTGAGGGGCTGAGGGCTGTTTTCAGGCTCGCAGGTGACTGAAGCTCCCAACTGCTCCTTTTTTTCTTTTTTTTCTTTTTTTATTATGGGCCAGCTTTAGCTCTGGCTCCAGCTCTGAGGCCTCTGCTGGGTTCTATAATCGAGACACTGTATCAACTCCAGCTCTGAGATCCCGGCTCACTGAAAGCTGGTTTCTGGGGTTTTGTTTATCTTCTATATTTGTTACAATGTTTCAGACTGCAAGCTTAGAGGCCGGCAAGGCAGGTGGGGAACATTGGAGTCCTCCATCACTGAAGTAAGCAAGCCTCATGTTAGTTTCAAGTTGCCTGGCTGACGGCCGCCATCTTGGCTGGCAGTTAATTTGCATATCTCGCTGATTAGCCAATGGGAAGGGTAGCGGTCGTACGCCAATTACCATGTTTCTCTTTTATTAGATAGGATATTATATATGTAAACCACATATATATTACTTATATTCTATTTTTTAAAAATCCTGATCAAATGTTTATTAATATCAATATATACTATTTTCTTAAATACAGTCAGTACATTACATTCTATAATAAAAATATTTTATTTTAATTCAATTTAAGTAACATTCACTGGGTAACTACTACTACAATTCAAGGTATTGCAGAAGAGACTGAATATATAATCTAAAAGGAAAGCAAAATATATTTAAATATATAATTGAAAAAGTCATTTTCAATACTGAGGGTAGAGGTACTAAAACGGGTGACTAATATTTTATCTTTTAATGAAAGAACATTCATATTTAAATCATGAAAAACAATATTTAATCATACAAATAATTTAAATTTGTAATTCAGAATAGCTTTTGTGTATCTGAAACAATGTGGACTGCTAAATAATCCAACCAACTTCTAAGGTGAAACTGCAAACACAGAATAGTTATAACAAGTCTTAAGAATATCTGACTTACCGTGCAGGGCCAGAGGGCTCATCTCTTGCTGAGCTTAATACAGTTTTGATTATAAGTTCCTAAAATAAGGAGGAAAAGTAGCAATGAGTAAGAGTTCATTCATTAATTCAAAAAATATTTATTAAATGGTGACTATGGCAGATGCTAGGAATACTATCCTATCTAATAATAGACAAACATGGGAATTAACCATACCTCCGCTACGCTTCCCATTGGCTAATCAGCAGAATATGCAAATTGACTGCCAACCAAGATGGCGGCCAGCAGCCAGGCAGCTGAAGCAAACAGGAGGCTTGCTTGCTCCAGTGATGGAGGAAGCCAAGGTTACCCGCCTGCTGCTGCCAGACTCTGAGCTGCACTCTAAGCAACAATGTTGCAATTATAGAAGCTAAACAAACCCCAGATAACGGCTTTCAGACAGCAGGCCTCGGAGCTGGAGCCGCAACTAAGTTTCAATTACAGAAGGTAAATAAATCCGAGAATAATAAAAGAAAGCAAAAAGGGAGAGACTGGGAGCTTTAGTTGCAGGCTTGGCCCACCTGAAAAAGAGCCCTCAGCCCCTCTTCCTGGCTGGCCAGGCACCCCAGTGGGGACCCCCACTCTGAAGGGGGTGCGGACAGCCTGAAAACATCCATCAGCTCCTCATCCAGGCTGGCCAGGCACCCCAGTGGAGACCCCCACTCTGAAGGGGGTGCGGGCAGCCTGAAAACAGCCATCAGCTCCTCATCCAGGCTGGCCAGGCACCCCAGTGGAGACCCCCACTCTGAAGGGGGTGCGGGCAGCCTGAAAACAGCCATCAGCCCCTTATCCAGGCTGGCCAGGCACCCCAGTGGGGACACCAACCCTGAAGGGGTGCGGGCAGCCTGAAAACAGCCATCAGCCCCTTACCCAGGCTGGCCAGGCACCCAAGCGGGACCCCACCCTGATCCGGGACACCATTCAGGGCAAACCAGGCGGCCCCCACCCATGCACCAGGCCTCTATCCTATATAGTAAAAGGGTAATATGCAAACTGACCCTAACAGCAGAACAACTGGGAATGACTGGTCACTATGACACATACTGACCACCAGGGGGCAGACGCTGAATGCAGGAGCTGCCCTCTGGTGGTCAGTGAGCTCCCACATGGAAGAGCTCTGTTCAGCCACAAGTCAGGCTGATGGCTGCCAGTACAGCTGTGGTGGTGGGAGCCTCTCCTTCCTCCTCAGAAGCGCTAAGGATGTCTGACTGCAGCTTAGGCCTGCTCCCCGCTGGCAAGTGGACATCCCCCGATGGCTGCCGGCTGCCAGAGGGATGTCTGATGGCCAGCTTAGGCCCAATCCCCTGGGGAGCAGGCCTCAGCAAGCAGATGGTCATCCCCCGAGGGGTCCCAGACTGTGAGAGGGCACAGGCCAGGCTGAGGGACCTTCCCACGCCCCCCTGCAAGTGCACAAATTTTTGTGCACCGTGCCTCTAGTCTACACTAATAAAAGACAAAGATGCTAATTGACCGTACCTTCGCTATGCTCCAAGACATGCCCACCAGCCAATCAGAGCAACTCTATGCAAATTAACCCAACCAAGATGGTGGCTGGAAATCACAGAGCTGGAGTAAGCAGGAGGCTTACTTGCCTGGGCAATGGAGGAAGCCAAGCTTCCCACCTGCTCTGAGCCGGCTGTGGCCTTCACTCATGTCAACAAAGTTTCAATTATAGAAGACAAATAAATCCAAGATACCTGCTTCCAGACAGCCTCCACTGGGAGCTTGGGTGGCTGGGGGCCGTGGCCAGCCTGAAAAGAGCCATCAGCCCCTCACCCAGGATGGCCACACCCTCATGGGGTGAGGGTCCCCACTGGGGGGTTTGGCTAGCCGGCAAACAGCCATCAGCCCCTCACCCAGGCTGCCACACCCTCACAGGGTGAGGGTTCCCGCTTGGGGGCTTGGCTAGCCTGAAAACAACCATCAGCCCCTCACCCAGGCTGGCAAGGCACCCCAACGGGAACCCCCGGGCTGAAGGGACTGTGGCCAGCCTGCAAACAGCCATCAGCCCCTCACCCAGGCTGGCCAGGAATCCCAGCGGGGTCCCCCACCCTGAAGGGGCTGTGACCAAGCTGCAAAGAGCCATCAGCCCCTCACCCAGGCTGGCCAGACACCCCAACAGGGACCCCCACCCTGAAGGGGCTGTGGCCAAGCTGCAAAGAGCCATCAGCCCCTCACCCAGGCTGGCCAGACACCCCAGCAGGGACCCCCACCCTGAAGGGGCTGTGGCCAGCCTGCAAACAGCCATCAGCCACTCACCCGGGCTGGCCACACCCTTATGGGGTGACGTCCTAGCTGGGGGGCTTGACTAGCCTGCAAACTGCCATCAGCCACTCACCAAGACTGGCCAGGCACCCCAGAAGGACCCCCCCCCACTCTGAAGGGGGTGTGGCCAGCCTGCAAACTGCCATCAGCCACTCACCATGACTGGCCAGGCACCCCAGAAGGACCCCCCCTCCACTCTGAAGGGAGTGTGGCCAGCCGGAAAATGGCCCTTAGCCGCTCACCCAGGCTGGCCAGTACAGTGATGATAGTGGGAGCCTCTTCCACCTCCTCAGCAGCACTAAGGATGTCTGACTGCAGCTTAGGCCTACTCCCCGCTGGCAAGTGGACATCCCCCAAGGGTTCCCGGGCTGCCAGAGGGATGTCTGACTGCCAGCTTAGGCCCAATCCCCCGAGGCGCGGGCCTAAGCCAGCAGGTGGTCATCCCCTGAGGAGTCCCAGACTGCGAGAGGGCACAGGCTGGGCTGAGAGACCCCCCCCCCCCCGCCAGAGTGCACAAATTTTTGTGCACCGGGCCTCTAGTCCTATATAATAAAGAGGTAATATGCAAAGTGAGCATCACTCCAACACACAAGATGGCCACCCCCATGTGGACACAGATGGCCAGCAGGGGGCAACCAGGCCTGCAGGGGAGGGTAAGTGGGGGCGACCAGGCCTGCAGGGGAAGGCAGTTAGGGGTGATCGAGCCAGCAGGGGAGGGCAGTTAGGAGCGACCAGGCCGGCAGGGGAGGGCAGTTAGGGGCAATTGGGCCGGCAAGGGAGCTGTTAGGCGTCGATCAGGCTGACAAGGGAGTGGCTAGGGGGTGATTAGGCTGGCAGGCAGAAGCGGTTAGGGGCAATCAGGCAGGCAGGCGGGCTAGTGGTTGGGAGTCAGCAGTTCTGGACTGTGAGAGGGATGTCCGACTGCCCGGTGAGATCGGGCCTAAACAGGCAGTCGGACATCCCTTGAGGTATCCCAGATTGGAGAGGGTGCAGGCTGGCCTGAGGGATACTCCCCCCACGCTCCCGTGAACAAATCTCATGCACCGGGCCTCTAGTATTGAAGTAAAACCGACAGTCTTTGTTCTCATGTACATACTTTTAATAGTCTAATATTATTCAAAAAATTAGCTAAATAAATAAAACAATGGTATAGTCTGAATGTTTGTCCCCTCACAATTCGTATGTTGAAATCCTAACTTCTAGAGATGATGTTATTAGGATGTGCTTAGGTCATGAGAATGGAGCCTTTATGAGTGAAATGAATGTTCTTATAAAAAACAGTCACAGAGCTCCCTGGCTCTTTTTACTTTGTGAGGCCACACGGAGAAGGCCCAGGATGAACCAGGAAGAGGTCCCTCACCTTAAAACGACTATGCTAAACCTTTGATCTTGGACTTCTCAGCCTCCAGAAATATGTGAAATAATTTTTCGTGATTTTTATAAGCAACCCAGTCTGTAATATTTTGTCATAGTAGCCAAAAATAACTTTTTACTGATTTTTCACTTGAAATTTTAAAAAAGGTTTGTAAACAACTAAAGGCCCGGTGCACAAAAATTTGTGCACTCAGGGGGGCGGAGGGGGGGCCCCCCCAGCCCAGCCTGTGCCCTCTCGCAGTCTGGGACCCCTTGGGAGATAACGACCTACTGCTTTAGGCCTGCTCCCGGGTGGCAGAGGGCAGGCCCAATCCCTAGGTGCAGCCCCTGGGCGGGCTCAGAGCAGGGCTGATTGGGGAGTTAGGGCGCCGCCCCCTGTCATGCACAGAGCAGGGCAGATCAGGAGGTTGCGATGCCACCTTCAGTCATGCTCAGGGAAGGGCCGATTGGGGGGTTGGGGCACCGCCCCGTCACACTCAAGGCAGGGTCGATGGGGAGGTTGCGGCGCCATCCCGTCATGCACAGAGCAGGGCCAATCAGGGGGTTAGGGCGCTGTCCCCTGTCACGCACAGAGCAGGGCCCATCAGGGGGGTTGGGGCTCCATACCCTGTCACGCACAGAGAAGGGTTGATCAGGGGGTTGGGGCACTGCCCCATGTCACGCACAGAGAAGGGCCCATTAAGGGGTTGAGGAGCTCCCCCCTGTCACGCACAGAGCAGGGCCAATCAGGGGGTTGAGGAGCTCCCCCCTGTCACTCAGAGTAGGGCCGATAGGGGAGTTGGGGCACCGCCCCCAGTCACACACAGAGCAGGGCGCATCAGGGGGTTGGGGCTCCGCCCTCTATCACCCACAGAGCAGGGCCTATCAGGGGTTTGGGGTGCCGCCACTGTCACACTCAGGGCAGGGCCGATGGGGAGGTTATGGCTCTATCCCGTCGCACACAGAGCAGGGCCTATCAGGGGTTTGGGGTGCCGCCACTGTCACACTCAGGGCAGGGCCGATGGGGAGGTTATGGCTCTACCCTGTCACACACAGAGCAGGGCCCGTGGGGTGGGGGTTGGGCACCGCACCCTGTCACACAAAGAGCTGCAGGACGATCATGGGGTTGGGGAGCTCCCCCTATCAGGCACAGAGCAGGGCTGATCAGGGGGTTGGGGCGCCTTCTCCTGTCACGAACAGAGCAGGGCGGATAGGGAGGTTGTGGCCCCGCCCCCTGTCACACACAGAGCCGCAGGGCAATTAGGAGGTTTGGGCGCTGCCCCATCACACTGATCCCGGTGCCGGGAGGCCTCTCGGCTCCGCTGATCCTGGTGCTGGGAGGCATATTACCCTTTTACTATATAGGATAGAGGCCTGGTGCATGGGTGGGGGCCGGCTGGTTTGCCCTGAAGGGTGTCCTGCATCAGGGTGGGGGTCCCCACTGCAGTGCCTGGCCAGCCTAGGTGAGGGGATGATGGCTGTTTGCAGCTGGTCACACACTCTTCAGGGTGGGGGTCCCCACTGGGGTGCCTGGCCAGTCTGGGTAAGGGGCTGAGGGCTGTTTTCAGGCTGGGGGTGACTGAAGCTCCCAACCACTCCTTTTTTTCGTTTTTTTTTATTCTGGGCCAGCTTTAGCTTTGACGCTTGGCTCCAGCTCTTAGGCCTCCCCTGCTGAAAGCAGGTTTCTGGCCTTTGTTTACCTTCTGTATTTGAAACAATGTTGCGATCCTGCTGCCTGAAGCCCGAAGGACTAAAGCAGGTTTCTGGGGTTCTGTTTAGCTTCTATATTTTTAACATAGTTGCTGAGAGTTGCAGCTCAGAGGCCGGCAGCGGCAGGCAGGGAATGTTGGAGTCCTCCATCACTGAAGCAAGCAAGCCTCATGTTCGCTTTAAGCTGCCTGGCTTCCAGACGCCATCTGGGCTTGCAGTTAATTTGCATATTGCCCTGATTATCCAATGGGAAGGGTAGCGGTCGTACACTAATTACCATGTTTCTCTTTTATTAGATAGGATTAGAAGTGTATCTGCTCCTAATCAGTCATTATCTTTAAGTTTCAGTATTTAGAGTGAGTTCCATCAGCAATTATATAGTCACTTTAATTGTGCACCATCTCCTGTTCAAGCCTGTTAATGCTTTAGGTATATGGGATCCCAAACCTCAATTCCTACAGCAGAACAGAATATTCCATTACATTATGTTTGATGCCTCACATTGGGAAATTGGGAGAGGGGAGTCAATATGCAGGTTTAATGCCATCTTAATCTAAGAAGCCTATATTACCAGCATAGGATCTGGCACATAGAATCTTACCTAATAATAGACAAACCTGTAAATTGACCTTACCTTTGCTACGCTAACCAGCCAATTAGGAAAGTATGCAAATTAACCCAACAAAGATGGTGGTTAATTTGCATATGTAGGCTCCAAGCGGCGGAGCAAAGCCGGATGGCCCTGGTGCCAGTGGAGCAAAGCCGGATGGCTCCGGGGCCAGCTCCGGCTGGAGCACAGCCAGAGCGAAGGCCTAGGTCCCAGGTGCCAGAGGCAAAGCAGTGCCAGCAGCCAAGGGAAGGGAAGGCCTATTGCACGAATCTCTTCGTGCAACAGGCCTCTAGTATTTCGATAATAAGAAAAAACATTTCCAAAGCAGTTATAAACACAAAAAAGGCTATGCTCCTAATAAATATTCCAGCCTGTGTTCTGAAACTGGTTAATGTTCTTTAAAAATTGTGTGGATTTCTAAGAAAAGAAAGAATACACATTTTATTGAATATACATTATTATACATCATTTAAATGCTAACAATTAACATCTGATTTCTTACCTTAACATCTGTAAATTGAGACACAGCAATATCAGGAATATTGGGATGAAGAGCAGGCAGTTCACAATATAAGTTAGGAAAGCAAACTAAAGATCCCAGAAGAACTTGCGCTTCCACTCTTGGTGCCTATAAGTAACCAGATTTTTTAAATCTTTAAAATATATTAGTATTATTAAGTTATCAGAAAAATTACGTTATCACCTAACCATATTACACAGAGAAGCAAGCGAATAAGACAATATTAATAAAGAAATAGGGAAACACAAAAAGATCCAGGTTTTCATTTATGTTTTCCATATAGACTCCTATCATTCTCAAGAAGGGCAACAAATAGCAGAGCTTTCCTCAAGAGCAGCTAATAAGCTGAAATTAGCCTCAGTTAATAAGACCATAAATTTTTAAAAAGCTTAACAGCACAAAATTACCCTAGTTTTAAGGAAAAATATACTTTTGTTTTAAAGGCAACTCATACATCATAACACACTGTTCTTTTTTAAAAATGTTTTATTACATTCATTAGGATGACACTGGTTAATAAATAACGCATTGTTCTAAAACATTCAAACACATGGAGACTAAATAGCATGTTATTAAACAATGAATGTATTACTAATGAGGCCAAGAAAGAAATAAAAAACTTTCTGGAAACAAATGAAAATGAACACACAACAACCCAAAAATCTTGGGGCCCAGGAAAAGCAGGCATATCTCAAAAAACAAAAAAAATCACCAATAAACTATTTAACCCTACAACTTAAAGAACTAGAAAGAGAACAATAAGAAAAGCCCAAAGGAAGTAGAAGGAAGGAAATAAAGATTAGAGCAGAAATAAATAACATAGATACTAAAAAAAAAAAAAAAATACAAAAAAAATCAATGAAACCAAGAGCTGGTTCTTTGAAAGGATAAACACAATGGATAAACCATCAGCCAGACTCATCAAGAAGCAAAGAGAGAGGACCCAAATAAATAAAATCAGAAACAAAAGTGGAAAAGTAACCACAGACACCACAGAAATACAAAGGATTGCAAGAAAATACTATGAACAACTATATGCCAAGAAGCTAGACAATGTGGATGAAATGAAAAATTCCTAGGAAAATACAACCTCCCAAAACTGAATCAGGAGTAATCAGAAAACCTGAATAGGCCAACAACAACTGATGAAACAGAAGCAGTAGTCAAAAAACTCCCAGCAAACAAAAGCCCAGGTCCAGATGGCTTCACAGGGGAGTTTTACCAAACATTCAAAGAAGAACTAACACCTGTACTCCTTAAACTATTTCAGAAAATCCAAGAGGAAGGAACACTTCCAAACTATTTTTATGAGACCAGCATTATCCTAATTCCAAAACCAGATAAAGACACTACAAGAAAAAGAATTACAAGCCAATATCCCTGATGAATATAGATGCTAAAATCCTCAACAAAATATTAGCAAATTACATCCATATTAAAAAGGTCATACACCATGACCAAGTGGGATTTATTCCAGGGATGCAAGACTGTTACAATATTCACAGATCAATATATGCGATACATTATGTAAATAAATTGAAAGTCAAAAATCATATGATCATATCAATTGATGCAGAAAAAGCACTTGACAAAATCCAACACCCATTTTTGATAAAAACTCTCAGCACATTAGGAATAGAGGAGTACATCTCAACATGATAAAGGCCATATATGACAAACCTATAGCCAACATCATATTCAATGGGAAAAAACTAAAAGCATTTCCCCTAAAAACAGGAACAAGACAGGAATGTCTGCTTTCACCACTCTTATTCAACATAGTGCTGGAAGTGCTAGCCACAGCAATTAGACAAGAAGAAGAAGAAATAAAAGGAATCCAAGTTGGAAAGGAAGAAGTAAAACTCTCATTATTCACAGATGACATGGTATTGTACATAGAAAACCCTAAAGATTCCACCAAAAAACTACTAGATTTAGTAAATGAATTTGGCAATGTAGCAGGATACAAAATCAACACCCAAAAATTGATGGCTTTTTTATACACCAATAATGAATTCTCAGAAAGAGAAATTAAACAATCCCATTTACTATTGCAATAAAAAATTAAGATACTTAGGAATAAACGTAACCAAGGAGGCAAAAGATCTATACTCGGAAAATTACAGGAAGCTGAAAAAAGAGACAGAAGGAGATATAAACAAGTGGAAGAATATACCATGTTCATGAATTGGTAGAATCAACATCATTAAAATGTCGATACTACCCAAGGCAATCTACAGATTAATGCAATCCCTATTAAAACGCTAATGGCATATTTCACAGAGCTGGAACAAACACTCCAAAAATGTATATGGAATCAAAAAGACCCTGAATAGCTGCAGCAATTGGAGAAAGAAAACCAAAGTTGGAGGAATCACAATACCAGATTTCAAGTTACACTACAAAGCCACCATAATCAAAACAACCTGGTACTGGCTTAAGAACAGGCATATAGATCAATGGGACAGAATAGAGAACCCAGAAATTGACCCAAGCCATTATGCTCAATTAATATTTGACAAAGGAGGCAAGAGCATACGTTGGAGTCAAGACAGTCTCTTCAATAAATGGTGTTGGGAAAATTGGACAGATACATGCAAAAAATGAAACTAGAACACCAATTTATACCATACACAAGAATAAACTCAAAATGGATAAAAGACTTAAATGTAAGTCATGAAACCATAAAAATCCTAGAAACAAGCATAGGCAGCAAAACCTGAGACATCTCTTGTAGCTATATGTTTACAGATACATCTCCTAAGGCAGGGGATACTAAGGAGAAAATAAAAAAATGGGACTACATCAAAATAAAAAGCTTCTGCACAGCAAAAGAAACCATCAACAAAATGAAAAGAGATCCCAGCATATGAGAAAACATATTTGGCAATGATACATCAGATAAAGGGTTAATATCCAAAATATATAAGGAACTCAAGACAACTTAACAAAAGGAAGACAAATAATCCAATTAAAAAATGGGCAAAGGACCTCAATAGACATTTCTCCAAAGAGGACACACAGATAGCCAAGAGACATGAAAAAATGCTCAAAGTCACTAATCATCCAAGAGATGCAAATCAAAATGACAATGAGGTACCATCTCACACCTGTCAGAATGGCTACCATCAAAAAATCAACAAATGACAAGTGCTGGCCAGGATGTGGAGAAAAGGAACCCTAGTACACTGCTGGTGGGAATGCAGACTGGTGCAGCCATTATGGAAAGCAGTATGGAGTTTCCTCAAAAAATTAAATATGGGTCTGCCATTTGACCCAGTGATCCCACTTCTAGGAATATATTCTAAGAAACCCAAAGCACCAATCAGAAAGAATATATACACCCCTAAGTTCATAGCAGCACAATTTACAATAGCTAAGATCTGGAAACAGCCCAAGTGCCCATCAGTAGATGGGTGGGTAAAAAAGCTGTGGTACATTTACACCATGGAAGACTATGCAGCTGTAAAAAGAAGGATCTCTTGGCTTTTGAGACAGCATGGACCTGGAGAGTATCATGCTAAGTGAATAAGTCAGAGAAAGACAAGTATCACATGATCGCAGTCATATGTGGACTTTAAGTAACAAAATAAACTGATGAACGGAGTGGATCCAGAGACATGGAAGCATGGAACAGAGTTTGAAATCTCAGAGGGAAAGCGGGGGAGGGTGGGTGGGTGGGAGGTAATCAACCAAAGACCTTGAATGTATATATGCATAACCCATGGACACAGACAATAAGGTGCTGAAGGCCTGGGGCGGGGGTGGGGGTGGGGGGTGGGGGGTGGGGGGAGAGTGGGGAGGGGGAGGGGAGGCAGCCTGGAAGAGGTCAATGGGGGGGGAAAAGGAAACATGTAATTTTTTCAACAATGAAGAATTATTAAATAAAATAATAACACATTGTTCTAATGAGCATATGATTTAATGCCACTAGATTATATTTATTACTACCTAAGGATGAGTAAAATCACTAAGGATGAAAATGTTAACTATATTTTAAAAGACACAGGCACTAATCTAGATAGTTTTTATATTATGCACTTGATATAAAACACTGCCTGTACTACTTAAAAAGCGAAATTAGAATTTATGCTTGGAGTGAAGCTAACTTTTCATCTTTTTTCCCTTAGCTGTACTGAGCCATTTCTGAAGTACCAGCACTAAACATTTCTTTTTCTTCTCTGAGTTCTTACAAGCCTACCAAACACCAGCATCAACCCACTTATACATTGCCATGTTTACTAAAATAAGTACAAGTTGATTTATATATTTAATACCTAACAAAAATTTTGAAAGAATCTATTAGAAATATAATACTTCTATTCACATAAATCAAGAACCTATCTTCAAGAGAATTTCCTTATGTTAATAAATGCCATAATAGAGGTAATGGAGTACTTACTCTATTACGATTTTCAACAGAACTCATTTCTGTATGTAAAAAATAATCAAGATTTATTACAAGACAGCAGCATAAATGGGCAGGTTAAGCTGGTAGCCACTGTCCCAACTTAAAGTTATCCTGTAAAAATGAACCTGATTTAAAAAAAACACACATATAATATTTAATGAAAGAGATTACCTAAAGGTTTTTCTTGACAGGTGAATGAGGTAACCAGGAATGTTCAGGTATATGAATAAAATGGGGGCAGGCCTAAAATGCGATAGTACTTAAGAAAAGCAAAAACTGATCAATTATTTTGTAATCTGCCTGGCAGGGGATGGGATGGGTGTGATTAAAAGGAAGAAGTTGGTATGTGTAAGATCTAAAATGGAAATCCAAAGAGCAAGGTTTAGACTGTGTACTGCCAACATTATCCAGAGGAAAAAAATGTCCTTAACCTTATAGTGGAGATGTGGATATCAGGTTTGATTCCTGCATTTATTTTCTGTTTCCTATGCTGCCTTTCTCAACAGGTATTCCTCATATGAACCAGAAAATGACTATTTTCTAAATTTTTCCAAGATATTGCATACATAGTCTTCTAGATGTATAGGAGGGTTGTGTAGTCACATAAAATGGATGCCTAAGGGCATTAGGGTTTAATTCTCCTGCAGAACCTCGAGAAAGGCTGCAGGAAATATGCTGACTAGTCATCTGGAATAACTGGCCCATTGAACAGTAATGGTTTTCATGGTAAATTGATAAAAAATGACAATGACATTGGTTTAGCCCAGCCGGCGTGACTGAGTGTTTGAGCGTTGATCTATGAACCATAAGATCACTGTTCGATTCCAAGTCAGGGCATATGCCCAGGTTTCAGGTTCCGTCCCCAGTAGGGGGCATGCAGGAAACAGCCAACCAATGATTCTCTCTCATCATTGATGTTTCTATATCTCCCTCTCTGAAATTAATCTTATATAATAAAAGGCCAATATGAAAATTGTCCCCTTGACTGGGAGTTCGACCAGGGGGCGGGGCCTGCCGGCCAACTACCCATGGCCCCTCCCCTGGCCAGACCAGCCCGATGGCCCCCATCAGGGAGGGCCAGCCAGACCCCACCCATGCATGAATTCATGCACTGGGCTCTAGTAAAAATATATTTCAAAAACAAAATGACATTGGTTTATGTACTGGTCTCCCCTGAGTTCTGTAAACTTTTTGCCAGTATCCAAAAGACTGATAATCTGTGTGTGCTGATAATTCTATATAATAAAAGGCTAATATGCAAATCGACTGAATGGCGGAATGACTGGTTGCTATGACACGTGCTGACCACCAGAGGGCACTCAGCCCAGGAACTGCCCCCTGGTGGTCAGTGTGCTCTCATAGGGGGCTCGCTGCTTGGACAGAAGCCGGGCTCACAGGCTGGTGAGCGCAGTGGCAATGGCGGGAGCTTCTCCCGCCTCCGCAGCAACTCTAAGAATGTCCGACTGATGTGGGGAGTGGGCCTAAGCCAGGGGTGGGCAAACTTTTTGACTCGAGGGCCACAATGGGTTCTTAAACTGGACCGGAGGGCCGGAACAAAAGCATGGATGGAGTGTTTGTGTGAACTAATATAAATTCAAAGTAAACATCATTACATAAAAGGGTACGGTCTTTTTTTTTTTTAGTTTTATTCATTTCCCCATGGGCCGTAGTTTGCCCACGGCTGGACTAAGCCGTCAGTTGGGCATCCTCCAAGAGCTCCTGGACTGTGAGAGGGCACAGGACAGGCTGAGGGACTCCCCCGCCCCCAGTGCACAAATTTTGTGCACCGGACCTCTATATATGATAATAGCTTCATAACTTGTTTAGCATCCTTAGTTTGTCTACCATTTAATATACTCCTAAGTTAATATACTTATTTAATACTAGAGGCCCAGTGCACGAAATTCGTGCATGAGGTGGGGAATGTCCCTCAGTCTGGACCGCACCCTCTCCAATCTGGGACATCCCTCTCACAATCCAGGACCACTGGCTCCTAACCGCTCGCCTGCCTGCCTCATTGCCCCTAACTGCGTCTGCCTGCCAGCCTGATAGCCCCCTAACCGCTCTGCTGCTGGCACGATCGCCCACAAATGACCTCCCCTGCAGGCCCAATGGCCCACAACTGCCCTCCCCTGCAGGTCTGATCGCCCCCAACTGCCCTCCCCGGCCAGCCCGATTGCCCACAACTGCCCTCCCCTGCCGGCCCGATTGCCCCTAACTGCCCTCCCCTGCCAGCCTGACTGCCCACAACTGCTCTCCCCTGCTGCAACCCGCCTCCTTTGCCAGGGCCTGCCAACTCCACACGAGGCAGTGGAGAAGTCAGGACCGGCCTCCTCCACGCCACGTGGAGCAGCGGGACCCCCAGGCCTCACCGCGCAGAGCAGCTGCCGGGCCCCACCTCTGCTCTGCGTGTGGCCATCTTGTGGCGATGTCACGCGCAAGGGCACGAGGACCACCTAGGCTTTTATTAGTATAGATTCCCAAAGCACAGATTCTCTCGCTTTACTTTAAAAAATTTACTGTAACCTAGGATAGAATTATAATCTGAATCTTAGCATTCAAAACCTTCCAAAATATAGTAGTCTGAAGCAGTGCTTCTTAACCTTTAATTCCATATCAATCATTTGAAATACAGTTAAAATGTATATTCTATTTCAGTACGTCTGGGATGGGGTCTGAGATTCTGCATTTCTAACAAATGCCAAGATCATGACAAATGTTTTTAGTGTGCAGATCACATTTTGGGTAGCTGGAATCTAAAATACCTTTTTGTTCTTTCTGTCTACTACTCTCTGGTTAGGTTAACTAGCTTCTAAATAAAATGAATTATTTGTCATTCCTTGACAGCTTACTCATGTTTCCCCCTGCCTTAGAATACTACCCCTCATCTTCATTCTGACTTATAAAAATACTAATCTACCAAGAATATATTCAAGTATCTTTTACATGAAAACTCCCCTAAAAAAGTAAGATCACTTCTTTGTCTGAATTACCATATAATTTTATTTTACTTAACAAACTCTCTTATTGCAAATTGTGTCAAATAATGTCCCAACCATGTTACAATTATTATTTTAATCCTTATAAAATAACCCTATGAGGAAGGTCATCTCCATTTTATAATTAAAGAGAGATAGAGAAATTAAGTAGTAACTTGCACAAGGTCTTAGAGTTAGTAAGTGGGTAAGCTGAGATTTTTAACCCAGGCTGATTAACTATAGACTCCATGCTTTTAACCACTATACCAGCGGTTCTCAACCTGTGGGTCGTGACCCCTTTGGGGGTCAAACGACCCTTTCACAGGCAGGGGTCGCCTAAGACCATCGGAAAACACATATATAATTACATATTGTTTTTGTGATTAATCACTATGCTTTAATTATGTTCAATTTGTAACAATGAAATTGGGGGTCACCACAACATGAGAAACTGTATTAAAGGGTCGCGGCATTAGGAAGGTTGAGAACCACTGCACTATACTAAGCTCCTCCTACTGGTGGTACCTATTTGTTTTCCTATACTCTATAGATATTAATATACTTTAGAATCTTATCTCATTTATTCTATATCCTTCTGTATTCTACCCAAAGGCTCATTTTGTACACAAGGTGAAACAAAAGTTTAATAATCATAGCTTAGCACTATGTTTAACACATACTAGGGTGCTAAATAAATACTTACACATCCTATCTAATAATAGACGAACATGGTAATTGACCGTACCTTCACTACGCCTCCCATTGGCTAATCAGCGTGATATGCAAATTAACCAACAAAGATGGCGGGAAATTTGCATACTGCAGGCAAGGCAGGACAGCGCCATCCCGCCTGCCCTGCCGCCATACAGGCCTGCTATCCATGTGCGACCCGACCCGGGGTGGCTGGGCAGTGCAGCAGCGATCAGCCAGCCCACCTGGCCTCCGTCCAGGCGTCCCGTGTGCAACCCGACCCGGGATGCCAGGGCGGGGCAGCAGCGATCCTCTGGCCCGCCCGGGGTGTCCCGTGTGCGACCTGACCCGGGGCGGCACCCCAACCCCCGGATCGGCCCTGCTATGTGCTTGACCCGGGGCGGCACCCAAACCTCTGGATCGGCCCTGCCGTGTGTGCGACCCGGGGAGGAGGGGCAGGCACCGAGGGATTGGGCCTGCCATCTGCCACCCGGGGAGTGGGCCTAAGCCAGCAGGTGGTTATTTCCTGAGGGGTCCCAGACTGTGACAGGGCACAAGTGGGGCTGAGGGACACCCCCACACACCTCCCCTCCTCTCCCCTGCCAGTGCACAAATTTTTGTGCACTGGGCCTCTAGTTCAATTAATAAACACCTGTAAGTATGATGCTGGGCTAGGCCCTGGAGATGCAAGATGAGTAAGACATGATCACTGTTCTCAGGGAACTGGAGAAATGAGATTAATAACTAGCTATAAACACAGGTTTTTCCTTTATTTGCACATTTCTTCTGGTGATTGCATCCAGTTTCATGGATTTCAATACTATCTCAAAAGCAATGTTTCCCAGCTTTACATTTTCAGTCCTGATGTCTCCTTTGAGCTCCTGAGTCAGACATACGATGGCCCTCCTGACATCTTATGCAAGTCTAATGGGCAGCTTACTATGTCCCAAATAGAACTCCCCCTCATTCATTGTTGGTCTTTTGCAGCTTATAAATGAAAAAATGTTTGTAAAACTGCTTTGCAAGTTTTAGAGTGCTAGTCAAGTACTACTGATTTTTCTTTCCCAAACACTCTTTGAATTTTCTAGTAGGTTTTCAGTAAATTATTTCTTATTTATACTTTGCTCCACAGTGACCTTTCTAAAATACAAATCTGATAATGTCACTCTTTCCTTAAAATTCTTCAATGGTTCTTCATTATTTCCTTAGAATGAAATCTATTCTCTTTAGCACTATAAACAGTCACTGTCTTTCTCTTCAGTTCACCCCTGCCTCTTAAAATGAACATGTTCCAACTATACTGAGTTACTTGGCATCGCCTCAGCTCCATAGCTGCATAAAAAAATCCCACATATTGTTTAGAGGTTAGAGTGTATTCCTAAGAGCATATTTCTGGGTTATCTTGCCTGTTTCTTTCTTTTCTTTTGCTATAGTCCATTGCCTTTTCTTTACTTTCTTCCCTCCTCCTGTCCGTTTCCTTAGATTTCCTCGGTTTAAAATTCTGTTTTGCTTATCAGATTTAGTCCATTTTTATAGCTCTTGGGTTAATTCCTCAACAAATTTTAGTATTTTCTTATACATTAGAACTTCTTACTTATTTAATGCAGAAGACACAATGATTCCAATTAAACTGTGAAATTTCCTGAACATTAGATTGCTATATTTTTATCAAGAACAGCTTAGTTCTTCCTTTGTTGCTCTTTTAGTAGCATCTTCGTTAACTAATATTTGTTATGAAGAACAAGAAATAAAAACTTACATTGAGAAAAGCTGAAGAAGCCACTCTGCCAGCTGCTACAATAAAATCCATAATAAGCATTGTGGCACCAGGCAAACCAAGTGAAAAAAACTGAGGTGAGCAGTGCTTGATGATTGTATTGACAATATCCTGAGGAATAAGGAAAGAAGGGAGAAAGAATGTCACAAATGTAATCTTGAGTATTAGCTAATCAATATCCTTAAAAATAGATATCACATGAAATAATAAAACAGGTAATCCTATATAATAAAAGCCTAATATGCTAGGTGTCCGGTTGTCCATTCAACCAATCAAAGCGTAATATGCTAATGATATGCTAAGGCAGCTCAACTGCTTGCTATGACATGCACTGACCACCAGGAGGTAGACACTGACCGGTCGACAGGTCGCTATGATGCGCACTGACCACCAGGGGGCAGTAGACCGGCTGACCAGTCACTATGACGTGCATTTACCACCAGGGGACAGATGCTCTGACCAGTAGGTTAGCTTGCTGCTGGAGTCCAGCCGATCGGGACTGACTGAGACAGGCTGGACACCCCCTGGAGTCCTCCCAGGGTCCCTCCCTAGCTGGCCAACCTCCCGCGTTCACCCTGGCCCTGATCGTGCACCGGTGGGGTCTCTCAGCCTGGCCTGCACCCTCTCATAATCCAGGATCCCTCGGGGGAATGTAAGAGGGCCAGTTTTGGCCTGATCCCACAGACTAGGCAGAGAAACCCCACTGGTGCATGAATTCGGGCACAGGGCCTCTAGTTACTATATATTGGCTGACTAATTACAAATACTAATTTTAATTCCTCCAAATAATCCATACTTATTATATTCTGTCAAAGGAAAGTAAACTTAAAACATATTTGTTTAACTGACATCAATACAGCATTTTTTTCACACTATAGAGGAAGTTGGAAGGCTCTTTGTTTCAGAGGGTTAAAACTGAATTGCAGAGTAGTTCCTCCTGTTACCTCTTTGTTTCCATGTGATGATTCTGATCTCTGAAGTTGCATGGGCTGTTATATTACAATGGAAGAGATTCTCTTTTTTAGATAAACTGAAGTCCTTTGATGATAGATATCTAGCAATGGAAATCTAGGGAATAGATTTCCCTCATTTGAGGGAATATTCTTGACTTGATTAATAATCCACTTTGCCTTTGGAATTTACAATGAGAATGTGGCATATAACCTTGTATTACTCAATGTGATTTATCTTACACAAAAGCTCTCTTTTTCTAGTTATCAAGATCATCAATTTATCTGAGACATATTATAAGGTAGAACCTTGTAATTAGTTCTAATTAATGCAAGAAGTTTACTCATTTTTCAGAAAGTGAAATATCTTTTAATATAAATTTAATGCTATCTAAATGAACTGAAAGTGAAATTTAACCACATTTAATAAAAATGCTTGCATTACTTTGACTTGTAACCTACCACACTTTTCAGTTTTTTGGCCAGAATCAAGACCCCTGAAGTAATGTTCTAGAGTCATAATTATGACTATATAATGTAATGATTGTGATTGACACAAATGCCAAGTCAATATAATTGTCATTATGCTCATACAATTTAAGGTAATAAGAAAATGTGATGTGTTGACTCTTAGAGTAGAAAAAAACCTCTGAATACTACATGACTAGATGAGTAAGTCCATATGCCTCAAGTACCAATTATCAAGTAAAAATTACAAAATGTTGTCAACATAAGCAAAGGATGGCTTAATCTCTTCAAAAAGTGAACTATTTGGTATAACACTAGAGGGACAATGCATTTAATAGTCAAGTCAACCCCTTGTTACAATAGCTTGTTTCTCCACCTACATTTCAAAAACAAATGAGGTCATAAAATGAAAAAACTTGTAAATAAACCACTACATAGGAAAAAATTTTAATTCTAGACTTTGAATGTCAGGAGTTAAACAGAATTGAGAAACAAAAATAAACATATAAAGCAACTTGCTAGGAAGTGCATATATTTACCTGATCGATATGAAGTAATCCACAATGCATTATGTTATAAAAATGTGTCAGAAAATCTCTATTTGGAGAAACATCTTGTCTTCTTTTCATTGTATTGCAAATAAGCTTATAAGCATGTAATTTCCCTTGCTTATATTTATCAGTCAACATGGTTGCCTACAATTTAAAAATATTGGCTTTATTACTAAAAAAAAAATACTGTTTATTAAATACTTAAACATTTAAATATATCAAGAAATATATATACATATATATATGTAAACACACACACACACACACACTAGAGGCCTAGTGCATGAATTTGTGCACGGGTGGGGTCCCGTGGCCTGGCCGGTGATTGAGGCCATCTCGGGGCCGGCTGGCCAGGGAGAGGGACCGCGGGAGGTTGGCCGCCCAGGCAGTGGGAGTGCACTGACCATCCGACCGGCCAGGGGGAGGGATTGCAGGAGGTTGGGCAGCCATGGGAGGTTGACTGTGGGAGTGCACTGACCACTCGGCCGACTGCGGTGAGGGACCACAGGGTTGGCTGGCTGGAGGGAGGGACTGTGGGAGGTTGGCTGTGGGAGCACACTGATCACGAGGGGGCAGCTCCTGTGTCGAGTCTGTCCCCTGGTGGTCAGTGTGTGTCATAACAACCGGTTGTTCAGTCAACTGGTCCTAACCATCATTTAGGCTTTTATATATATACTAGAGGCCCGGTGCACAAAAATTTCCGCACTCGGGGGGAAGGGAGGGTCCCTCAGCCCGGCCTGTGCCCTTTCGCAGTCTGGGACCCCTTGGGAGATAACGACCTGCTGGCTTAGGCGCGCTCCAGGGTGGCAGAGGGCAGGCCCAATCCCTAGGTGCAGCCCCTAGTCGGGCTCAGAGCAGAGCTGATTGGGGAGTTAGGGCGCCGCCGCTGTCATGCACAGAGGAGGGCGGATCGGGAGGTTGCGATGCCACCCTCAGTCACACTGAGGGTAGGGCCGATTGGGGGGTTGGGGCACCGCCCCCTGTCACACTCAAGGCAGGGTCGATGGGCAGGTTGCAGCGCCACCCCGTCACGCACAGAGCAGGGCCAATCAGGGGGTTGGGGAGCTCCCCTCTGTCACTCACACAGCAGGGCCCATCGGGGGGTTGGGGCTCCGTACCATGTCACGCACAGAGCAGGGTTGATCAGGGGGTTGGGGAGCTCCCCCGTCACACACGCACAAAGCAGGGCCCATCAAGGGGTTGGGGGGCTCCCCACTGTCACACACAGAGCAGGGCCGATCAGGGGGTTGGGGAGCTCCCCCCTGTCACTCACAAAGTAGGGCCAATAGGGGAGTTGGGGCACCGCCCCCTGTCACACACAGGATCAGGGGGTTGGGGCACCGCACCCTGTCACACTCAGGGCAGGGCCGATGGGGAGGTTATGGCTCTAAGCCGTCACACACAGAGCAGGGCCCGTGGGGGGCGGTTGGGGCATCGCCCTCTATCACCCACAGAGCAGGGCCGATCAGGGGTTTGGGGAGCTCGCCCCTATCAGGCACAGAGCAGGGCTGATCAGGGGGTTGGGGCACCTTCCCCTGTCACGAACAGAGCAGGGCGGATAGGGAGGTTGTGGCCCTGCCCCCTGTCACACACAGAGCCGCAGGGCGATCAGGGGGTATGGGCGCTGCCCCCTGTTATGCTGATCCCGGTGCCGGGAGGCCTTGCAGCTCCTCTGATCCCGGTCCTGGGAGGCATATTACCCTTTTACAATATAGGATAGAGGCCTGGTGCATGGGTGGGGGCCAGCTGGTTTCCCTGAACGGTGTCCTGGATCAGGGTGGGGGTCCCCACTGGGGTGCCTGGCCAGCCTGGGTGAGGGGATGATGGCTGTTTGCAGCTGGTCACACCCCTTCAGGGTGGGGGTCCCTACTGGGGTGCCTGGCCACTCTGGGTGAGGGGCTGAGGGCTGTTTGCAGCTGGTCACACCCCCTTCAGGGTGGGGGTCCCCACTGGGGTGCCTGGCCAGCCTGGGTGAGGGGATGATGGCTGTTTGCAGCTGGTCACATACCCTTCAGGGTGGGGGTCCCCACTGGGTTACCTGGCCAGTCTGGGTGAGGGGCTGAGGGCTGTTTTCAGGCTGGTGGGTGACTGAAGCTCCCAACCACTCCTTTTTTTTCTTTTTTTTTAAATTCTAGGCCAGCTTTAGCTGTGAGTCTTGGCTCCAGCTCTTAGGCCTCCGCTGCTGAAAGCAGGTTTCTGGCCTTTGTTTACCTTCTGTATTTGAAACAGTGTTGCGATCCTGCTGACTGAAGCCCGGCCGACTAAAGCAGGTTTCTGGGGTTTTGTTTAGCTTCTATATTTGTAACATATTTGCTTAGAGTTGCAGCTCAGAGGCCGGCAGCGGCAGGCAGGGAACGTTGGAGTCCTCCGTCACTGAAGCAAGCAAGCCTCATGTTCGCTTTAAGCTGCCTGGTTGCCGGCCGCCATCTTGGCTGGCAGTTGATTTGCATATTGCCCTGATTAGCCAATGGGAATGGTAGCGGTCGTACGCTAATTACCATGTTTCTCTTTTATTAGATAGGATATTTTTCAAAGCACATCTTATTTATATAACAAAGGGTTATTTATATATCCCTTACAGTAGGATAGTTTTGTTAGTAAGTTTTCTGTGCCTGTAACATCAAATGCTTTACTATTCATTTTTGTTTTGTTTTTAAATAGACTTTTTAAAAGAATAGTCTTAGGTTCATAGCAAAATTGAGCATAAAGTACAGTTTTCATATACTCCTTAACCCCACACACGCTATTTTTTTTATAATTTAAATTCTTTTTTGTTTAAAGTATTACATAAGTCTCCTTTCTCCCCACTGACCTCTCCCTGACTGCCCCCATTCCCCTGTAAAGCAATATATTTATTTTCATTTATTTCTGTTGGCTCAATTTCTTTGAACAAAATATCAGAATTACCTAAACCATTACCATTAAAATGATACAAAACAGTGTGAATAACCACACAGTTTCGCTTAGAAAAATGTATCAAACATATCAAGTGATATTTAAAATAATCACATCTTTATAAGTACAGCCGAAACCAGTTTGACTCAGTGGATAGAGCGTCAGCCTGTGGACTGAAGGGTCCCAGCTTTGATTCCGGTCAAGGGCATGTACCTGGGTTGCAGGCACATCCCCAGTGGGAGATGTGCAGGAGGCAGCTGATCGATGTTTCTCTCTCATCGATGTTTCTAACTCTCTATCCCTCTCCCTTCCTCTCTGTAAAAAATCAATGGAATATATTTAAAAAATAAAAAAATTAAAAAAATAAAAGTACATACATAGTGTGACACAAATTTAAGATTAATATTTCATTAAATACAATCTTATATAGTAAAAGCTTAGTATGCAAATGTCCCCTCCACTGGAGTTCTTCTGGGAGTTCAACCAGGGGGCGGGCCAACTGGGGGAATAGATGGATGCCCCAGTGGCAGCAGACAGCTGGGGAAAGGGAGGGAGTACCTGGCCAGTGGCCGGCAGCTGGCAGCCGCTACGGACCGTACCAGTACATGAATTTCTTGCACTGGGCTTCTAGTAAAAACATAATCCTATATAATAAAAGCCTAATATGCAAATCTACCGAACGGCGGAACAACCAGCAGACCAACTGGTCGCTATGATGTACACTGACCACCAGGGGGCAGACGATTAATGCAGGAGCTGCCTCCACCCTGCAGGCCAGACCAGCAGCAGCAGGGGGAGGGGGAAGTGGGAGGAGGGGGGCAGTGAGTGGGTAGCGCCAGGCCAGCCAAGGTGGGTGCCAGCAGGGCCCCCCTGATTGGCCCGCCAGTCACCCAAAGATCAGCCCTGATCGCCAGCCAGGCTTAGGGACCCTACCTGTGCACAAATTTCGTGCACTGAGCCTCTAGTTTTCTATAAAAATGATGCATCCTGTACAACAAGCATATCAACTCACGGCCGGCGGGCCACATGTGGCCCACAATGAATATTTTTTCAGCCCCACCAATATAATGGTATGCAAGAAACGTTTCAAAAATTTTGCAACTTAATTTTTACAATATCCTGTTATACATAATCTTACCTAATAGACAAACATGTAAATTGACTGTACCTTCTATATGCTAACCAGCCAATCAGGAGAGTATGCAAATTAACCTAACAAAGATGGCGGTTAATTCGCATACATAGGCTCCAAGCAGTGGAGCGAAGCCTGACTGCCCCTGGGCCGGTGGAGCAGCGAAAGCCTCACGGCCGCGGGGCCGGCAGAACAGCAAAAGCCTCACGGCCGCGGGGCCGGCTCCAACTGGGTGCCGGGTGCCGGAGGAAAACCGGTGCCAGCAGCCAGGGGAAAGGAAGGCCTATTGCACAAATCTCTTCGTCCAACAGTCCTCTAGTTATTAATAATGAACTCTAACGTTCACTAATGATTGATTACTATAATCGTGTTGTATTCATTTCTCTTATGCGCCTTACGCGCAGGGGCACCATTTCTTTCCACTAATACTAGCAGGGAATATTTTAGCAGCCGATTGCCTTGCTATTAGTCTTATACTGACTCATTTGGTGTGTGCAACAGGAAATATTTCACTTTTGGAGAACCAGAAAAATAGGTTTATTTGCGTTATTAATTTGTGCAGTTATTCAGTGTCTGGTAAGTTAATGTTCAAGAAAAAAATATTAATTTTTATTAAAATGTTCTATTATTTTATGTTAATGATTTCTCATTTCAGTTCTTTGTAGTCAGCATGTCTCTATTGAAATAAACCTACATTTCTATGAAAATTAAAGCTTTTGTTTTTTTGCAGCCCACATAAACTTAACCCTTGTTTATTTGGCCCATGTTAGCCTTTGAGTTTGACATGCTTGCTGTACAATAATTTTGCTATGCCCACTCTCTTTGCTGTATAACCCGTAATGACTAAAAACTAAGTGTGCTAGAAGACTATACAACAGCTCAAACATCTGTCAAATGTTTAAGACTGACATACATATATCCTAAATGAAATGTTTCAATTAATATTTTATATATTAAGCTTACCTTGAAAAGCCAAGGTGTAAGAATTCTCAATGGAGGTATCAAAATTGGTGGAGAAGGGGAGGTCAGGTTATCAGTCGAAATGCCGAGGTTATCTCTAATCTGTAATTTTCAAATAAAATGCAACAAACCAATGAAAGGTGTTCTTTCTTCTAATTTGTTTTACCTTAAACTTGAGATCAAGTCCAGTATCTGTCACTAACTACATATTTAATCATGGTTAAGTGACTTCATCATGGTAAGCACCAGTATATAATAAGGGGGGAAGAAAGATGGTGTGGCTATGTTATTTAAGGCTTCTGCTTCTTAATACTTTATTTTACTTTCCTTCTCTTATATCTTTTCTTTTTTTACCTTAGCTAAATTCTGCCAAAGTTCACAGAGGTAATCAAAAACTTGAGCATGTATTTCAGGATCCATAATAGCATTGACATCTCCCAAAATGCCTAGCATTCTCCGCCACATTACAGTAGCAACATCAGCATGCCATCCTGTAAGAGTACCCCCTGCCATCACACTACAACATTCAGATGGAAATTCACTGATTTCTATAGAAAAAAATAATACACAAGTATTAGTAATTTTTCTGGAGAATTGATCATAAAAACAGAAAAGAGATGAATTAACTATCTTAAATATCTATAAAAGTAAATAAAAGAAATGTCAATATGCATTAGTGTTATTTTTTTCTTGATAAGGTAAAAATATTACCAGTTCATAATTCCTTATTATGGCAATAATTACTTATTCCATAGTGCTTCTATCTAGCTTTACATAAGGAGGAAATGATGAAGATACCAGATAAAGAAATTTATGTTTGATATAAAGATCATATAACTACATACTCTATCTAATAACTATTTCAGATTATATCATCAAATTAACATAAAATCTCAGGCTACAGGCAGATCTTGTAGGAAGTCTTTATAAGCCAGTTTTCTTAGTTAAAACTTCCAAAGAAATACATTTCACAATTATATCAGACCTACCGTTAAAAGGATATCATAATGACATTGAAAAATACACATTTTTACTAAAATTTAAACATAATCTAAAATTTCCATATTTATATTCTTATTAATATTGGAAAGATTATATGTAAAAAAAATGTTACCTTGGATCCTAGTCATTTCTATCACAAATTATGTGATGTATAAGTTATTTAATAACCTCCCTAAGGCTATGCTTCTTCATTTGTTAAATAGATGGTATAGCTGAATATCATTATAGGCCTCCTCCAGCTTTAAAAAAAAAAATCTATTACTCTTTAAAAAATTTTTTTATTAAAGTTATTGGGGTGACATTGGTTAATAAATTATATAGGTTTCAGGTGTATGACACATTAAAAAACTCTTTCTATTCAATGTATATAATAAAAAAGGGAAACTCATTTGTCAGTAAAAATGAGTAAAAAATTTTCCTGCTTGATAAAAATCTCAATAATTTATGTTTGTTAGCATATGTACATCCTTTACTCTTAATGTTTACATTTTTTTTCTTTGCTTATAAGGTATACAATAACTGATTGTATTATTAAAAAGCTACTGAATAGTTTTTCACAATAATAAAAAATGGGCTCTGGTATAAACTCACTAAACTAACAGAAAGCGTGCAGTTTTTACTATCTCTGTTAACATTTCCCCTCTCTACAGACCCTTCATAATATAGTGATAAGTCAACTTTGTCTCTAATTATCCTTCTCAAACTAAACAAAATTTTAAATGATTACAAAGCAAGCAACAATTTACTTTTATTTTTTAATCCTCACCCGAGGATATTTCTAAAAACTGATTTGAGAGAAGAAATAGAGAAAAACATTGATGTGACAGAGAAACTTCAATCTGTTGCCTCCCATATGTGCCCCAACTGAGGATCAAACCCACAACCTTTTGGTGTACAGGATGATGCTCCAACTGAGTCATCTGGCCAGGGCACAATGTGGGATTCTTTAAATCCTAGATTGGGCTAATGGTGGCATAAGGTTGCTATAAAAGATATTATTGGGACAACTGAGGAAATTTAACTATGAACTAAAACTGCAGTGACATATCAACATTAAATACCTTGAATGTGGCCATTATATTGTGGGCATGCAGGAAATTAATGCATACTTATTCTTAGGACATTCTCGCTGAAGTGTTGAGGTGTGTAGAGTCTGTTATTTCTAATTCACTCTTAAATGACTCAGCAAAAAAATAAAATTTAAAAAAAGGGATGGTGGGATTTTTTGTGTGACTGTGTGGGTATACACAAAGGGATAAAGTGGCAAATATTAACAACTGGTGAATTTAAAGGATTTACGGATATTTATTTTACTAGTCTTGCAATTTTCTAAAAGTTTAAAACTTATTCCAAATGCCAGGAAGAAAACTGAAAACAAAAAATTGTAGGCCAAAGGAGGAAAGAAAAGGTTAGAAACAACGCACAACCAGAAATAGGGCTATGTAATTCCAAGTTAATTGCATGCTAAGAGAATGAGTACCTTAAAAAAAAGGGTGGGGGGCGCAGAAGTTATATGGCTTAAAATTTCTTCCTTTGGTCAGAGAACAAATCTGCTGCATTATCAATGAAACTGGTATTCTGTATTATTTATTGTAAATATCTCAACAACTATGTCCTTGACCAAAGTTTTTAGCATACGTATTCGCAAAATGACTTATCCTGATGCTTATTACATTAAGTAGGACTTAGCAAAAATAACTTTTGTTTTTAAATTTATAGTTTCTAAGGTTTCCTACTTACTTTTTAACATTTACTTAAAAATAAAATACTTCATTTGGATTGCCTACTTTTTAATTAAATTTAGTTGATATAGTTGAAGAATCAAGTTCAATGAAAAATTATTGATTTGATCAATTGTTTTTCCTGAAAGCCTGATTAGCAAATGACAATTCTATTTTCTCCTGTGAGTCAGCAGGTTCTTCAGATACAACATTAAGAATAATGATGCCAAATTATGTCTTTCCTGTTTTAGAAAATGAATGGCACTATATCAATGATAATATAACACACAAAATTAATGTAATCACTAATGCTAGAACTGTAATCAACTATAAAATCACAAATAACAAAAATCAGAATATAAATATTATTCTTTAAGAGTAAGAAAAAATGTTATAGTAACAAATTTCCAAGATTAGAAAACCCCAATGACAGAATAATACATAATAAATATGTATATAATACATAATCAAATTTAAGATGCCTTATTTTAAGATCTCTTAACACTAATGCCCTGAAAGGAGAAATGGCAAATATCTAATTTCCAAATATTGCCTAGGTCATCTGGCGTCTGAAGAACAGAGTGGTGAAGTTTCTCATCAAGCTGCAGATCTTTCTGTTCCATATGTTCTATATTCAATGTAGAAGGAGAAGGTGTTTGTGACCTGGATCCCAGAGCTGAATGAACTGGAGAAGCACTTTCTGAACCTGTAGATATAATTTCATAAAATTAGCATAAAGAAGATATTCAATACCCTCTAAGATGTAATGCTTAAGCCCCAATAAAATAGAAATTAAAAATATCAAGATAAAAAAGGTTATAAATTAGCCAAAGAGGTAAAATTAAAATATTATACAAAACTTTGTATCTAGTGATCTCATCTTATGTCTACCATGGAACTAGGATGGAATCAGAATTGGACATACCAGCTAATAGAAGCCATCAATGAAGGCAAGAATATCTACTCCCATTCCTGGTCCAGCTATAGAGATTCTGGTACCCAGTGCTATTCAATTTCATTTAATTCAATCTTGGGGCAATTAGATTTATTTTATGATTATTTCTTCATATATTTTTTATTGATTTCAGAGAGGAAGGGAAAGGGGGAAAGAGAAAAACCAATGATGAGAGAGAATCATTGAACGGCTGCCTCCTGCATGCCCCCTACTGGGGATTGATCCTGCAACCCGGGCATGTGCCCTGACAGGGAATCGAACCCTGACCTCCTGATTCATAGGTGGACACTCAACCACTGAGTTGCTGATCAGGCTCTTGGGGCAATTGAAGAAGAACTTGCTCCTTAGGCTATATATACCACTATGGTTGCTAGCCTGAATTACAGTGGTCCCTGGTGGTCCTAGTCTTTAGTCTCCCTCTACCCCCTACCCCTTCTTCCTAATCTGTTCTCCATAAGACAAAAAAAACCACCCAAAAAACAAAAAAAGAAACAAACAAAAAAAGCCAACCCAATATAAAAACCCTAAAAACGAATCTAATCATGTCATTCTCTTATTTAAAATCCTTCTATGGCTCTTTAGGGGACTCAGCATAAGCCCAAACTTCTTAGTGTGGTTTTCCAGTCTTTCTGTAACTCTCCTACCATCCTACGCTCCCTCTAATACAGCGATTTTCAACCTTTTACATCTCATGGCACACATTAGTTAATTACTAAAATTCTGTGGCACACCAAAAAAATATTTTTTGCTGATCTAACAAAAAAAAGGTATAATTTTAATTGATTCACACTGAACAGCTATTGTTGTGTTGGCTGTTGTGACTTTTTAAAAATTTGACAATCTAAGGGAAAAGAGGTAGGTCAGTGCCCCTAACTATAAAGTAAGCTACTGCATGTTTTAAAAATTCTTGCAGCATACTGGTTGAAAATTGCTGCTCGACTACTTTTAAGTTCTAGCCATAGAAAGTAAACTGGTATTTATCAGAATGCATCATACCTCTGGCCTTTTTCACATGTTTTCCTTTACATGGAGCCCTAACTCTCTTCTTTTAGGCCTGGTTGACTTCTATTTATTTTTCAAGTCTCAGCTTAAACACTACTTTCTAAGAAGTCTAATCCTGACTTGACCTGACCAGTGTGAATAAGGATTCGCTGCTATAACGCCTTGTATCTCCCCATTATATATCACTTATCACAATGACTTGAAACTGCCTGTTTAGTTTTAAATATACTCTGTAAGAATAGGGACTGTATCTATGTTATATACTATAGTATTGCCAGTGTCTACTACCGTGTCTGGCACATAGCAGGCATTCTTCTTATTTTATTTTAAATTATATATAATGCAAATTAATATCATATTGAATAACTGGTGGTGGATGTAGTGGAGTACTGCGAGTACCAAGCAAGTAGTTAAAATATTAGGTCTTTTCATTTTATTTTTAAGCTTCTTTCTAGCAGAGGCCCTAGCCTGGTAACTCAGTTGGGTAGAGAGTCATCCCGATACACCAAGGTTGCTGGTTCATCCCTGGTCAGCAATCAAACACTGAATGCATTACTAAGTAAAACAACAAACTGATGTTTTATTCTCTCTCTTTCAAAAAATCAATAAAAAAAACTTTCTAGTAGAGAAATATCAATATTCTGTACTCAATAATCATAAAACTCTCCGATTGTTACCTCTTTCCACACACTAAAGCAAAAAGCACATAAATGAAATACATGTGTATTATTTTATTTCCACAAATGTGTCATTTCATATTATTTATATAATCTACACTAATAAAAGAGAAAAATGGTAATTGGCATACAGCGCTACCCTTTTCATTGGCTAATCAGGGCTATATGCAAATTAACTGCCAACTGAGATGGCAGTTAACTGCCAACAAAGATGGCGGCTAATTTGCATATGTAGGCACAATGCAGGGAGGCGAAAGGGAAAGCAGGAAGAAGCCCCCTGCCACTGACAGTGATCGGAAACCCAGGGGGGAGCTAAGAGGTGGGGGGCAGGGCAAAGGCCCCCAGCCATGATCGGAGAATCAGGCGCCTTTGCCGCCCTGGCCAGTGATAGCAGGAAGTAGGGGTGGAGCCAGCGATGGGAGCTGGGCACGGTCGAAGCTGGCAGTCCCGGGAGGTAGGGGTCCCTTGCCTGGGCCTAAAGCGGAGCCCACGATCGCGGGGCCGCTGCAGCTGCGGGTCCCCACTGCCCGGGCCGGACACCTAGGCCAGAGGCGTTAGGCCTGGGCAGGGGCGGAGCCTGCAACCGCGGGGAGCTGGGGGTCCCCTGCCCAGGCCTGACACCTCTGCCGGAGGCCTCAGGCCTGGTCAAGGGGCCGATCCGGTGATTGGTGATCGGAGGGTGATGAGGGTCAACTCCTCTGGCCGAGGCATCAGGCCTGGGCGGGGGGCTGTGGGTCCCCTGCCCAGGCCTGATGCCTGGGCCAAAGGCATCAGGCCTCGGTGGGGGGCTGAGCCGGGGATTGGAGGGATATGATGGTCCCCTTGCCCAGGCCTTGGCAAGGGGCAGAGCCAGCAATCGGAGGGGTCTGGGGGTCCCCTGCCCAGGCCTGACGCCTGGGCCAGAGGCATCAGGCCTGGGCTGGGGGCAGAACCAGTGATGGGGGGAAATGAGGGTCCCCTGCCCAGGCCTGACACCTCTGTCAGAGGCGTCAGGCCTGGGAAAGGGGCTGATCCTGCGATTGGAGGGTGATGGGGTCAACGCCTGAGGGCTCCCAGTATGTGAGAGGGGGCAGGCTGGGCTGAGGGACACTCCCCCCCCCACACACACCCAGTGCACGAATTTCGTGCACCGGGCCCCTAGTTTTTAAATATAACACAGTAAGTCCCTTAAAAAGTACATATGGAGATATGAATGCCTTATTTAATGATAACCATATGGATTAATCTAGGTTAAATTATGATACACAGTATGTGCTAAGTTTCCTGTCCTTCATTTGGAATTTGGTGTAAATTAATATGATACAAAATCATGTTAAAGGGCAGCTACAGAAACTTAAGGATACTATACCTTCATACAAACACAAACTGCTGAGGGCACAATGAAAAAAATCTCCTTAACATTTATCAAAAAATTTAAGTATGTGACAAAAACAATCATTAGCTTCGCAGTCAAAAGCAAAAGAGATTTTTTTGCTTTGTTATAAATATGTACAGTATATCCAAGGATGACATTAAATATTATTTACATTTTTTTATCCTTACCCAAAGATATTTTTAAATTGATTTTTAGAGAGAGAGAGAGAAAAACTTGGTTGCAAGAGAGAAACATCAAACAGTTGCCTCCTATAGCCACCCAGATTGGGGATTGAACCCACAACCTAGGTATGTGCTCTGACTGGTAATCGAACCTGGTTCAACCAACCAAGCCATCCGGTCAGGACTAAAATATTAATTTTTTTTAAAATAAAGATATTGCTATAAATATAGCCATGTCCACAAAACAAGCTATTTAGTTTTTGTTTTTATGACCTATATGAGATTTTATTTTGTAGTTCAAAAAAAGTTATAGGAAAACAGAAGGGTATTTCAGGACTACTAACATTCTTTGATAGAATACAGCTATTCTTAAAGTTAACAGTGCGGTAACACATGCAGATTTCACCTTCAGAAAATACTGTGTTGAATTGTTTGTATATTGAGTATATGAAGTTGTATTCTTTACTGAATTTTATGTCTTCTAAACAAATTAATCCAAGAACTGGGTTAGTTTTTTAGACAAACACCCCTGGCACTATTAATAATGGCCCCTTTAAGATTAGAATACCTAATAAAACTTCCTAGTAGAGTCCTAGAAGCAGTCACTATGTATAGCAAACATACGTTACATAAATATTAAAAATTCTTAGAAATTGAATTAGCCCGAAATCATTGTGAGGCAAAGGCCTAAAATAAGTTATCTATACATATCAAGTTTTATTTTCAGAGCTTTGTGTGAAACTTTATTTTTGGTAACTAAAAAGAAATAAGAAAGAAAAAGTGGGATTATACTTCTTTTACATATTATAATCTTTTGAAGATACAATAGTCTGATAAATAGCTTAAAGAAAACTAGAATATGGCTTATATGGTAAACATCTCTAGTTCACTCATCAGAGCAAGATGTTTAGAAAGTTTTCTTACCTTCAAAAAAGTAACTCGCCTCCAGATTAAGACAGAGGCACATATGGTGGGATTCTGAGTCACAAGCTGGGATGGTTATCAGGAGATCTCTAAACTACTGAGCAAACTTCTCGGGCATTTTATTATTTCTACTTTGAAATTCCAATCTTTTCAAGGTTCAATAATCTCTCTACACTGTCCAAAAATTTAGTTTTGATAATATTAAAATGTGTGTCACAGTAAAATCTAAAATCTTACTTTTTTTTCACACATTTTAAGTGTATAATTATATAAAATTGGCAACTGTATATAGTCCTGTATTCAACACAATAAAAATATATAACAGATCATCACCATTAAAAGCTTTCTTATGCCTATTTCCAGTTGATCCCCTTCCCTAACCAAGTTATCACTGATCTGCTTTGTCACTACAATTTTGTCTTTTCTAGAATTTCCTATAGATGGGAATAATAAAGTATGGTATGTAGGCTTTTGTATTTGACTTCTCTCATTTAGCATGTTTTTGAGAGTTATGGTTTTCATATATTAACATTTAATTCCTTTTTCTTGAGTACAATTCCACTGAATATTCAACGAATGAATACATAACATGAAAAGTTGCTGAATATAATTATTTACTGTATAAACACAGAATATTAGTATATTGAAAAATAAGCTCAATAGCCAGTACGCTTTACATTTTTTATAATACTTGCCAAAGAAATTTATAAAAATCTAGGCTGATTCTGAAAGACAATGAAAAAGGTAGAGTGCAGTAATTCTTAATTTTTGTTTGTTTGTTATCTATTTAAAAATTGCTGCAGAAAATGCTCTAATGTCAACATACACAAAATTTTACATACAATACTAGGAGTTCACAGAATCCCCTGAAGCTTATGCATGTGGATTCTAGGTCAAAAAACTCTCATTTATTTTTTTCTCCATTATTACATAAAGGTGAGTGAAAAAATAATACTTAGCCCTAGCTGGTTTGGCTCAGTGAATAGAGTGTCAGCCTGCGGACCAGAGGGTCCTGGGTTCGATTCTGGTCAAGGGTACATACCTTGATTGCAGGTTCCTCCCTGGCACCGGCTCTGGTCAGAACTGGTGCACAAGGCAACCAATTGATGTGTTTCTCTCACATCGATGTTTCTGTCTTTCCCTCTCTCTTCTACTCTCCCTAAAAAAAATCAATGGAAAAATATCCTCGGGTGAGGATTATAAACAACAAAAAAATAATAATAATACTTAAATAGTTCTAAGTAATACTTAAAATCTATCAAAATTAAATTCTAAACAGGTTCTTTGGTGGATTTAAAAAATGCATTTAAGAAATACATTCCCTTGAATAACTTTACCAGTAACCGTTGCAACTTCAGCAGAGAAAGCTTGTTGATTAAGGCTGCTTGTTTCAGAATCTATGTGAAGCGTGGTTAGACTAGCCACTTCTTGCTCTTCAGTACTCTGATGGTGACCAGAACCTGAATCCACATCAGCAGATGATGCAATCCCAGTATCAGCTCCAAAGCCAAAATCTATAGGAAAAAGAAATGCTAGTACATAGAAGTCCCAATCACAAAACAAAAATATCTACAAGAGACACAGCTACTTCAGCAAAATAATTAAACTTTAACATTCTCCCTAAATCTACTGTATTTATATACCACTTACACAAGTGTAAATAATGTTAATATTTGGAAGTTTACAATTAGAAAAAAATTTTAAAAGTTCTCATAGATAATTATTAACAAACAACAATGATAAAAGACAGCCAGACATATATCATCACTATTCTTACCCATGTTTCTGATAGTTAGTAATACACTTACTGCTCTTAAAGTACTTTATAATCTTTAGTGTGTGTGTGTGTGTGTATGCATATATATACACACACACACACATATATATAGTAAAAATAACACATATGTGGATGATAAAAATCATTTTTCTTTTAAATCATATTTCCAGTCTGAGGTAAGAGCAGTATATATCCATAAGGGTGGCAAACATGTAATTCTCCAATGTATCTCCCAGCTCTTCACAAACTTGGTTCCCAAGGTTTTGACTTTCTTTTTTAAAATTTTGGTGCCTTTCACTGACTGCCAAGTGTAATACAGAATTACAGTAGAAAAGATATATGGTAGTGATATAATACCAAATAATATCACTGATGTCATTTTAATATGAATTATTCAAGAAACATTCTGAATAGTGTAGCAATAAACATAACTATACTGAACATACTGAAACACTGAACATAATTAGGTTCCAAATATGAGTATATAAAATAGTAAGAACTCATAATCATGACTATCTGACCTTTATTCTAATATCAAGTCCATACTAATTTTTTTTCCTTCCTACATTTTTGGTCTTTAAATCATTCATTTTATAAAAGGACAGTATATTTTGTCTTTTAAAATGTCTTTGGTCTGCCAAAATAAAGTGGCCCCAACTTGAAAATGATTCCCTAAAAATTCCTTTGGAATTTCACTGAAAAATGAAATAAAAATATGTAGAAATCCCCTACGTAATATTAGAGAGGAAGGTGATGGTCATGTGATTCATAAGTCAATCTCGAACAGAAAACAATCAACAAAAAAATAATAATGCTCAAATAGAAAAAGATACTTGCTGTCAAATTTTCGTCCATCATATTGGAAAGCACTGAAAGAATCCGAATGACTATCTGAGCTGATAAGATCGCTGCTCCCTGCACTGGCAGGAGAAGTCCATTCTGAGGGTACACCTGGGTCATCAATAGGGCGCATTTGGTTCTGCTTGTTCAGAATATCAGGAAGGTCTTTGGGAATTTCGAGGCTGCCTGGACTACTTCCTCTTCTTGTCATAGTCTAAAAATTTAAGAAACATTTACCATTTTAAAAAAGTTCTTAAATTCTCACTAAACATCTGAAATCTTTCATTCCTGACACAATTATCACAATAAATGTTGTGAATTAGGGCCTGAAGCAGGAGGGGAAAAACATACTAATGGTACAATCTATATTAACTGTATGGAGCTGGGAGCTGGAACCTGAAACTATTAGTCCGCCTAAAGCAAAGACCCAAATATCAGATGGTGCTGGGCCTAATACTCTTGAGCCTCAAAAGGATCCATAAAGTAAATATAAGTTAAGAGAGTAGAAAGAGGAAAATATTCAAATGGAAAAAGAAGAAGCAATAAGAGATAGTGAAAGGAGGAAAGAATGCCACTCTACAATGATGTCATTCTATAATGATGCTATAAAGATGTTATTCTATAATGATCCTATAATTTTTTCCCCCACTCAAAAAAAAAAAAAATAAGGGTGGGAAATGTAATGGTCCTGCAGACTTTCATTAAAGACAAGTTGAGTTGGTGAAAGAGGGTATAAGGGGTATAAATGGTGATGAAATAAATTAATTAGTTAAAAAGTAAAGTTGAAACCCAAATGGAATATGACCATTCTTTTTGTTGTTGTTGTTAATTTTCACCTAAGGATATTTTTTCCACTGATTTTTAGAGAAAGTAGAAGGGAGGTGGAGGGAGAGAAACACTGATATGAGAGAGACAAATCGACTGAACCGAGGGGCCTGGGATTGAGCCTGCAACTAAGGTACATGCCCTTGACCAAAATCGAACCTGGGACCCTTCAGTCCACAGGCCAGCACTCTATCCACTGAGCCAAACCAGCCAGGCCTGGACTATGACCATTCTAAAAGGCAATTCCACATATATTTATCTTTCCTTAACAATTAAGCATTATTAGAGATAAAATTGCTTCTATTTTCATTTTGCCATAATTCTAATACTCAAAACAAAGGTAACTTTTAAATCTATTTCAAAGTTATCTGTAATGACTGAGGAATGTATGCTATTAATGTTATGGGAGTTTGGCCAGAAGACCTCCACTGTTATCTCTTCTGCTAAGGGCTGGCAACAGGCATCAGGGTAACCTATGAGCAAATAGAGGGGGGATTAAGAAGGCAGTAGTTTATAGTTAAGTAGTTGAGCAAACACCTGTCCTACTCTGGTCAAAACTATATGCCTGCTTGTTTTAGTTTTTGAATAAAATATGAGAATATAATTTAAAATGTTTAATTAAAAAGGGTTAAATTTGGGGGAAGGCTGTTTTGAATAAAAATTTCCACATATTATATATATAGATGAACACAGTTATACATCTTTTAGTTTCTCTACCTTCCTCTCTAAAACCAGATAAATAAAATAAAGTAATACTTACTGAGGCATTACCACTTCGAAGTCGTTCTGCTATAAACTCATCCATCAGATCAGGAACATTAGCATTGCTGCTGCCACTATCACTATTAAGAGGAGGCAGTTTTGGGCTCATATCCTCTTTATTGACTAAAAATAAATAAATAACTATATATAGTGAGGAAAGACTTAACCGCATTTTCTAAATTTGAAACAAACAAGAACAACTCAAAACAAATTACCTATGCCATATCAATTATTTGCCAAACATGCATTTATAAATAATTTCTCTCCCTTTAGATTTAATTTTAAGAATTAGTAAATTGATATTTACTTTAACTAAGCAGATGTTAGTCAATCTTCAGTATAACCTTAAATAGCAAGAAAGCTTATAGATAAGCACTAGTTGGAGTTAGGTTAATATTGATTATAAAGAAACTGGTATATTTATCTTTCTTTCTGCCTCTATACTTCTATTTAGTCAATTTATAATTCCCCTTTTTTCCAAAAGAATATTTGCAATAAATATATCCCTTGAATCTATGCAAATCTCAATGGGACATAAATGCATTTAAATTTAGGTATTTATAAATAAAAATTCTATGATTTTGACATGTTGCTTCTATTCACTACAAAATCTAATTTTACTGCTTTAATAAAAGGTATTTTCACAAAGGTTTTTCTGTAAAAAGAAAAGCCCAAAATAGTTTTCTTGATATTTTTTATCATCTTGATTTTTTAATGTCTACATTCTGATTAACATTACCAAGAAAGTGTTAAACTTGGGAATTTAAATTACAGAAAATAAGATATTTCACTATTATGCCATTAAAAAGTTGATTTCTCTTCAATTAAAAGAAAAAAAGCACTTGTTATATTCCTAATTAACTACAAAGCATTTCAGGTTAAGAAAATACACTGATCAGGAGCTAATTGTGAAATACCATTATCTTTATAGTAATGGCCAGGCTTTGCTAAGCTGTCAAATACTGCCCTCAAGTGGCATTAATGGCTCAATGCAAGTTGCATTCATTGTTAATCATGCTAACAAAACCATGTTAAACAAATAAAATCAAAACCTACCTTACTGCTGAAAGTTAATTTTCTATATATGTAAAGTTATTTTAAATTTGAATCAAGACAAAATAGTTATAACAATCTCGCTTTTTTTAATCTGTCCACAGAGGTTCCATATTTAAATCATGATTGGTTATCATGAAACCTTTATGCACATCTAAAATCTCAGAAAAGAGAAAGTAACAATAAGTGTTTCAAGGACATAATTTGCATTCTATACAAATGAATGCAAAACTAAATAGTCTATAGCTTGTTTGGAAATCACTTAAATAAGTAATAACTATATACTTTTAGATTTAAGAAATAATGTCCTCTTCAATTACAGTTAACTAAAAATGTTGGTGCTGATTGTAGGACCTTGATTTCCATTATGTTACAAATGTCAAAGTAACATTCTACCAAGAAAAAAATATAAGCAGTAAAAATAAATGAACTCCATGATATAGCTAGTGCCCTTTTAAATATAAACTATAGGGGTGAAAGTATTCTAGCTCTTCAGAAAACTTAATTTCAAGGCTCATGTAGTAAACACTCAGAAAAAAAATATTTTATTTAGATAACCTTTGAAAGGTTATTGAAATTTTCCTATATCTTCCTTTTTCTTATCTTGTTCAGCAGCAAAGAGGTTTAACTAAATGCCTTATAAGGGAAATTAGTAATTTAAATAAACATTTTATGCTGGGAAAAATATAGCTGGGAAAAGGCGCATGCATAACCAAACAGAGAGAAAGCAGTGACCATCCCAAAGCTTTTTGATTGCTTATAGCTTGCTTCAGTTGCATTAAGCCAAACTGGTGCTGTCTTTCTCCTTTTGCGCTCTGCACATTGTTAGTGCTCACCTGCAGCTTTCCTTCCAAAATAGCCCATTACATGACTGTACAGATCCCTCAGTGGAGCCTCTGGTGGCATTCTGTTCTGCCTCTGTGGGGAAACATTTGCCTTCGGCTTTGAAAGAGCATGTACAACAGTTTTATAAACGCCACCCAGGGAGCCCTGCGGTAGTCCTGTATCATGACTTGATGATCTAAGAGTACTACGACTACCTAGCTGATTACTTGCAATTCCTTCCTTTTGTAATATGGTGGGAATTTCTGTAGACTCCTTAATTGTTTTACTACTTATTGATGTTGTACCAACTGTATCTAGAGGTCTGTACACACCAGGTTTTACTAGCTCAGAAACACTATTTGAGCTGGTATGGGGGGGGTTACTGGTGTTGCTATTGCTACTACTACTGAAGCCACTGAGCTTCCGCAGTCTCATCTTCCATGGGGCCTCTTTGTTTTCCATAGGATTATAAAACTGAACTGACTCAGTAGATGGTCTAAAAGTAACATGAACACTAGTTCGTTTTTTAGTAGCAATTTTCATGATTTTGGCTCTATGAGTTACTGTTTCAGACAAGCTCCTTTTGGTTGGAGAAAGCTTGCTAGTGTTTGTAACATGAGGCATTCTACGGTTAACAGGTGCTTTTAGTGTGCTTTTCTTGGCATGCATAACATGAGGGACAGTTTTGTTTTCATTAATTTGCATATCTATAACCTTTTCAACTAGTGTTATATCTACACAAGCATCTAATTCTGTGGCTGCTTGTCGATATAGATATTTCCTCTTTTCTTTATCACAAGGGCTACCTGAACTAGGTTCCGATGACTGTTTATCACTGTTTAGTTGCTTAGATTTTTCAGAAGTCTTTGTTCTCATAAAACTATCTAATTGGTTAGATGAAATATTATTCATGAAGACAGATGAGTTTTGTTCTCTTTGAAACTGTATGTTTACAGGAGTCCCAACAAAAGAGGAGATATTTTCTAATTTATTTTCTTGATCTAGGTATTCTAATTTATCTAAGGATGACCTTTCATCCCTATTTACTGCAATAATCACTTCCTGAGAAGCTGCATCTTTACCTAACTCATTTTTACTGTGATTTTCCTGGTTTTCCTTAAAATATTCTTTCAGGGAGGAAAGAAGATCGTCATCTCCTTCAAGGTCAATGTACTGGATTTGTTCAAAAGCTGAATCTGCGAGTTCTACTGGATCTATTAAGTGACAAAGATGGTCATATATGCTATCACCAACTTCCAGAGAAGACTCTCTACTATGAGTATCAGTGATGTGGCTTTCAGTGGATCTAGTTATTGAAGAAGCCTCTGTGGAACTCTGCAAGCTTGGCGCATGACGGGACGAACTGTCAATGACAGGAACTGCACCTTTGGCTCGTTCAACAGTGAATGGTTCCAAGATGTCAGAAGTGCTGCTACTTCGAGGCAGTGGCTGTTCCTCATTCAATGCACCAAAAACTTCATTCCCAGTGTCTTCACTTTGTGAAAAATGTCTGACTCGAGTTGGGCGGGGAAGTATTTGAGTATCATCAATATCTGTAAAAAAGAAATATTACATAGAGTAGAATGATATGAATATGAAAAATAAGTATTACTTTCAACCATACCCTAGTCATATGCTTAAAAATAAAAAAATTCTGAGTTTTTTGTAAGCTCAATGAAAGAAAATCTATTAAAAGTACAAATCCGTTTTTAAATAATGATGGGCACAAGCCAATACAGCAGTGTCAATGAATTAGAAAACTACCAGAATATATTTTAAAATGTTAACATGCATAGAAAGAGACAGTAAGGTGATGAAACATTTGGAAGTGCAATTAAAGATAGAGCTGTGCCAATAAATCAAGCAATTCAAACTGTTGTTCAGTTTTTCCTACTTAAGTTCCAAGCAGAAAAACTAGATCTTAACATAGAAAGCTGATCTAAATATACCATTGTAAAGTCTTATAGGGCCTCATAAATTCCCATTTTCTTCCTTATCAGGCAAGAGTCATCATCTTTTCTGCAAATCTTGCCTGTTTGATTATACATTACAAATGAAAATCTCCACCCTCCTCCTAAACTTCTCTTTGCCAGGAAACTATTTGTTCTATTAAGTATTTTATTTAATTTTATTATAGCATTAACATCTATTCATCCCTACCAAATAAAATTAATATATTGTTTTAAAAAAACCTAATTGTATTTTTAAATTTCTGACTAAAACACCATTGAATCCACTAGGAAGAAACCTCCTCTGCCTATCACTAGCCCTTTCCATTAAACAACCATCAAACCTTAAAAACTATATGCTTTCTTACATCTTTTTAAAAATCACAGATTTTTAATAAAAGTGGACATTACAGACTGTCTACTTTAACTCTCTCACTGAGGAAATCGAGGCTTAAAGTAGTGAAACTACTTTCTCAAATTTATAATCATAGTTTGAGAAGCAGGCTTAATGTTCCATGTTATTACATTGTTTTTGCTGCCTGAATTGCTAAGTATATGGTAAAGGCTCAAAAATATTTATGAAATCAGAAATAACAAAATGAAATACTATTTAACTGTACAGATATATACAAATTAGAAATATCAGAAGTAAAATATATCTTTGAATTTACCATGGCCTTTACATTACCTAGAAATAACTAAAATATTTTTTTGAGAAGCCAGCAAAATACAATGAAAATAAGGACAAAGTCAAAAAGTCAGATGTTGCTACTCTTTAGGTTTGCAACACAAAGGTAATAAGCAACAGGACAATAACTGAACAATCAAAATGAGAATTCAGAAGCAAAGTAAGACAGATCTTGTCCAAGATCACATAGTAATTTATTGATGGTGCTGTCTAGAATTAGGCTTTCTTACTTTAGACTCTGAGACCAGTTTTCTCATTTTTAAAATGGAGCTAGCAATTCAAAATATTTTCAGGATTCATGCTATGGATGAAAGGAGACTAGTCTTCCTGCTACTTCATTCACATCATCCTCTTTGTATGATGTCCAAAAGGAGCTGCCTTATACCAAATTCAGGTCAAGAGAAATTTGTATTATGCCAAGATTCCACTATATTTTTGAAAATATACATTTATACTCCCTACATAGGTCAAATTTTACAAAGTTAAATTTCTTTTATTATTAAGTTGAGAATATAATACTAAAATGATGCCGGCTTTCTTCTTCATGTCCCCCCACCCCCCTAGAAATTCTTCTAAATGAGAAGTAAAACATCTAAGAATCTTCACGTTTATGCATATATACTTATTATTTATTACTGCAGCAGATAACTAATGCATATTTGTGCATCCGGATGAATATAAATATTTTGGTTATAGCTCTCATAATGATCATAAGAATCTCTGTGCAGAGGACACAGATTATGTTCAACATGCATAAATATTCTTTTTCTTTTCTTGCACAAAAATTCTTTCCACAAAATATTCTAATAGGACTCAGCAAAGTTTACGGCAAATACTATATAACTTTTCTACAAAAATTCTTAAGAAATACGTAGTTGAAAATTTATCAGCTCCATATTCAAAATCAAGATCATAGCCTTATTAAAATCTAATGTTATGAGACTAGCAAATAAATGAACTTCAGAAAAAAAGGAGTTTTTTTAGTTTCTTTTATTGATATCTCATTCTAAAGAAGCTAGTAAAGATTACTATAAAGTTCTGATTTTAGAAATTTCTTCCCAAACTCAGTCTCCTCCTTGCATGTTAGAAAATTTAACCATTTATTTTAGCCTAAGTTTTTTTCTAAACTTTTGTAACCACATATGAATATCCAAAACTTTTATGCAAGTTTGAGAGCTTTTTAAAAAAATATTTTTCTATCAATAATACAGTGTTAAACAATTTAAATTTAAACAGAAAACTTTATGAAAGTTTTAAGCTTTAAATACAGTTCTTACAGCAGCATATGACAATACTAATTGTATAAAATCAAAGAAAATAATTGCTAACAGGAAGCCAATGTCAGCACTTGCATAATTGACTCTAATAAGCCTTAAATTGAAAGAAACACAGTAAAACCTTGATATAATGAACTAATTCTGGCGAGGGGTTGTCTGTTAAAGCTGGAAGTCCGTTATATAAAAGTAGGTTTTCCGAATGCATATGTTAAAAATTTGACAAATTAGCGAGTTTAACTTTTTTACTTATGTAGACACATTTATGTAATTAAAATTAAGTATGTATGAAAGTTTAATTTCACAGAAAACTGTTCTATATGTATTACAGTAATTTTAAATTCATACTGAATAGGTCTAATAAATGTGTGCATTCAACCAGTCACCACGAGTAAACAAATGCACACAGCTGGGGTGTGGCTTAGCGCATGTCGGAACATGAGCCAGCACGCCATAAACTGCTACAGAAAGTCATGCCACGCGCCAACAGAACCAATTACTGGGTATGATCATGTGCTAATCATTCAAACGCTGTTTACAAGTAGTGACTCTTGTATTTAAATATGTAAACTATAGTTGTAGATATGTAATATTTATGTTGGCAAAAGTTACAGTGTTTTTTCCAACATATGGCCTAGTCACTATAATTTGTTAGAAGTAACAGTGAACAACAAAAAACAACCTTGTTGATTTAATTATAAGCAAATCTTGGGTAAAAGCATTTTAAGATTAACAAGGTGTTAATTTTACATATGGACTGTTAAATTTTGTCCATTAAATCTGAAGTCTGTGAAATTGAAGTCCACAAAATCAAGGGTTTATTGAATAATTAAACTTCAAGGAGAAAAGGCCAAATAATAGCTAAACCATATATAGTCTTTCCTACACTCTACGCATTGTTCTAAGAATCTTATATATATTAACTCATTTGATTCTCATAACAACTCTGTGAAGTAGGTGTTATTATTACCATTTTATAGACAAAAAAGCTATTTAAGTGATTTACTTTAGGTTACACAGAAAGTGGAAAGTTGAGATTAGAAGGCAAATATTAGTGCATGTCTTTATACTCTTGAATAATATTTATATATTTATGAAATAATTCTTTAATTTTTTTAAGTTGGAAAAATTATATTATTAAAGCAGCACAGTGAGTTATCTCCATAAAGATAAAAATCATAGAAGTCAAAACTTAGTCAAATACAATATTTTTAAATTGTACAGAAGAAAACAATTGACAGTTTGTATTAGATTGCTAAAAATAATGGTGGCATCAGGTTAAAATAAAAATGGCCTTCACAATAATCTAATTATACTACTTATATTTTACCTTAAAAAATAACAGCCTCTAAATTAAATTAATTTAACCTAGAGTGTTAGTAAGCACTAAATGAGCAAAACATGAAAAAAGTATTTTTTAATAAACTAAAAAATACTAATACTTTTGAACACTGAGAAAATGGTTCCTACAAAATACTGGAAATGTCAGTTTTATCTCTGGATATCCTTAAAATGTTTAACATTCAAGTTTTCTGAATTAAAAAGTAATTTTTTACAATATCCTGCTTCAGAAAAAAACCTTTGCTATTTCAAAAGATAAGCTGTAAATTAAAACATAATGTGTAAAATAAATAACTCCTTACACTATAATTTTTATTAATATAATAATATCCCCATTGCTTAAAATAGCTCATCACTGAGTAGGAGCTCAATAAAATTTTAATAATTTCTAAAACAAGGTACAGAATCAAGTGCCAAAATCCCTTTTACCAAAGTTAAATTCTATTATCAGTCAATCATAATAGCTATCAGTAATAATAGATATTTTTATAGCTCCTAAATTCATTAATATCATTTACATTATACTGAAATTGATGCCACTCTGAAGCTCAATATTTTTTTCTGGAACTGCCTAAAGGAAATGACAATGTCCTTTATGTAATTTTTGCCTATTTGGGCAATAATGATAATGTACCTTCAAGGTAAGCAAAAACTATAGAGCATTCTGTTTGTAATTTTACTAACAGAGGCTAGTAAAAAACTCTACATCTTTTTAAGCCTAGATGTTCAGTTTGTAGGTAATTCAAAGCAGTTAACTACATCACTGAAATCATGAAATGACTTAAAAACAACAAACCACATTTAATTAATTTTCATTTTAGACCACATAAACTTAAACCAATAAACTATCTTTTGTTCTTTTATCCTTCTAAATAATTTTTTCCTTGACTCTTAAATTTTGGAAACAGGCAAATAACTACTGATCACCTTTTATGATAAGAAAAGTATACTGTTTAATTTGTTCATAAACATGTTATATAATGTCATGTTTAAGTTAGCTTCAGATTTTTCCTTGAGATGTACTTTAAAAAAAAATCAGCACAAAAGTTTTCAGCAAAAAATTTCTAACTTAGAATTATGCTTAAACCAGCAGATTATAGGCAGTAAAGCTGTGAAATATTACTACCACATATTGATGATAAGAAGAAAGAAGTTCTTTGATTGTATAAAGAAGGGCCTACTTGTTTGATTAGAGATGAAAAATTCTCTTCCTGATCAGGCAGAATTTAGGAACAGGATGGGGTGTGAGAGATACCATCTTCTTTCTCCTAATACTCAGAAAATAGAAACAGAAAGATCAAAATATTTTGGTCTACAGAACTCAATTCAAATAATGAAGCACTGTTAAGAGCATTAGCAGTCTATATTACAGACAGACTACTAGACTCTGGGGTTAATAGCAACAAATACGGCAAACAAATTAGCAGCTTTGAAAACTTATTGAAAGAAAGTAGGTCTGCAAACTATTTCAGGGTGAGAAACCCACAGTGCTTAATTAGAAAGTAATAATAGTTGCAAAAGTATAAACAAAGTCAGTTGTACACAACATGCTTATGTTCTTTTACATCCCTTCTTTCATTAAAGTATTATTTTTGACAGTAAAAGCTAATTTGAATAATTATTGAGATTTCTGGCTTCTCTCTGTTTATCAGGAAAATTAAAGACCGTTAGGCTGGGCTGACAAACGTGTAGAAGTAGAAATTAGTACAGAGAAAGAACAGGGAGTGTGCTTGCCAAAACACCAGTTTAATTTACAGAACTTTAAAAAATGATGCCGGGTGTTTGTGCAATGTCCAACATATAATATCAAAACCTCAGGCAGGAGCCTGGAAAAAAATACTTTTCAGCATCAGATGTTAAGAATTAAGGTCATTGACACAGTGCCAATGCCCTTGAACCAGTCTCCAGAGCTAAAGAAACTCTTCAAGGATATTCAGCTACTCAACTAGTTTAGTCTATAGAAAGCTATACAAACACATAGCATCACAGTGACAATGTAGGCAGAATGGACATCTTAACCAATATTTGGAGGAAAAGAAGAAGAGGAGAAAAAAAGGTTGGACTAAATTAGGGTATTTTGAAAATTGGTGGTTGGTTTTTTAAATCTTAGTATGTTAAAAAAAAAAAAAAAAAAAAAAAAGAAGGGAATTAAATGAGTTTCTTTTTACCCCCATAAGAAACCAAGAATATCAGGTAAATATTATTCTGGAAAATTCTACTTCTAACCAAAAGCCAGAGTGATTATCTATGAGTAGTTTCGCTGTTGTGTGTGTGTGTGTGTGTGTGTGTGTGTGTGTGTGTGTGTGTGTGAAATTGTTACAGACATCTCAACTCTCTTAGATGACGAGCCCAGGATTTGAGTTCAATTAAATATAGTCTCATAAAATACAGAATTATGAAAAACATTTTTTCTTTATGTGCTAGTTCACTTTCCTTATTATTTTTCTCTGTACATTAAACTATTTTAAAGTAAAATTTATTCAAACCCTGGAAGAAAATAGTTTAGTTGAGGATCTAAGACTGTGATTTCCTTTAAATTTAGCACTGTTAATACAACTTCATTTTCTTCTCTCTCTCTCTCTCTCTCTCTCTCTCGTTCTCTCCCTTCCTTCCTTCCTTCCTTCCTTCCTTCCTTCCTTCCTCCCTCCCTCCCTCCCTCCCCCTCAATACACCTAATACCTGAAGAAGCAAACTCTAAGCTTCAATTTGCCTCTAAGAACCACAGGAGCAATAAAAAATACAGTAATTCCAATTTCTACTGTGTAAGCTTATGTTAGAATAATCCTGTCCAATTTTCATAAAGCTAATATTTAAAATTATGACATTGGTTTGATATCTTCCAAATTTGTTCCCTCTGAAACCTTAGTGTTATAGGACGAAAATATGTGTACCTGGAAAACTTTTCCATGATTAAATAAGTTTGAGAAATACTGAATTAAACAATTTCTTAATAGGACTTCTGGGGGCCTTTAATGTATTGATGTACACTATAAATCTTTAACCCTTTTTACGCCTATTAACATCTCCTTGAAAAGGTTTTCAATTTACACATCAGTTTCGAAAATGCTGGATTCATTCACAAGTCAATTCTCAGGAAAGGAGAGTTTTTGCTGCTACTTTTTGTTCCTTACTTCTTTTAAGTCCTAAGAGAAAAATGATTTTTACTCAAAGTCTAGTTATGTTTTTATACTTTATATATATATATATATATATATATATATATATATACACAAAAAAAAAAATGGAGGAAATTGTGTTTCAAATTATCAATAAAAAAAACACTGGTTTGGAGTGTTTACTTTCTCATATAATCCATATTTCCTAAAATTAACATTATTTTCATAATCAGATATAAAATTTATTTTGATTTAGTAAATAGTGTCTATTATATAAATCTTTAAAACTACCATAGGAGGAATTTTTTCCCAAATGGGGGAAATGAAAACAACAAATAAAGCATCCATTTAGAAAATTCCTTTCAAACATTCTACATAAAACACCCCCCCCCCCATCAAATTATTAAAAGGTAATTTTTCTGAATTATGTATTGACAGCAAAGCAAGAATTCTGAAACAGGAATTGATCCTGGTGAAGAAACAACTTTAGAATATTTTAAAGGAAACAACCTCATCTTTATTTGAGCATTTTAATAATATTTTAGCACTTAGCATGCATATTTTCCAAAATATTACTTAAGTTGCAGACAATAAATTTTGTAAAGCCCTTAAGACTTTGAAAAAAATAAGTCTTCCTGACAGTTTTAAGATGGTAGTAGAATATTTAATCCAAGCAAACATTTAAGAATGGTCAAAACTCATTTTATTTTTCTAAACACATCAAAAGTGGTTTGCATTAAATGCTTTAACTGTATTTAAACAAAGCTTGAAGGAAAAAATATATCTAAGAGAAGTTTACAACAAATTGGGAGTATTTTTTATTTGTATCTAATTTAGTTAAAAGAACAGAAACATTGTTTTATTTGCCATTTGGATAAATATTATAATCTGATATAAGCAACCAAAACCAGGGCTACTTATATAAGAAGGTATAGTGCTTCCATGGAGCATTGAAAAGACAAAATATCCTAATTCTTTATTTGGAGGTAAGTATCAAATGTAACAAAAATATGTGTTATTAAAATTCATAGTATTCCATTTATTTATTTCCAATCTTACTACTTTTTGTACTAATAGCTTAATTCAGGTAGCCTAATTTTATTGGTATAAAATACATTCATTTGTCATTAAATACTTATTGAGCATCCAGATTTAGATCTAAGGTCAAATTTTCTATTTTATTATTGTCATCAATAAAACTGCACAACTGTATCATAAAATTCATTATTTCTAATTAATTATATTTTGGGTTCAAAAATAATATTGAATACCTCTCAAAAATGTCATAAAGAATATATTCAAGTAACCTTCCCAATCAAGATATCCTGAAATAGAAAACACAAATATATTACATCTGATAATTGACTATTTTACTTTCTCATTTTAGAAAAAGCCAATACAAAAAATTTTTTTAAGTGAATACTAAGTTTTTTAATTGACAGTAATTCCAAAGATTACCAAACACAAGAATGTCTGTGTGTCTACATGTTATCTAACTCTTGGTTTTGAGAGAAATCTCTGATCTTAATAGTTTTAGAGATTGTGGAAGGGACTTCACCTGAAATCTTAATAAAAATGCACCTTCCCTCACATAAGCCTAGTCATTAGGAACTGAAAGGGAAATAGGTTGTTTTAAAAAAAACAAACCAGCCGAAACCGGTTTGGCTCAGTGGGTAGAGCGTCGGCTTGCGGACTGAAAGGTCCCAGGTTCGATTCCGGTCAAGGGCATGTACCTGGGTTGCGGGCACATCCCCAGTAGGAGGTGTGCAGGAGGCAGCTGATCGACGTTTCTCTCTCATCGATGTTTCTAACTCTCTATCTCTCTCCCTTCCTCTCTGTAAAAAATCAAAAAAATATATTAAAAAAATAAATAAAAAATAAAAAAAAACAAACCAAAACAAAATCAGCAACCTCACCGTAAGTGGCAATGTACTCCTAAGAAGAGAGATAGGAAAGTACCAAGAATGTACAGGTAACTTTCTTTGAACTAGCACATTTTGCATCGTAACTACATTCAACACAGCCTTGCTTCTTTCTAAAAGACAAGACATTATATGATTTTATTCATTGAAAACTTATTTTTAAAAGAAAAAACTTATCTATGGTGATAAAAATTAAAGTGGTTGTGCATGTGCATGCGCTAGTACATCGGAAGGGTACTGATTTAGTGTTACTAAGAAATTATAGGGGGAATGGAAACTTTCAATATTTTGTTTCTGGTGATGGTTAACAGACGTGTGTACAATTCTCAAAACTCGTTAATCTGAACCAGGATCTATACATTTTATTATATATTAATTAAACCTTATTAAAGAGACCATACCAGTAACTGGGGCTCAAGAACATGAGGTAGAATTGAAAAGTTGAGCGGGTTTTAAGGCTCCTTAGAAATTGAGGCTTCACGGAATGGTTTCTTTGTTTGGTTTTAAAATGAGTGAGTTCCTAGAATTCAATATATTATTATAAGCTAATATAAATACAAAGATTTATTATAAAACAATTTTTAGATTATGTACTTTTCCTGATATTAACTTGCCTTGCTTACTTCCATTACTATAAATGACAGAGACTGCAATATTCAAGATAGACCAAAGTGTTAGTAAAACAATGGAAAATTAAAAGTCAAGGCTCTGACTGTTATCTTCCAAGTCATCTTTTGTGAAATATTATAATGACATAAATATATACTATTACATCTTTTAACCATCTAAAAAGAAAAATCAAAACATAAACAGAAAAAAATTAGCCATTTACAACCAAAAATACTAGACATTGGCACAGCACTAAACTTAGCACTTCCAGAATGAACTGCAAGGATAGCATTAGAGTTCAAATAACTCAAAATGTTGATTTCTCAACCACTTTCCCAGTTTCCCACACCTCCCCCAAAGAAATTAACTTTGAAGAGTTTATTTGATTAAGCAAAATTTGAAAGCAGAAGGATTAAAAAGTGAAAATGGTGGTGCAGAAATTAGCAGAGGTGGCACTACCTGAAAGCTCATCAGAAAGGGGAGTGAGAACAATATCAGGCAAGAAGGGTTTGGAAGTATGGATCAGAACAGGAGCACTTTTAGCACTGCGTATATAGGCCGATGGCAGAGCACATTCACCAATGGATCGGCTTCTCATGGCTTTAAAAAAAGGAAAAGAAAGAAGTGGGAAAGGAAAAAAGAAGAGTGACTATAATGAAAGGCTCGTGTCACAGAAAAAGCAGCAACAGAGAAAACTAAAAGATACAAAGGAAGGAAATTTTAAATTAAAACATTTCAGCACAGCAAATATTGGCAAGCTGTAAGAAAAGAAATCAGAGAACACATATGACCTTTCAAATGTAAATATTTTGGTGTAAAGCAGGAAAATGCTTTTTATTATTAGCAGTTACAATGGTATAGCATTAAAAAACAGCAGACACTTTAATACGCCCTATGTTCTCAAAACCAAGGGTTGATAAGTTCATTGAATGGAAACATCGAAAAGAACTCAGTATTATTAGTTCAAATAAATTTTTGGTACCATATTTGGGCCTTTCTTTGAGCCATCTGAAGCAATTCTGAGCCATTCTCCTTAATAAAGCTGAATTTCAAGAAAAATAATCCCTGCTTTCATACACTTCCCTAATAAACTGTCAAGGACATTCACAGATTTTTTTTTTTTTTTAGAAAATTGTATGTAATTCATAATCTGAAGAATTGAATCTTATGGTTAGTATTTGTTTCTGGTAAGAAAATACTTAATCAAATCAGTATCTCTTATTTACATGAAAGTTAATACAATTTTATTTATTCTTGCAATCTTTATTGTTGAAAGTATTACATGTGTCCCCCTTTCCCCCCATTGACCTCTTCTAGCTTGCCCACGCCCCCATCCCCACAATTTAAAAAATTTAAATAGAAACATTTACAGAAAATAGAATTTGTAATCAGCATGAAGAATCAATTACTAAGGAAAGTAGACAGTTTGTGCTTATTCAGACTCTTAAGCATAGTATATAAAAACTTAGCACTGCCCAGCTGGTGTGCTTCAGTGGTTGAGTGTCCACCCACTAACCAGGAGGTCACCAATTCAATTCCCGGTCAGTGCACATACTTGGGTTTCGGGCTCGTCCCCAGTAGGGCGTGTGCAGAAGGCAGCTAATCTATGTTTCTCTCTCGTTGTTTCTATCTCTCTCCCTTCCTCTCGCTCTAAAAATCAATAAAAACAAAATAAAAAAAACTTAAAAAACTGGATTACTTTTTAAAAATTGCATTTGTAGCTGTATGTCTTGAAAGGAGTGTCACATGTTCACAAGACTAAAGGCAAATTTTATTATATTTAAAACTAAATTAATAATTAAGTTTAGCTCAGCCGGCATGGCTTAGTGGTTGAGCATCAACCTATGAACCAGGAAGTCATGGTTCGATTCCTGGTCAGGACACATGCCCAGGTTGTAGGTTCAATCCCCAGTGTGAGATGTGAAGGAGGCAGCTGATCAATGATTCTCTCTCATCATTGATGTTTCTGTCTTTCCCTCTCCCTTCCTCTCTGAAATCAATAAACATATATTAAAAAAGAATAGTTTTTAATAATTAAGTTTATACTTCCCAAACATTTTTTAACGTGACTAGTTTAGAAATTTTTTAATAAGTAGTTATGTGTATTGTTGTGTATAGAGGACTTTTAAAAAACAATATTGCATAATATACAGTGAAATCGTGTCATTGGTAAAAAAACATTTGGTTCACTGATACCTAAATTCCTTAGCCTGTCACACAGGCCTTTGCAACTAGCTGCAATAAAAACTGAAACTTCATCTCCAACTCTTCTCCCATCCTGCTGTCACACAGAATTTTTACACTGTTCCCAGAAAATTTCATGCTTTCACAACAGCGTGGCTTTGTGATTTCATGGCTTTGTACTTGGTCTTTTCTTCCTGAGACACCCCTTCATACTCAAAATGGCATTTCATCTGTGAATCTTTCATCACTCTCCCACATAATTAACTTATTAGCAATAGAGCAATGAACAAAACAAACAAGAACTCCTGCTTTTACAAAGCTTACAATCTATTTTTAGTGGATTGTATGTTTCCTGTGTCAGCCTCCCACCTTTTCAAATGTAAAAACTATATCCTCTTATCTTTATATCTCTACAGTCAGGCTCATATGAACTTAATAAATGTTTACTGAGTGAATACGTGTATTTGAGCAGCCCAGCATAATCATTTCAAAAAACAAAAGTTTCAGTTGTGAACATATAGAGAAAACCAGAAAAATTATTAACCAAAAACTAAAGGTATGTCAGAGTTTATAACTAAAAAAGAATGATAGATTTTTCAAAAAATTTTATTTATGTTGGCAAAATTAATTAATTCCTGAAGAGCAGTTTTTAGATAAATTTATGTGCAGCAAAACATGGAAGGTAGAAATATATTAAGGCAATGGCAACAATTTTTCTTCAGTGTGTGGCTTGTATTAAAAATAAGTGTATTTTAAAATGGAACATATATACAAAATGTTAGAATCTGGCTTTACTCATATTTTCCTGCTAGCTTCTTGTTTTTGTGAAAGTGACCAATAATTTTATAATCCAATCTGAAATAACTGTTCTGTTGATTTCAAGATAATCACTCAGTAAAACTTGTTACAGCAAAGACACACACAAGGCACAACTTGAAGTGCTGCTTGTTAACACATACCACCTACAATTATAATCAGATGTGATTTGCAGAGATAATTCTTTTAAAACTAAACGGAATCAAATTTTTGATTACACAAATGAATTATAATATGTTTTCTCCTATTTTTTCCCTTGGATTAGATAATTCCTTCTGTTCCTCTTTTCCACCACCAATTTGAAGAGATGGGGCATTTCCCTTAGAATTTCTTCCATAATTGCAGTGGTATGTCAGTGTTATGACCTGGGATGAATTCTTCAAATACCGACCACTACACTTTTGTTACTATACTACAGGTCTTTATGCATACCTGGAAATCTGGCAAGTGCCTCACAACCATGCAACTCCCACTATAGAAAATTAGAATAAATTAACTACTGGCATTTTTGCAGTGATCAATGATTCTCTCCCATCATTGATGTTTCTATCTCTCCCTCTCCCTTCCTCTCTGAAATCAATAAAACTGTATTTTTTTTTAAAAAAAGTAAAAACACATTTTCACAACTACAAGCATGCCAATTTTTAAAGGATTCTTATCTTCACTTCACCCTTCTAAAAATAATAAATAAGAAAAATAGATCCACTCTAATAAATTCATTTTGGACCACACTATCAAAAACTGTAACCTTCACTCCAGAGTTCCCATGCAGCATAAGAACGTAGACAGCAAATGTGAAGGATCACTAAAAGCATACAAACATATAAAATAAACAGGAGGAAGACAACTCTGGCCTTTTCTCACTTCCAAAATGTAACACATATTTCTCACTAATTTGAAATTAAGTTCACAATATGTATACATGTGTGTTCACTGGAAGAAATATACCTATAAGTCCTCAAATTTAGGCCCAAATCTATAATAAACATAAACTAAGAGGAAAATTTGAAAACAGAAGCAGTGATATAGTTATTCCAAATGTTGAATACCAGGTTCTAAGTCATAACTGCAAACATTTAAAATTGCTTCTCATGAATATATTCTATATTAAGTCCTAAATTCACTGTACCTCCTTTTAATATTTGCTGGCATAGCAAAACCTTAAAAAATTTAATTACATTTTAAACTCAATATGAATAACAGAAAATTTCTTATTAAGGCCATCCTGAGAAATCTGAGGGCTAGAGGATTATGGAATGTTTAATATTTTTTTAAATGAAGACAAGTTGTCTTTAAGTGAAAAATAAATCCTCTTAGCATTATTCCAATCTGAAAACTCTAGAAAGCAATCAATAAAATAAGAGTTTGGATATAACAAAGTTACTATGTTATAAATTTCACCAGAGACTACACTAGTGCCCTCATGAAATATAAGGACATCAAATGCATAGATTAGTTTAGGCTACAAGTATAAACAAAGCTGCTTAAAGTTAAATTAGTCTTTTAAAGTTATATATTTTACCACCCTATCAGGTAAGTCAGTCGTGAGAAAAAACACAATACTTTTTTTAAAAAATACAGTTTTTATTGATTTTCAGAGAGAGTGGGAGAAGGAAAGAGTAAGAAACATTTATCCGCTGCCTCCTGCATGCCCCATATAGGGAATGCAGGCCACAACCCGGAAATGTTGTGCCCTCACTGGAAATTGAACAGGCAACCTTTAGGTGCACAGGACAACACTCAACTGAGCTACATTGGCTAAGGCAAAATATGATACTTTTAACAAGAGGAATTTAGGTTTGTTATTTAAAGGACTATTGCATAAAAGAGAAATGTAAAGTATATCCCCAATGTGATTTATTTCTCCCAATTCAAGTCATACAATTATGAAATAGAGAATGATAGACTTTTAAAAATAAAATTTTCAAAGGCAAATCTGTGATTATTTCAAATGTCTAAATCACTTTCTGTTCCTAATGAATATCATATATTTTTTAAATTAATTGGGGTTTACAGAAAAACTGAGTGGCAAGTACAAAGAGTTCTAATATATTCTCTTCTCACCAGCACCAGGTTCCCCAAATATTAACATCTTGCATTAATCAGCAAGGAATATTTGCTACAACTGATGAGCCAAAACTGATAGCTTATACCAGGGGTCACTCTTTGTGTTGTGCATTCTATGGGTTTTAGACAAATTTATAATGACACATACACACCATTACAGTATCATACAGAATAATTTCACTGCTCTAAAAACATTCTATGCTCCCCACCTATTCAGCCCTCCTCCTTGCCCTGCAATACTGCCTTACCCCATAACCGGTAACCATTTTACAGTCTCCTTAGTTTTCCGTCTTTCACAATGTTATATAGTTGAAACCATAGATAGCCATTTCAGATTGGCTTCTTTCATTTAGCATTTGGGACTCCTCCATATATTTTCATTGTTTAATAGCTAATTTCTTCACATCCTATATAATGAAAGCCTAATATGCTAAGTGTCCAGTCATCTGTTTAACCAGTCAATGTGTAATATGCTAATGATATGCTAAGACCGCTCAACCACTTGCTATGATGCGCACTGACCACTAGGGGGCAGGCAGTCAACTGGTCACTATGATGTGCACTGACCACCAGGGGGCAGACACTCTGACCGGTAGGTTAGCTTACTGCTGGGGACCAGCCGATTGAGACTGAGCGAGACGGGCTGGACACACCCTAAAGCCCTCCCATGGTCCCTCCCCGGCTGGCCAACCTCCCAAGTCCCTCGCTGGCCCCGATAATGCATTGGTGGGGTCCCTCGGCCTGGCCTGCGCCCTCTCGCAATCCGGGACCCCTCAGGGGATGTTGGAGAATCGGTTTTGGCCTGATCCTGCTCAACGTAGGAACTGCCCCCTGGTGGTCAGTGTGCTCTCCTCAGGGGGAGTGCCTCTCAGCCAGAAGCCAGGCTCATGGCTGGTGAGTGCTCCCCCTGTGGGTATGCACTGAAGGATCTCAGATTACAAGAGGGTGCAGGCTGGGCTGAGGGAGGGACCCCCTCCGCCCCCCTGCCACAACGTGCACCAATTTCATGCACTGGGCCTCTGGTCTCTAAATAATACTGTGTGTGTGGATGTACCAGTTGTTAATCTATTCACCCACTAAAGAACATCTTGGTGTTTTCAAGTTTGGATAATCCTATATAATAAAAGGCTAATATGCAAATTGTCCCCTTGACCAGGAGTTCAATTGGGATTTCGACCAGGGGGCAGGGCCGACAAGCAAACTGCCCACGGCCCCTCCCCCTGGCCAGTCCCGCCCCAGACCGGCCCCCCCCACCCTAATCGGGGGAGGGGCCAGCCAGCCAACTGCCTGCAGCCCCTCCCCCAAGCCCCAGCCCCTATTGGCCAGCCCACCAACCACTCACAGACCTGCCCCCCCCCGGCCGGCCCCACCCCTGATCGCCCCCCGACCTGGATCAGGGGCGGGGCCAGCCAGCCAACCTCCCGCGTCCCCTCCCCTGCAGTCGGCCCGGCCTGATTGGCCCCGATCAAGGCAGGCTGGCCAGACCCCACCCGTGCACGAATTCGTGCACCAGGCCTCTAGTTATGAATAAAGTTGCTACAAATACTTGTGTGCAGGGGAATGTATGGATGTCGTGTCTTCATGCTACCTGAATAATTATCAAGGATGGTAAGAATATGTTTAGTTTTTTAAAAAACTAACAAACTGCCTTCCAAAGAGTCTGTACTATTTTGCATTCCCACCAACACTGATAGTTACTATTGCTCCACCACTTTATCAGCACTTGCTGTTGTCAGTGTTCTGGATTTTAGCCATTCTAATAGGCATGTGGTGGTATTACATTGTTTTAAGGGCAATTTATTTTTAAATCCTACAGATTAAACCTATAGATATATCTGCATATATGTATCAAGTATGTAGGTATACATAACTGTATTCTGTACCATTTTAATAGCACAAAATTGAAAATTAAATGTTCATCTTCAGGATATGGTACTTCCATGTAATGAAATATAATGTAAGAAATTCAACAATTTCTGATATACAATAATCTTTAAAATGTATCATTATAGCTTGACTTCACTTCCTAGCACTCTCTTCCTTTCTTACCCCATACTCACTTTATTGTGGTCTCTGGTCTTAAATCATATGATTAGATAGATAGGCCTTCACTGACTTTCCTATCTAAAACAGTCACATTTTACATCCTATACTCTCTTGTCCCTTATTCTACTTTACTTCACAGCTCTACTTCCTGCAATTTTTACTGTTTTATCTATTTTTTATATGTCTCCCCAACACTACAACTGTCAGCTTCAGTGGAATTAGCGTTGTTCCTTCCAAAAGCCTCAATGCTTAGAACAGTGCTTCCATAATGAGTACTTAAAAATACTTTTTTCGTTTGAAATGTCTAAAAAGCCATAGTTCACAACAGTGTGTATATTGTACTATATACACAGGCTATATGTAGAAAATATCTTTAGCAGCATGCTCAAGAAACTGAGAATAGTGGTTGTCTCTAATGAAATGAAGTGGGAAGGTGAGGAGTAGTAATGAGGGAAAGACCAGAATGTATATACTTACATAGTTTGAATTTTTAACTAAGTTCATTAAGAACACAAAATCTTGCCGAAACCGGTTTGGCTCAGTGGATAGAGCGTCGGCCTGCGGACTGAAAGGTCCCAGGTTCGATTCCGGTCAAGGGCATGTACCTGGGTTGCGGGCATATCCCCAGTAGGAGATGTGCAGGAGGCAGCTGATCGATGTTTCTCTCTCATCGATGTTTCTAACTCTCTATCTCTCTCCCTTCCTCTGTGTAAAAAAATCAATAAAATATATATATATATATAAAAAAAAAAGAACACAAAATCTTAATTTTAAAAACTAAAGAAAATATATGCCCAAAGAATATCTTAATTTAATTTGCTGCTTCTTTTAATATTTTCTACCTTTAGCAGGTACCTTTATTACCAAAATTTTTAATGCTTTAACTTTTTACTTCATAGGTTTCTTCAATTAACAGGTATGATTTAAAGACGAATATTACTCATATATATAATATGTCTTTTAAAAATTAGAGATATACTGACATGTTAATGATTACTTCTAATTTGAGAGCTAAAGAGTCTTTACATTTAAACTTTTACTCCCCACACTAAGCATAAACTACTTCTATAAAAAATACATGAAGAATTCTAAAGATATTCAAGATTTTAAAGACCATGATTTTGCCTGGCCAGTGTGGCTCAGTGATTGAGTGTCAACCCATGAACAAGGAGGTCATGATTTGATTCAGGTCAGGGCACATGCTCAGGTTGCAGGCTTGATCCCCAGTAGGGGGCGTACAGGAAGTGATTATCTCTCATCATTGATGTTTCCATCTCTCTCTCCCTCTCCCTGAAATTAAAAATAAAATAAATAAAAGACCATTATTTTTAAGTCTTTTAAATGTTTAATTTCTATATTCTCTTTCTAGTTTTGTTTCTTCATTTAGAATGTAATTCTTAACACTTGAGAACCCATCATTTTATAATGACATATCCTTACAACAATGGTTTCAAGTTTCTTTTAAATTAATAGTGTTTTCCAATGGTTACCATTAAGTATAGATACATTCCTACAGAAAATTCTCCTTCCATAGAATCGTAGATTGTAAAGCCTGAAGTAACTACAAGCAATTTTGTTTCAGGCACTACACAGATGAAATAAGTAAAGTCTAGAAAGTTCAGTAAATTTTCTAAGGTTATCTAGCTATCTAGTAATGAAAGAAGAGTAAAAAAAGAGATCAGAATGCAGCCCTTTTGCTTTTCCTTATAGCACTCATACAATTCAAACCAAGTTAAAAATCTCTGAGAGGAAAAGGAATAAAATGGAGCTAAATCTATAGTATCCTGAGTGATCCTCCATCCAGAAAATCTTCCCATCACTGTTACTTTGTTGCTATTCCCAAGATTACAGAAATGTTTTCCATGTCTGTTAAAAGCAGCAAGGAACCTAGCAGTAGACTCCACCTTGGACTCAGCTGTCTGCAGGTAGAGAGCATGTATTCCTTACGGAAAGTCTGAAGCCAATCTAAATATGTAATTGTAGTATTGAAAGTTTTCCATGTTTGTGAGTATATTCCCTTAGTAGAAACTATACCAGTTAATGCATGAGTTCTGGAAAGTGAATCAATGCTATTTCAACTCTGTAAAATAATAGTTTGGAATTATTGACAGTACAGTAAAATAAACTACAAAAACATAATGTAAGATAAATCTTAATACCATAAAGTAATAACACAGCATGTCATTGGACTCTTTTTGAGTACTACTAAAAAAAAATGGTTTTGCTTTAGAAGTGTTTCATTTAACAAAAAAAATCAACTGGTGAGAAAAATGCATTTAGATACATTGTTACCAAGGATTATAAATGAATTCCCCTGTACATTTCTCATGATTTTAAGGAGTACATACCAACAGTTTTTTGTCGTACTATACTCCTCGCCTTTTCAGTTCCTGGGGAACCAGTGGTTGTTGCACTTCTCTGTCTCATTGGAGCTTGGCCAGGCTGATCACGACTCCATCCTCTAGAAAATGACTTATCAACTGAAACTTTCTGAAATTCATGTCCAACTCCTAGAAATGTAGATTTGCAATCTTAATATATCTGATCAATAATCTTTTCAGATTATATGTGCCACCTAACCTCAGATTCTTAGATTTATTCATAATATATATATCTAAGTGACAGTTCGACTGGTAGCTATGACATGCACTGACCACCAGGGGGCCGACGCTCCGACCAATAGGTAAGCTTGCTGCTGGGGTCCGGCCAATTGGGACTTGGTGAGAAGGGCTGGACACACTCTGGGGCCCTCCCGAGGCCCCTCCCCGGCTGGTCAACCTCCCACGGTCCTTCCCTGGTCAGCCAGCCCCAATCAGCCCTATCGGGACTGGGCTAGACAAGCCAGACACGCCCTGGAGCCCTCCGCGGTCCCTCCCCGGCCCAAATCATGCACCAGTGGGGTCCTTCGCCCTGGCCTGCACCCTCTCGCAATCCAGGACCCCTTGGGGGATGTCGGAGAGCCAGTTTCGGCCTGATCCCTGCAGGCTAGGCCGAGGGACCCCACCGGTGCACAGGCCTCTAGTATATTATAAAATAACAAGATAAAATGCTTGTGTACTGTAAGGCTTTACTGAACTTATTTTATGTAGAAATCATATTCTAAAACAGATGCAGAGTTTTTAAAATATTCCATCGACAATGACTATTATAAATTCTCTGCCACCCAATTGACTCATAATAGAAATGAAACATCTGGATAAGCCAAAAGAATAGGAAATGAGCTAACCAAAAACCATCCTGATGTGGAAGTTACTAAATATCTACCTGTCAATAATAGTTACTTGGGAAATAGTCCTGGAAAAAGTAGTTTGGTCACATATTTACCATCTAGTGTTAAGTGTGAAATGTGACTCAGATATAATCTCTAGTTAGAAACTATTAAGAATGGAAAGTACTAACAAACCAAGGATCATAAAAACATGTATTAGTGACATAATCACTGTTACTGTCCCTCTATCCCTTTTAAATATTAGGGAGATATGCAGTCCACATGTAGAGTGTTTGCTTTTAGTTAAAAACTAAGAAAACGTTTTCAAAATAATTTTCAAATAATTATTTTTAAGTAGAAAAACATAAAACCATCATCCAACAAAAATTTATGTATGATAAAGAAAGTGTTTGATACATTTCAATTTTGGCTAACTATTAAAAATAAAATACTTAAGATTCTGACTTATCTATAACTCTTTATGTACAGAACACTTTGCCCCATATCAACATTATTACTGATTTTAAGATTCTTCAACCTTCAGGATAAATGAAGAAGGGAATATGAAGAGAAAACATGACTTTTAAACTCAGCCCTCCCCCTGAGGAGACCAAATTATTTAAACAAATTTATATGGAACATCTCTGTGAACAACTCTTACCTTTCCCTTTATGCTTTTTTTGCTTCTGTTCACTCAGCTTATCCAATGGTAAATCACCGAGATCCAAACTATATAAATTTCTAGCTAAAACTTTAGTTAGTGTCTCCATAGTCAGTGACCATTCAGTGGCTAATTCTTCCCAATAGGTCAATGATGACAAGACTGAGAGTAAATCATCCCAAAGTTCTCGGGATATGTACACATTTAGATTTGCTTTGATCCAGGCAACTATAAGAGTCTATAAAAACAAATAATCAGAAATAAAAATGAAACATATTCAAACTCATATATATTCAATTATTTTAAAATTACTTAAAAACAAGTAGAATAATATCCATGACCTTTTCTTGGTACATAGTAATTCATGCAATCATTAGTATCTACTATATATTTCAGTTCAAGAATTCCCAACTCTCAATATTCTAGCAATTAAGACAAGGTGCCAAAACTGAAGAGAAATCTCCTTAAAGTTGCTCTTTTACACTAATATTAAATAAATGCTTTTTATAAAGATATAAAATCTTCCCCACACTATTAACCGTTGAAATTACTGAGTAGTTAGTGGTTACTGAACTAAAAAAAAAAACACACAACACTACACCCTCAAATTAAAGGTAGAAATCACTAACTATAAAACTTGAACATTCTAAAAATAAAAATTAGAAATGTACTTAACTTAGTGAATGTATTTTTGAAAAATAATATGTAAACTGAAGAATAAAATTAAACTTCATTGTAAAGATACCAGAGGAATTAAGTGTTCTGTAATAAATCCAATCATAGTAAAAAACTATACTGATACTGCAGATATAACCTATTAAAGAAATAAGTCAAAAAATAGTTTTTCAAAAGCTGAACTCTAAAAATTTTATTAAGAAATTAAATTTACACATTAAGTGTAAAGATGAAAATGAGCCGAGTTTATAGTACAGAAGATTAATAACTAGTGAGCCTCCATTCTATCTTTAAATGTTCAGATTACAAAAAAGTTATTCCACATAGCAAGGTAAAATTTTATCTTCCTATAGCTCCCACCATTGGGTTAGTTCTAACAATGGGGAAATTAAAGAGAGAAAGAATAAAGGCTAATGAAGTCAAGAGGAGTTCAGATAATAAATATAGCTGGTTTCAAAGGATTTTTCACTAGCAGCATAGAATTTTAGGTAAACTAGCATATTTGAAAATAAATTAATTTGAATGGTTATACTTATGGTCAAGAATTAGATCTCAGATTTTGACATTAAGAACTATTTTTACCAATATATTTGTATTCAATGTGTCATATTAGGAAAATATTTTGCTTTCTATTTTCCAAAAAAATTCACAATACATTCAAAGTCAGTATTTTATCCTCAGGTTGGAAAACATGATGTATATATTCCTATAAAATCAAACTATCCCTGATACTTCAAATAAAGAAGTGAAGAGAAAAAAGTCTTATGGAACAGCATAAGTAAAAATCTTGATTATTTACTACTTTTCAGTACTGTGGAACAATATAAAAGAAAGTTTTGGCTCTCCAACAGGACCCAAGACTTGGAAAGTCATAAAGCAAACAATCAGGCTACTATTACTCATGAAGCCCTCCAGCAGCTTTTTGCAATTATACAAGTATGCTACAAAAAAGATAAAGTAAATATCATCAGCCTGGGTTAACCCTTTTTTCTCAGACTCGGTATTTCCTCCACTTTTATAGATTATGAATTTGTACATATGGCAAATAGCATATTTAAAAAAGCAATTTTTAATTTAGCTTTACAAAAGATACTTTAATATAAAATGACCTCCGATTTAAAGCTCCCCCTCCCCCCCCCCCCCCAGGTAACAAATAGAGAGCTCAGTAAATCTTAAAAAAATACATATCTATCCTTCTATTTAACTATCTATTTATTTATTTATTTTTATTGCCTGAAAAAGTGGTCCTGCAAGTCGACCTGCCAAGGTCATATTTTTTTTCCCCTGGAACTGTAGAAAAGCTTGTGATGGCATCTTCAGTACAGACTCTGTGACTCTGAGCAACACAAGCAGCATCTGTTCCCTTAAAGTAAAAAAATTAATTAGTTTCCTTCTTGCATATGTTTGCTTTTGATTAATGAGTAACTTTCAAATTATTATTTGCTTTAAAAATGATATTATCTTTAAATAACTCAAATAGCAAATATCTTCCAAAATTTTAGAATTCTGAAATATTAAAATTTTAAATTCTCCTTTATAAATCTATATCATTTTAATTTTTCAGCCACAATACCCTCTCATCAAATAAATATTTATGCAAAAGCTGAAAATTTGGGGTGAAAGTGGTGAGACTGTTCCCATTCTACACCCCACAAATTAAGTAGCATGCTTAGGAAACTGTTTGAAGAACACTCATTCAACTATATAATATAGTTCTACCTTGATCCATCTTTACAATAGGGAGAACCACCACATATCTAGAATTGAAAGAGGCTCAATTTAAAAAACTACATGATTTTGCCCTAACCGGTTTGGCTCAGTGGAGCGTAGGCCTGCGGACTGAAAGGTCCCAGGTTTGATTCCAGTCAAGGGCATGTACCTTGGTTGCAGGCACATCCCCAGTAGGGGGTGTGCAGGAGGCAGCTGATTGATGTTTCTCTCTCATCCATGTTTCTAACTCTCTATCCCTCTCCCTTCCTCTCTTTAAGAAATCAATAAAAAGTATTAAAAAAAAAAAAAACTACATGATTTTATTAACCAATGTCATAACAATAAATTCAATTAAAAAAGAAACACTACATGATATTTTAAGATTAATAAATTACTATGAGCCTCACAAGTAATCAAGGACCATCAATCACTCTATTGCCTCTTCCAATCTTTTAAGTTTGGCCATTTAAAAAATATACATTTTTATTGATTTCAAAAAGGAAGGGAGAGGAAGAGGGAAAGAGAGAGAGAAACACCAATGATGAGAGAGAATCATTGATTGGCTGCCTCCTGCACGCCCCACATTGGGGATTGGACCTGCAACCCGGGCATGTGCCCTGACTGGGAATTGAATCGTGACCTCCTGGTCCGTAGGTTGGAGGTCCATAGGTTGGAGGTCCATAGGTTGACACTCAACCACTGGGCTGGCCATTTTTTAACCCTTTATGTTCTTTGTGTATTGCAAACCAAGCCATCCTAATAATACCTTCACCTTTCCTCTTTCTCCTTTATGTTTATTATGAAGACCACAAAACTACCATATTTGCACCTAATAATTCAACCATATGTGAAAAAGAGGCTGAGAAGGGAATTACAGTTGGATGTATAGTGAGGCTAACAGGCTAAGTTCCTATCACAGCCCCTCCTCTTTGGCTTTATTTGCTAGCCCATTTTAGACATAGCAACACATGGAGCAGTTCATGTGAGAAAAAATACAGCAGAAGCAGCAACAGATTCCATATTTAGATGTCATGGTTATTCTGGAAAGTGAGGACAAAATAAAATAGAAAAGTATCACTCAATGAAAACTATCCTGAATTTATTAACAAATGAATGCACAGAATCATTCATAAAATAAAAATCAAAGATGCCACATTTGTAATCCTAGGCTTCTAGGTTAGCTTTATGAAAAGCGATTTGAAGTAAACTGCATATGCAATAAAGTATAGATTTCCAAATAAATCTTATCTGATTTGTGGTCAAACCTTAACTCACTCATGTATTAGATAACCTTTCACTTTATGATACAATAATAATGATTTTAATTCATAAAGACTTGTAAACTTAATAAAAATATGTGGGTAATCTTTCATTATGCTTTTACTTAAAGGAATTGATAACATTTATGAAAAGAATTCTAAAATTATGTTCCAATTTTAAAACAAGACCCTCTTTAACCTGGCTCCACAGCACTGATCAAAGCATTTAAAAGGTAAAAAAGGGCAAACTAACAAAATAATTATTCAAAGTATTTTAGTTACTGGCAAATAATAACTAGGGCTCTGAAGTCAGAAGGACCACAGTTCAAAGCTCAGCTGTGTGAACAAGGATAAATTACTCAATCTCTTGTGCCTAAGAATCATAAAAAATAGATATCATCAACCTCATAGGATGCTATCAGGATTAAGAAAATACACGTAAAATGCTTGAAAAAATACTTGGCACAAAAAAGTGCTCTAAATAAGTTAACAATAACTACTTATAAATACAATTATATTAATACTTTTAATAAAGATTTTTTCAAAATAAAGCCATTTTTCCATACAGCAAAATATAAATTAAGCATGTTCTTTGAATAAGAACTTCCATTCTTTAAGAATGAGTCATGGAGAAAAATTATATGTAAAAGGATGTTGACCGTCCTCCCCTCCTCCAACAACAAAATGTAATAACTACATATCCATCAATAGGTGACTGGTTACGAAAATTATGATACACATATATGGCATAATACTATGTAATTGTGTGTGTGGTTTGGTGAGAGAACTTTTGGCCATCTTTTATTTTCTTTTTCAAACTTTTCTTTGAATTTCATAATGAACATGTGCCATTTTTATAAAAACAGAAGAACAGCTCTTCTCATCTCCCCCAAAGGCCTATTTTTTTTCCATTCAATTAAACAAATCTTTATAAAGTACCAATACTAGCTAAGGTACTATACTAAGAAATGTAGGAAATATAGAAACAAAACAACCAGTATATACCTTTTAGGGCCTCTCAATTCAGTGAAATAAACAGAAATTGATACAAGTAATTTAGGGATTAAGACAATTTGACAACTATAACAGAGGTACAAATACAGAATTAAAGGAAGAAAGGAAAAAGTACAAAGATATGTGGAAAAATGAAGGTGAAACTAAGGACAGCTAACAATAACAAAAAAAAATGGCAGGAATTAGACATTGTAAAGGAAAGTTCAGATGTGCTCAGGAAATTTGATAAAGCTGGAGGCAGAATCCCACCCTGTAAGACATTTAGGTTTGAGAAAGGGCTGGAAAGTAAGCAAGGGCCTGAGTGTACATGGCCTTAAATGCTAGGCTGAGGAATCAGGCATTCATACATTCCATATTTACTTATTCATTCATTCACACACGCATACATGCATTCAATGCTGGGGACACAGGAGGTTAGCATATGCTCACTTTAGAAAAATAAGCCACGGGGCTTTTGGAAGTTTGAACAAAGACGTTGAGATAGCCCGGCTAGTGTGGCTCAGTGATTGGGTGTCAACCCATGAACGAGGAGGTCACAGTTTTATTTCCAGTCAGGGCACATGCACAGGTTGTGGGCTTGATTTCTAGTAGGAGGCATGCAGGAGGCAGCGAATCAATGATTCTCTTTCATCATTGATGTTTCTATCTCTTTGTCCCTTTCCCTTTCTCTCTCTGAAATCAATAAAAACATTTTTTTAAGATTTTCTTAAAAAGATGTTGAGATAAAGTGAAGGAGACTATTGTTGTCGTCATAGTTATATAAAATATTATATTCATTTATTCAATAGAAGCCTATAAAACATTGTAACAAGCCCTGTTCACAGACACTGTTCTCTAAAAACTACTATACCCATACACACAATATAAAAAACATAAAGAATAAATATTCTTACCAAGTCTTTTTGTCCATTGATACTTGCACAACCATGAACCGATAAATGTTAAGAATACGTTTACACATATCTGTGTGCTCATCCAAAAGACTTTTTATTTCATTTGCAGGTTCAAGAAGAAATATATTTGATGAGTTTATAATAAACACCTAAGACAAAAGAAATAGCCATTCATTATAGAATTTCAATGACAAATTTCTTATTCAAAGAAAAAAAAACACCTTATATGCTGACTATGGTAATAATAAATTTAAAAGCATAAAACAATAGATTAACCCTATACAATAAAGAGGTAATATGCAAATTGACTGTCACGCCCTCTCAAAAGATGGCCACCCCCATGTGGTCACAAGATGGCCAGCAGGGGAGGGCAGTTGTGAACGAGCAGGCTAGCAGGGGAGGGCAGTTACGGGTGAACAGGCCAGCAGGAGAGGGCAGTTAGGGGTGACTGAGCTGGCAGGGGAAAGCAGCTGGGGAGGACCAGGCCTGCTGGGGAGGGCAATTAAAGGCGACCGGGCTGGCAGGGGAGGACAGTTGGAGGAAATCGGGCCGGCAGGGAAGCAGTTAGGGGGTGATCAGGCTGGCAGGCAGAAGCGGTTAGGGGCAATCAGGCAGGCAAGCAGTTGGGAGCCAGCAGTCCTAGATTGTGAGAGGGATGTCCCAGATTGGAAAGGGTGCAGGCTGGGCTGAGGGACACAGCCCCTCAGTGCACAAATTTCATGCACCGGGCCTCTAGTTACATATAATTCTACTTCTACCACAAGCTTGATACCCTGAAATATTAAATCTGTGTATTTTATGTTTATCTAGACAAATTTTAAATTACTGTTAGGCATGCTCCAAGTAAGTAAAAAACAGCATTTTTTAAAACTGAGAGCTTTCACATAATAATGCTATTGCTGTCATAAAATGAAAGGAACAATAAAAAAATACAAATAATTTACAATAAAAATGATACCCAAATCAAGAGTTTTCTGAATGAGGTGTTCAAAACCATCTTTCCTCTTTTTACATGTTTATTGGCAATGTCTATACATCTCTTTTGATAATAAACAGACTGTATAAACAGGCTATATATTATAGTGCTACTAATTAGGATCCATCAATATGTATCTTCAATTAAATTCATTACAATCAAATCATTAATTATACTTTTTTATTGAGGACAAAATTATAATGGTAACAGGTATGTGGCAAAGGCACTCAAGGACACTTTGCAAAAGAGAACATTGCATCCATTATAAACCTAGGACATTTACATCTTTTACATTCATAATTCTGATTTAAATCCCCTGGATAAATTGTATGACAAAATACGTTGTAAAATCATGTGAGAAAAGCATATTAAGCTAACTTTAAAATAGTTAAAATACAAAAAAGCTGACTGTAAGCTTAGCAACACTGACCAAGAAATGCAAGAGAGGTACAAAAAAACATTAGAAATAAAATAAGGATACAACTATATATCCAGAAGAGAATTTTAAAATGATGATAATTCATTGGATAACTTTATGCTAATAATTGAAAATTTAATGCTTTTTAAAAATATATTTTTACTGATTTTTAGAGAGAGACAAAGGGAGATGGAGAGAGAGAGAAACATTGATGTTAGGGAGAAACATCAATCACTTGCCTCCTGAACTCCAACGGGGGATCAAACCCACAACCTGGGTATGTTTCCTGACTAAGAATCAAACTAGTGACTTTAGGTGCATGGGACAACTCTCAACTGAGCCACACTGGCCAGGGCAAAATAAATTATTTTGTGGACAAACATAAATTGCCAAAAGTGACTCATGAATAAAAAAGATATATGCATTGAAACCATGAATGAAAGTGAACTGGTAATCAAGATCTCCCTGACCCATCTCTGAACACCAGGCTAGGAAAGCTTTACAGGTAAAGTTTTGCCTAACCTTCATGAAAGATGATCCCTATTTTACACAAGCTGTTTGAGAGACAAGGATGAAGAAAAACCACCCAACTTATTTTTATAAAACTATAATCCTATTACCCAAAACAAAAAAAGACTATATAAGGAAAGTAAATAAAAGACCAATATCACTTATGAACATATGACCGAAAAAAAATAGTAGCAATTCAAATTGAGCAAAATATAAAACTTTATGACCAACTAGTATTTACCCCAGAAATGATAGGATGTCTTGACATCAGAAAAGCCTGTTAATATACTCTATCAATAGAGTTAAATGGCAAAAAAAAAGTATGATCATCACAATGTATTCAGAAAAACCATTCAGCACTTATTATTAAAATAAAATACTTCATTTTAGCAAACTAGGAAAAAATGTATAATTCCTTAATTTGAAAAAGAGTACTTATCAAAAATATAACAAATGCTATAACAGCAACTGAACCTGAGAAATACTGCCAAAAGCCAAAAACAAGACAAAGGTACTCACTATCATCTCATTGTCCTAAAGGATGCCACTCATTCAAAAGGAAGTGGTGGAGCGAGGAGCAGAGAATGAATATAAATATGAATAAATTGAAAAGGAAAAGACAAAACTGAACTCTGTAGCAATCTGGGAGAAAAGCTTTCCAGACAAAAGAAGATGCAGATATAAGGTAACTGAGGTGACAGCCTGTGCAGCACATATGAGAAACAGCAAGGAGTATAGAACGAGGTGAGGAAGGAGAAAAGGGAAATACATTAAGAAACAGAGAGCATGTGAAGCATAGATTCTCACACTACTAGTGGTAAAAGAACAAGAATTTTCCACCAATCTTTAGCAGAAAGTTTCTATTATAAATATGATTTAAAAAAGAGAATAGGAAAATGGAAATGCAAAAAGACATACAAACTCAAACTTTCATTATATTGGATGACTCAGTTTATAAACTTACTCCCAACTTTACAATTATGTTGTGGGCCAGCATTAGTCAGTCTATGGATTACACTCTGAGGAACAATCCTATCTAATAAAAGAGAAACATGATAATTAGCCGTACATCCGCTACCCTTCCCATTGGCTAATCAGGGCGATATGCAAATTAACTGCCAGCCAAGATAGCGGCCGGCAGCCAGGCAGCTTGACGCGAACATGACGCTTGCTTGCTTCAGTGACGGAGGACTCCAACATGCCCCGCCTGCCGCTGCAGGCCTCTGAGCTTGCAGTTTGAAACATTGTTACAAATATAGAAGCTAAACAAAACCCCAGAAACCTGCTTTCAGCCAGCCAGGATCTCAGAGCTGGAGTTGATACAGTGTTTTGATTATAGAACCCAAACAAACCAGATACCTGCTTTCAGCAGCGGAGGCCTAAGAGCTGGAGCCAAGCCTCAGAGCTAAAGCTGGCACAGAATTAAAAAAAAAAAAAAAAAAAGAAAAAAAAGGAGCGGTTGGGAGCTTCAGTCAACCGCCAGCCTGAAAACAGCCCTGAGCCCCTCACCCAGACTGGCCAGGCACCCCAGTGGGGAACCCCACCCTGAAGGGTGTCTGACCAGCTGCAAACAGCCATCATCCCCTCATCAAGGCTGGCCAGGCACCCCAGTGGGGACCCCCACCCTTATCCAGGAAACCCTTCAGGGCAAACCAGCCAGCCCCCACCCATGCACCAGGCCTCTATCCTATATAGTAAAAGGGTAATATGCCTCCCAGCACCGGGATCAGCGGAGCCACGAGGCCTCCCAGCACCGGGATCAGCGTGACAGGGGGGAGTGCCCAAACCCCCTGATCGCCCTGCAGCTGTGTATGTGACAGGGAGCAGGGCCACAACCTCCCTATCCACCCTGCTCTGTTCGTGACAGGGGAAGGCACCACAACCCCCTGATCAGCCCTGCTCTGTGCCTGATAGGGGGGAGCTCCCCAACCCCCTGATCACCCTGCAGCTCTGTGTGTGACAGGGTGCGGCGCCCCAACCCTCCCCCCCCCCCACGGGCCCTGCTCTGTGTGTGACGGGGTAGAGCCATAACCTCCCCATCGGCACTGCCCTGAGTGTGACAATGGCGGCACCCCAACCCCCTGATCGGCCCTGCTCTGTGGGTGATAGAGGGTGGCGCCCCAAACCCCCAGCCCCCATGGGCCCTGCTCTGTGTGTGATCGCCTAGAGCCATAACCTCCCCATCGGCCCTGCCCTTAGTGTGACAGGGGGCGGGGCCACAACCTCCCTATCTGCCCTGCTCTGTTCGTGACAGGGGAAGGCACCACAACCCCCTGATCAGCCCTACTCTGTGCCTGATAGGGGGGAGCTCCCCAACCCCCTGATCCACCCTGCTCTGTGTGTGACAGGGGGCGGTGCCCCAACTCCCCTATCAGCCCTACTCTTTGAGTGATGGGGGAGCTCCTCAACCCCCTGATCGGCCCTGCTCTGTGCGTGACAGGGGGGAGCTCCCCAACCCCCTGATCGACCCTGCTCTGTGCGTGACAGGGTACAGAGAGCTAACCCCCCTGATGGGCCCTGCTCTGTGACAGGGGGCAGCTCCCCAACCCCCCTGATCGGCTCCACTCTGTGAGTGACAAGGGGGAGCTCCTCAACCCCCTGATCGGCCCTGCTCTGTGCGTGACAGGGGGGAGCTCCCCAACCTCCTGATCGACCCTGCTCTGTGCGTGACAGGGTACGGAGCCCCAACCTCTCTGATGGGCCTTGCTCTGTGCATGACAGGGGGTGGCGCCGCAATCTCCCCATCGACCCTGCCTTGAGTGTGACAGGGGGTGGCGCCCCAACCCCTGAATCAGCCCTACCCTGAGCGTGACAGAGGGTGGCATTGCAACCTCCCGATCCGCCCTGCTCTGTGCATGACGGGGGGCAGCGCCTCAACTCCCCAATCGGCCCTGCTCTGAGCCCAACCAGGGGCTGCACCTAGGGATTGGGCCTGCCCTCTGCCACCCGGGAGCAGGCCTAAGCCAGCAGGTCGTTATCTCCCGAGGGGTCCCAGACTGTGAGAGGGCACAGGCCGGGCTGAGGGACCACTCCCCGCCCCCCCCCCCCCCGAGTGCACAAATTTTTGTGCACCGGGCCTCTAGTCTACACTAATAAAAGACAAAGATGCTAACTGACCATACCTTTTCTACGCCCACCAATCAGAGCGATATGCAAATTAACCCAACAAAGATGGCGGTTAATTTGCATATACCGGCTGGGAGCGAAGACTGAAGACAACTAGAAGGAAGCCAAGCGCTGCAGAAGGGAGCAAAGTAGAGGCGGGGGAGACAGGAATGGAGCCAAGGTGGTGGAGGCGGAAGCCGGGGCGCGGCGGGAGGTTGGGGGCGTGGGGTGCGGGAGACAGCAGTGGGAGGTGGCAGCGGGCGGTGGCAGTGGGAGGCGGCAGCGGAGGCGGCAGCAGAGGCAGTGGTGGAAGGCGGGAAAGGCAGGAGGCAGTGGGGGGAGACGGGAGGTGGTGAGAGGAGGGAGGCGGGAGGCAGGAGGCAGCAGAGGCGGGAGCAAAGCCCTATTCTTGCAAGAATCTTCCTGCAACGGGCCTCTAGTCCTTTATAATCCTATGTAATAAAAGCCTAATATGCTACGTGTCCGGTCATCTGTTCAACCAATCAAACTGTAATATGCTAATGATATGCTAAGGTCGCTCAACTGCTTGCTATGATGTGCACTGACCACCAGGAGCAGACGCTCTGACTAGTAGGTTTGCTTGCTGCTGGGGTCCGACCGATCAGGACTGAGCTAGATGGGCTGAACACGCCCTGGAGCCCTCCCACGATCCCTACCCAGCTGGCCAACCTCCCGAGTCCCTTGCTGGTCCTGATCATGCACTGGTGGGGTCCCTCGGCCTGGCCTGCACCCTCTCGCAATCTGGGACCCCTTGGGGGATGTCAGAGAGCCGGTTTCAGCGCAATCCTGCAGGTCAGGCTGAGGGACCCCACTGGTGCACGAATTCATGCACTGGGCCTCTAGTGATGTAAATAAAACCTTACAAACCATTAAAAAGGCTTTTGTTTTTATGATTAATGATAAACTTACTAGAAAGTTTTAAGCAGAAAAATGACATGGTCTGACTTTTTTTAATAGGATCATTCTGGCTATTATTTTGAGATTACCAGGGTGATGGGTGGGCAAAAGTGGAAGCAAAATACTAATTAGGAGTTTACTACAGCCTGGCCAGCATGGCTCAGTGGCTGAGCATCAATCTATGAACCAGGAGGTCACAGTTCGATTTCTGATAAGGCATATGTCCAGGTTTCAGGCTTGATCCCCAATGTGGGGTGTGCAGGGGGCAGCCAATTTATGATTCACTCTCATCATTGATGTTTCTATATCTTTCACCCTCTCCCTTCCTCTCTCTGAAATCAATAAAGACATATTTTTTTCAAAAAGTAGTTTACTGCAATAATCCAGATGAAAGATTATGGAGGCCTGGACACAAGAGGTAATGTGAGTGCTCAATCCTAGTTCCAATACATTAGGAAAACTGACAGAATTTGTCGTCAAATTGGATGTAAGATATAAAAGAAAGATAGGAAACAAGATGGGCTGATAAAGGTGGTTGGCAAATTTATTACATTTAAAAAATTATATACTCTACATTGAAATACTGAACTATGTTCAAAATATTTAATGATTATGTTATTTTTAAAAAATAATAAAAAAGTGATTCACCTGCAAAACTGCCTGGGTACCAGCTCGTATGTTTTGTTCTGTGGCTTCTTCAGAGGCATTATGAAGAACATCTTGGTAGGTGCCATTTTTTGCCCAAGTGGAATTTCGAACATGATCAGCAATGTTGGTCCCATTTTCCTGAAGCAAAATACCAAGTTTTTAGTATTTCATTCATTTAGAATGCTATGACAAATCAGTAAGTTGAAGTAACTGGAAATTATTGGATACCACTGCTAAGCATCTTCTCAACACAGAAGATGTTTTATTTGATTACAAACCTTGTTTGTTCACCAGAGATTACTGTATCACTTCAGATATAGAGACATTTTCCTATGTACTGAATGAATAAACCTACACTCTGTATACTTACACATTTACACAGCCTTGAAAGAGATGAATTTCGTTCCAAAGTAAATGCCTTAATCTAAAAAACTTAAATAAAATAGAAAATTGCTTCTATTTATCCTACTTAAGATTAGTAAAATTCATGTTATCCGTAGAAAAATTCTGATACTTGAAACCACTAAACTTGCAGCTTTCTGCTTGAGTTTTAGCTGTCAAAATCTTACTAGAGATTTCCCTTATCTGTGAAAAGCCACACAAACAGAAATTTCACTCAACGTTGTTCTCTTTCTTAAAGTTACTCTCTAGCTTCTTTCAGCTTTTGGTCACTCACCAGTATCTTCAAATAGTTTGCTTTTTTAAATATTTTTTTCTAGAGCTTATCATTGTAAAAGGCAGGTGGTTTCATCTAATACTTTGCCATTGCCAGGAGCAGCACTGAACTCAGCTCTGAGGAGCCAAAACAATACCTTTCGCATAAGCTCCAGATATCATCTAAATAGTTCTTCCTGAATGATCCACAAGCACCACAAATTAAAAATGTTTAAAAGAAAGTTTATTAACTAAGTCTCCCCCACCTCCCACCCCTCCCACCCCCCCGCCGCCCTAACTTCCTACCAACAAGCTCTCTAGCCGCCTTGGCCACCACCACCAAACTTGCATTTTTAAAATTCCTATTCAAGAGTGAATGGCAATGCCCTAACCAGTTTGGCTCAGTGGATAGAGCTTCGGCCTGTGGACTCAAAGGTCCCAGGTTCGATTCTGGTCAAGGGCATGTACCTTGGTTGCGGGCACATCCCCAGTAGGGGGTGTGCAGGAGGCAGCTGATCGATGTTTCTCTCTCATCGATGTTTCTAAGTCTCTATCCCTCTCCCTTCCTCTCTGTAAAAAATCAATAAAATATATTTTTTTAAAAAAGAATGAATGGCAACTACCCAAGGAAAGAAACTTGGGACACCTCCCCATTTCTCATTTCTCTCAGCCAATTTAATCATCAAGGTATATTGATTTTACCACCAAAGTAGCTCATATATCAGTCTTTTCCCTTATATTCCTATTGCAACTGCCACTGTCCTATCTTTATCAGGTACTTAGCATCTCCCTTCTGAACTTGGCTAATATTTCCTAACTAGTTTCTTGCCTCCAGATTGGCCTCCAATCTATCTTCCACCTGAGACTTGGTATAATACTCCTGAAATATGTAAATACTCATGCATTTTTCTATTCATAATCCTTTGAAGGCTTTCCAGTGTCTAGAACAGTGACGGTGAACCTTTTGAGCTCGGCGTGTCAGCATTTTGAAAAACCCTAACTTAACTCTGGTGCCGTGTCACATATAGAAATTTTTTGATATTTGCAACCATAGTAAAACAAAGACTTATATTTTTATATTTATTTTATATATTTAAATGCCATTTAACAAAGAAAAATCAACCAAAAAAATGAGTTCGTGTGTCACCTCTGACACGCATGTCATAGGTTCACCATCACTGGTCTAGAATGTAATCAAAGCCAATTACAATGGTATACCTGTCACTGAACAGAGTCTAGTTCTTACCTATCTCATATTTCCTATCATTCTCCCCCACCTGCTCTTAGCTACAGCCAATTGAAAAATATTTTAAGGTCTCTTACATTTTTGTAGATTCTATTCACACTATGCGGTTCCTTTCCCATTTGTTAACTGCTCCTTACATCACACTACCTTCTCCATGAAGCCTTCCCTAAACTGTTAGATATTACCTCTTTCACACACTAAATCACAGAAATAATATTGTTTTATACTATTTATTTTGTATATTTGTCTTCCTGCTAAATCATAAGTTATGTGAAGATAGAAATGATGTTCTTTCAGGCTTGTATCTCCAAAACTTTCTCAATTGGCATGTTTTACAGAACACTTTGAAATTTGTGGGAGTGTTTTGTTGTCACAAGAAATGAGAAGACCAGAGATTTTTAATAAACTGATCTACGGAATGCTAAACATACTATAAGGTACCTGAGAATCTGCACATAAACAAACTATCCTGTATCCAACATGTCTTACTGAAATAATAAAATATACTAATGTTATCTTTACATTCCCAATTAGTAAATATATGTGTGTTAACATCACACTTTTTAAAAATCTAATCTATTAAATGAATAATAAAGTATGGAAGTCTTATCATTTTACCTCTTCTCTCTTTTCTCCTTCTTCCATTGAAATATCATGTTCTACAACACTGTCAATGCAAGGTAAGTCTGAAGAAGAAATCACAATTTCTTCAGGCTCTTGCATGAACAAAGGTTTTTCCTCTTGCTGAATCCATTCTTGATATACTTTTACTACTTTCCTCATTGCTGCTGCTTCACAAATTGGTAATAAAAATGCCTAGTGAAAAAAAGAAAAGAAATGATACTTTTTAGATGCCTTTTACTCTGTCAAAAACTACTAATACATACATTTCTATCCTGTTATAAAATGAGATATAGACCATTTAAAAATATATATGTTTTATTGATTTTAGAAAGAGAGGAAGGGAGAGGAAGAGAGATAATGATGTCAACCCATAAACGAAGAGGTCACCAGTGTGATTCCTGGTTAGGGCATATTGAGCCCTGGTTGTGGGCTCAATCCCCAGTATACAGGAGGTAGTCAATCAATGATGTTTCTCTCTATATATTCTTCTCCTTTCCTCTCTCTAAAAATCAATAAAAATATATTTAAAAACAAGATTTTAATTGAAACAAAACAAAATCTAACTCTGAGAATAAAAATCACATGAAACAAGTCAACTGAGATTTTCTAAGCATATAAAGAAAAAAAATGTTACAACTTTCTTATTTTTTTTAACATATAACAATTTATATAAATTAAATAATAAAGCAATAGTACTTAGAAAATTAAAAGAAATACTTTACAGTTATTCTTTTCTTTAGGTACTTTCCCGGTTGCCTTAACTTTTTAAAAAGGAAATATGTCCTTGTCACTCACAAGAATACCACATTTTCATATCAAAATAAATATTTTTTAAATCCTCACCTGAGGATACGTTTCCCATTAATTTTAAGAGCATGGAAAGGAGAGGGAGAGACGGAAAGAAACACCGATGTGAGAGACACTGATTGGTTGCCTCCCGCATGCCCCTGACCAGGGGCAGGAGCCTGCAGCCGAGGTATGTGCCCTTGACCAGAATTGAACCTGGGAGTCTTCAGTCTGATGCTCTATCCACTGAGCAAAATTTCAAAATAAATTTTTTATACAATTCAGGCAACAAAAGTAAAACAGTAAAAATACTCTTAACCTAATTATATAAAAAGGGTTGAAAATACTTTAAAAAAAAGACATGAGGCTAATTCTAACCAAAAAAAAGCAATATAAATGTACTAATAGCCAAAACCGGTTTGGCTCAGTGGATAGAGCGTCGGCCTGCAGACTGAAAGGTCCCAGGTTCGATTCCGGTCAAGGGCATGTACCTGGGTTGCGGGCACATCCCCAGGGGGTGTGCAGGAGGCAGCTGATCGATGTTTCTCTCTCATCGATGTTTCTAACTCTCTATCTCTCTCCCTTCCTCTCTGTAAGAAATCAATAAAATATATTTAAAATAAATAAATAAATAAATAAATAAATAAATAAATGTACTAATAGTATATAAAATAGATGTTAAGCAAAAATAACTTCTACATATGACAAATGCCATAAATAAAAGGTTTAATTCACCAAGATCTATATATATAAAAGGCCAGCGACCAAAATGGCAGAATGACCAGAATGACCGGTGGCTATGATGGGCACTGCAGCAGCCAACCAGCCTGATCCAAGCCCTGATCAGCTCTCCCAACCCACCGGGCCTGGCCCTCGATAGTCCCCCAACATCCCAATTGGGAGCAGGGCCAACCAGCCATCTGCCCACAGCCCCTCCCCCTGACTGGCCCTGCCCCAGATCGGCACCCCACCCCAATCAGGGGTGAGGCCGGTTGGCCAACCGCCTGTGGCTCCTCCCCCCCCACTGACCCGGCCCAATGGGCCCCATCGGGGCAGGCTGGCCAGACCCCACCCATGCACAAATTCATGCACAGGGCCTCTAGTATGATTACAAACATGTCTGTTATTTAATTACACAGGTTCAAATTATATATATATATAAAAAAAATCTATGAGCCCTAGCCAGTTTGGCTCAGTGGATAGAGCGTCGCCCTGCGAACTGAAGGGTCCTGGGTTTGATTCCGGTCAAGGGCAAATGCCTGGGTTTCGGGCTCTATCCTCAGTAGGGTGCATGCAGGAGGCAGCCAAATAATGCTTCTCTGTCATAATCTATGTTTCTATCTCGCTCTCCCTATCCCTTCCTCTCTGAAATCAATAAAATATATATTAAAAAAAATACATGAAACTATAAAGGAAAACATAGGCAAAATACCATCAGAGTAATAGATTTTAACACAACCCTCTCTATAACTTGATATCAAGCTGACAAAATATTTTAAGTGTGGACAAAGAAAAGTTAACAAACACAATAAGGTTGATATAAGACACTTTAATGATTACTGAACTCAAAATAATACATTATTTTCAAGCACATAGGATATTTATGAGAAATGACTACATATTGAACTATACATTATAATAAATTTTAAGTAATTAGTACTATAAGGACTATATTCTCTGACCAAAAAAATTATTAGAAAAAAGAAAAATAGAATTATATAAAATGTTTGAAAGATATACATTGGTAAGTGACTCATAGGACAAAGAATGTATTAACATGAAAATTAAAAAATATTTAGAAGTAAACAATAACATCAAAATTAGTAGACTGTAGCTATAACATTATTAAGAGGTAATATCATAGCCTCAAAAATGCTTATATGAAAAAAAAATGTGAGGCTAAGATTAATTAGCTAAAAAAAACCCCACCAAAATAAAATCGAGAAAAGGAGAAAGAAAAAAAGCAAAAATTAATAAGAGAAAAACAAACAAAATGGAGAAAATTTTAAAAGCAAAAGTTAAGCCCTAACCGGTTTGGCTCAGTGGATAGAGCGTCAGCCTGCGGACTCAAGGGTCCCAGGTTCGATTCCGGTCAAGGGCATGTACCTTGGTTGCGGGCACATCCCCAGTAGGGAGTGTGCAGGAGGCAGCTGATATATGTTTCTAACTCTTTATCCCTCTCCCTTCCTCTCCGTAAAAAAAAAAATCAATAAAATATATTTTTTAAAAAATAAAATAAAAGCAAAAGTTAATTCTTTGAAAAGACTAATGAGAGTGAGGGAGTGTGAGTGAGTGAGGGAGCGAAAGGGGAGTGCGTATGTAGTATATGTGTGTGTGAGTGAAGGACAGTTACATCCTTCAGGAATCTTGGGGGCTGGCAGACTGGGCTCTCCTAGATGGGAAGACCCTGCCACCGCTGCAAGCACTCCTGGAGCAACCAGCTCTGGCACAGAAACCACACCATCTTGAAGGGGAGAGCTGCTGTAATTAGGAGCCCAGCCTCACCGCCACCCAAACTGGCCTCAGACACCATCCTGGACCCTCTAGCCACTCTGACCAAAGACCTGCCACCTCATCTGCAGACCCACAGACTCCGAGACTGCAGCCTCCCCGGCCATAGGTTCCTGTGAGCCTGGAGTGCGCTCCCCTCCTGCTAAGCCTGATGTTTTAGACAGAGGCCCCATGCAACTTGGTGCCTGGAACATTCAGTGAGTCTCAGAGTACATGACCCCTCCCTTCCCCACCAACCCCGCTGTTTCAGCCTTAGGACCATGGAACTCGGCTCCTGCACCCCTTGGTGAGACTTGGAGTACACGCCCCTCCCGCCAAGCCCGCTGCAGGACCCGTGCTACTGGGCACCTGGGCCCCTTGGTGAGAGAGTGCACACCTCTACTACCAAGCACACTGCAGGCTCCACAACCCAGTATAGTCAGTGCCTTTGGGCAGTGTAGGCTCCAACCCCGACACTGATAGAGGTTTCACCTGGTGCACACCCTACCTCCAGCCCAAGTCAAAGCTGCTAGTGCAACCTGGTGTGCCCAGCCACAGGTCATAGTATCATGCTGCATGTGCGCTGCCAGAGGGGCCTAGGGCACCATTCTGCCTTGGGTGCTGGTGCCGCACAGTGAATTGCATGCTAGAGGACTCTGGGCCCTTACAGGGAGTCACACACCAGAGAACTGTGCATGTGCCCCCATTGACCCCGTGAATCTGAGGTGGATAACTGAGGGTCCAGGACCAGGGGAGAAGGGGGTATAACTCAGAGCAGACACAATAAAGGTGTGAAACTCAAGGCAGACCCAGCCTCTGGTCTATTGAGTCCCAGATCACTGAACCGCTAGGGTCTTCAACACCTGAGACCACAAGCAAGGAGCCCAGGGGCAGAAAGAGACAGTAAAAAAGGGGGAAACAGAAAGAACCTCCAAAGGAAAGAAAAGGAGGAGGCGCGAGGAAAGGAACTAAATGAGATGGAGGCATGCAATATGTCAGAAAAAATTTCAGCATAAGGGTCACACAATTCATAAACCAGATGGATAAGAAAATCACCAACTTATGTAAGGTGCATAAGGAAATGAAGAATGATATATCTACAATAAAAAACACCATGGAAGGTTTCAAAAGTAGACTGAAGAAGTGGAGGACCAAATTAGCGAATTAGAAGACTGGGCAGTAAAACACACCCAATATGAACAGCAATTGGAGAGAGAAAAAATTAGAAAGCAGGAGGAGAGCTTCAGGGAGCTTTGGGACAACATGAAACAAAGTAACATCTGTATAATAGGGGTACCAGAAGGACAACAAGAGGAGCAAGGATTAGAAAACCTATTTGAAGAAATACAGAAAACTTCCCTGATTTTGGCGGGGGGGTGGGGGGGGGGGAAAGGGAGTCACATAAGCACAGAGACTAACAAAATGAATCCAAAAAGACCCACACCAAGACACGTCATAATTACAATGGCAAACACTAACAAAAAGAGAGAATCTTAGAGGCTACAAGAGAGAGGCAGAGAATTACATACAAGGGATCTCCCATTAGATTATCAAATGATTTCTCAACAGAAACACATCAGGCCACAAGGGAATGGAATGAAGTATACAAAGTGAAGCAAAGTAAGGGACTGAATCCAAGAATACTCTTCCCAGCAAGGAGAAATCAGGAGCTTTGCAGACAAAAAAAAAAAAAAGGCTAAAGGAGTTAATCACTGCCAATAAAGAAATGCAAGAAATGCTAAAGGGATTGCTCCAGAAATAAGAACTAGAAATGGCAGCAGGAACACAGGAATACAGAATAAAAATAGCTACAAACAAGTATCTATCAATAATACCATTAAACATAAATGGATTACATGCTCCAATCAAAAGACATTGGGTGGCTGAATGGATAAGAAAACATGACCCAAATATAT